AAGGTTTCAATAAAATTTTACCTTGTATATTATATAAAATATTTTTAAAAACTCACAAATTTTATTTTAATATCAAATTATTAATGATAAATTGAAGAAAACTTTTTCTTAATACAGTATAGTCTTTTAAACAACAATAGAACATTTTAAAACTTCAGAAAACCATCAAAATTCTATTTTAATGAGTCTTTCAGAAAACCTATAATAGATTATTTTCATATATACAATTATATGATTATTTACTTAAAACAGACAATATTTATCATGCACATTGTAGCTGTTTTGAGAATCAATATTTTTACATATGCGTCTATTTGTATATCTACTTGTTTTATGTTATTTTTTTAATACTTATTTGTGTTACATCTTTTTAACAGAAGATTATTACAACGCAAAACGAAATAAAAACTACAATGAACGATTCGATGATCTTATCGCTTGTCATGGTTTGCACTACGTTCTTCGTTCTGATTGTCCTAATTCCTACGGTGTTATATAAGTAAGTATTTTACTGCATATTATGAAAATATATTCAGTATTATTTTATAAATTGCATAAAATCGTTTTGTGTTAAATATTTTATACCATTAATAATTCTCTAGTATATCTGTTTAAATAAAATTACATTCTTATATTTATAATATTTGTATTATTTAAAGGCATATTATTTTATGATAAAAATATATGCATATATAATGCAAAATATTTATATATAAAAATAATTGTTTACAGTAGGTACTGCTCTACGCAAATGATTATTGATGAACAATGACCAACCAATAAAATATTATTAATATATGCGGGTAATATTGTAGACCGCAATCACCTTAAATTACACTATTAAATATAAGCATTCTGTCATATATCAAGATTGAAAATAAATTGAAAATTATCGAACTTTTCATCATAGAACTACCGTACACCTCCGTTAATCCGCATATTCATTTAATAAATATGCATAAATTAACAATAGTATTCGCATGAACTAGTATGAATTTCATAATTAATTCGTCGGTCCAATTTTATAACTCGTTATTAACGAAATCACGCCAACAGACTGCTCTGCTAAATTCTAATTTGATCAAATGCGAAATATAACCGAGGCTAATGCGTTTTGTAACATTTTATACCTTAACGTTTGGTAAACTCGCACGAAGTAATGAATTATTTTTAATATGTTTAATGTATAAATAGCATGTGTTATCTGCTCAACTGCATATATGTGTGTGTGTGTGTGTGTGTATCGACATATATTTGAATATATCTAATGTAGTTATGTTATAATATTTTATCAGTGACAAAATCATTATATTGTTAATATTTGTGTAATATTGTTTCTTTATTTATAAAATGTTATTTAATCTCAATCGCAAGGAGTTTTTGTCTTCCTTAAAGATTTTCTGTTTCCTATTGTTCTATTGTTCAATTAATTAAGTTCTATTAATTAATTCCTATTTTTATTGAAGTTTAAAACGTTTTTTGGAAGTGATTAAAGCCATTTTTATGATCTCTCGTATTTAACTAGTAATGTATATAGATGTAAATTAAAAGTAAAAATAGATTATTAACATTATTAGAACTAAATTTACTATTATATAGAACAACATACGTTTTATATATTATAAATAAATGTTTATTATTATTGATAAAAAATATAGAACATTGTATAGATAGTAAAGAAATCAATTCAATTTAACTTATTTATCTGATATTATTAATATTAAAGATATTATTTATGTTAAAGAAATAAACAATAAATTTCAAAAAAACTTAAATTATTATATTGTACAATTTAACTCTTTTATCAACTATATTTTCTTTACATATGCTGCCATCTTACACTCATTTCATCTACTAAAACGATTTACGATATGTAAATGATTGTATAGATACTGAATTTTATTATTATTTTAACTTAGTTTACATATAACTATAATTTATAATTTATAATTTTGGCGTTTGTGTTCAATGAAATGCTACTACATAATTGTTGATGTATTTCAAAATAGAGTAATTTAAAAAAATATCACAAAATTTATATAAATATACTTTGAAGTTTATAAATAGCAAAAAAATTTTCCCATTCCAGATAAAACTGTTGTAAATCTTAATATAGCTGTAACCTGTTATAATTATATAAAATAAAAAATATTAAATATTCTATACAGAAAAATTGTTGACACAGAAATAACGTATGTATATCTCCATTGATTATCTCTATTACATTCTATCTACTTATCTGATAATTTCCCGTGCTAAAGTACATATGTATATTTATACTAAAATTTAAAATAATTTTTCGTTGACGAAAATAAGGAATTTGTACTTATATCCATTTAAAATATGCCTAATCTGTAAAGCTTAAATAAATAAATAAATAAATTTGAAAAAATTAATCTACTAGAAAATGTCTATAAAATCTTTTCGCAATAAAGTTTTTACTTAAAAATATTTCCAAATAAATTTTTATTGAAATTTTTTTACTAAGAATTAAAAGTTTTATATTTATATTTAGAATAGATGTTTTTTATTTAATCCTAAATTAGTATTTTTTTATTTAGTTTTATATCTTATTCCTATATATATTTCTAATATACATATATTAATATTACTGTGTATATTGATAAATCAATAATATATCAACTGAAAATAAAGAAGAAATAAATTTACAATTTACTCGAAATCTGAACAATTAATTTTATTTTAACGAATAGATTGTAAATTATTTAAGTATAATCTTTAATATTTCGATCATTCATTCTATCATATCGAATTTTATGATAAGAGCAAATCAGAAAAGATAAAATGTTGGAGTTGCGAAACGTACGAACATAGGTGGCTGATATTTCAAATTCAAACATTCGCTGACGTTGAACGATAATGAAACTACGCTCGCGCTATGTTCGGCCGGACGGTCTCGATAATTTCACTCAAATAGAGTACTTTATCAACTTGGATAACCGTGTCGTGTTTGTCAATGCGCGATTGCAGAATAATAATGCGGCGCAACAAAGTGTGCAATATACACACATGTTGCACTAAGAAGAGCATGTGAAATGCGATATAATAGAACTGCATATGTTTCATTCATTGTTATACACGTACATATGTAAATCGGCGGATGCTCGTCTCAAATAGGTTCGATTTAGACATATTTAGAAAGTACTTTTTTTACTTTAAAAAAAATAATTTTTTCTACACGATTTTTGAAAATTTATATAAAATTAACTGATTTTTTACAGCAATATAATTACTGAATCAAAAAGATGATTAATTAAAAAAGTTAAAAAAGCTTGTAGTTCAAAATTCCATATATTTTTTCTTTGTTTATTGATTTATTCCTGAATATTTTTAAATATATAAAACATTTTATATGTATGCGCAATTATTTAAAAAAAATTTTTATTATTCTTAATTTACAGATAAATCAATAAAACACCATTAATTCTAAACGTACTTTTATTTAATTTTATTTAGCTAATAGTAAAAAAATCAAAACATAAGTTGCTTAAAAAAATAATTTCACGAAGTGTGACAAAATAATGTCACTCGTAAAGTGTCATAACGTGAACACGAAACAGTCAACGTAAACGCGAGAAAATATGCATAAAGCTCTTCCCTCAGTGTGCATAGTAATATAAAGTTTAATATCATTTCAAACTTTCACGGGTTATGATCAGAACTACTCGGTATGTGCCAAATGCGCAAGCAAATGCGCGCATTCTCGACGATGCATTGCAAATTTGAAACGCTTCTTTAAGGTATGAAGCACAGTCGGGTTTTACGTTGTACAAAAGAGTTTATTTGAGAATTTCAAGGATACAAAGAGTAACTCTTCGAAACAAATCCATTATGTTTGCATCGTAATTTTGATGACAACGAAGCCCGAAATGAAATCGCAACAAAATATTTGGTGACAGCACAACGCACTAATTAACGGAAGTCATGAAAGTTATAGGAATATTTTTTTCCAAAAAGACGAAAGCATATTTATATATTAAAAAAAATGTTTTTGAAATTTTTGTCGAGAATAATCGTGAGTTGTAAATTAAATATATGTTACAAAAATTGATTATTTGCGAATTTTATTTATTACACGAATTCGTATTATTCTAACATTTATTTTAATCGTTTAATGGTAAAAATCAACATCAGAAATAGTTACCGGCAGGTTTAATATTATCTATCGTTGATATTATAATAAAACATTTTATACAAAAATATGTATAGAAATATAAAAATTTTAATAATAAAATTATTATATTAAACTATTTTATAAGGCTTAGACAATCATAAATTATTTATTATTTTATATATTCGTTTCTTCTATAAGAAAGCAATGATAATTAAATTATATATATAAATTATCAGATCAAATTAGCTGATATACTAAAAAAGTGATGACAGGGAGGATCCTAAAAACTATGCCGTTATTTATCGTAAGACTATTTACCAAGCCTTGTTAAGTATCGTTACCTGCATTTACTTCAGAGAGTGTGAGAAACTGCATGCGGTCACACTTTTCCACACAGTCGGTGAAATTGCTTTATTCTCTTATCTTCAGTTACATATCAGTATTATAAAAATATTAATATAATATATAATAATTAATATTACAGAGCACAAAAATACACGTCTCATATATGGGCATAATTAATATATTTTATATTCTATATGTATACATATATTATTATTCTATATATAATATTATATAATTGTATATTTTATATACTTTATATTTTATATATATATATATATATATTATTAATTATATATATAGCACGCATTATTTTTTTTATTTTATTACATTTATTATATTGAAAACTTGCTATTAGTAATAAACGTATTAATATGTTGTTTTGGATATATACATAATTTTAATTCGCCGAATTTCTATTGTGTACTTAATTTTGATTCGCCGAATTTATATTATGCACATAATTTTAATTTTTGAATTTCCATTATATATGTACTTAATTTCTAATTCTAATTCTCGAATTTCTATTATATACATAATTTTAATTCTATATTTTCACTATGTACTACATATTTTAATTCGCCCAATTTCCATAATGTACATAATGTCCATAATGAATATTAAGAGCCTATTAATGTTTACAGTACAATGCTAGAATAGAAAAAATTATTTGTAGCTAATAAAAGGTATTAAATCCATATATTTGTGACATATGTGGGGTATATGTTTCTCATTCATAATTTATAAGTACGAAGACGCATCAAATAACAATTTTAAGTATCAAAAAACATGGCTAAATAATTTTGTATAGCCTTTAAAATGTAAATATACAAATTATAATAAAATTATAATACTTAACGAGGCTTGATAAGCGTTCTATGAAAAATATCGAGATAGCCACTTTGCTAAAAATGATGACTTTTTTGTTAATAGTTTCACATGTAAACATATACATTTTTTATCTTCTAGCAATAACATTTCAAAGTAGCAATTTTGTATATGTTTATTGGATTTCTTTGAAGTATTAAATTATCTATTTAATCTTCAAATAATGTCTCTTTAATGTCTTTTGCAATTAATACTCATTTTTACGTTTAAATCATTAAGGCGAAATTATGTTTGCTGGAATAATTTATTAATTGCCACTATGGAACGTAAAACATGGTCACGATAAGAAATAGTCTTCCTAATGGAGCAATTAATTTACAATTTCATTCATTTCATCTATAATTTCACCTTTCTACGCCAGGAAGACTTTCAAACACTTTTGATCTTTGCGTTTTAATATCTTCGAATGATGGCACAGTTACGTCCGACGATTCATCAAATATTTCGTTTTATACAAATAAGCAATATTATAGCGAATACGTGGCCGAATGATCCTGAAGGAAAATTAATTTTTATTCTGCAACAAATTGAGTGGAGTTTTAGCGTCTTCAACATAACTGTTATAGAAATATCATTGATGTGTAATGTATTTTATAAATGGGACGATGTAACAACAATGATGAAGAGTTTGTCGCAATTTTTCGCTGGGATAGAGTCGCTACTCAATCTTATCATATTCAAATTGAAAAGCACGGATATACAGGTATTCTACATTGCATTGCATTAACTATTATTCTCGTAAATTGTCGTGGAACAAAGTATTTTTCGTGTATAGTGATGTACTTGCATAATGCACTCAACGTCACATTATATTATCAGTGATATTTAAATGCGTAAATAAAATTGATCAAGATATACGATAAATAAAATCTGATGAACTGTCAGTGCTTTAATTATTATTAACATTCAGAGAGAGAGACATTTACAAATATTTCAAACAAAAAATTATATTGTTTAGCTTTGTCATTATTTATATTACAGAATTGAAAATATTTTCCAATTTATTAATAAAGCCAATTTGTTAATTTTTAGAATCTTCTAAACGAAGTAAAGGATTTTTTTCGCACTTCTAACGACAATGAAAGAGCTATTCTACAAAAATATGTGGAGCGTTATTTCTACTTTTTCACATTTGTTCTAATATGCCACTGCTTAGTCGTTATCGCTTTCTCTTGCGGTCCTATTTTTCTTTCGACGAAGTTTCCTCTTGAAGTATGGTATCCATTTCTTACTGAATCACCGACTGTGATATATATCCTCTACATCTTACACATGCACATTATCATAAAAGCTGGTTTTAATTTCATTGTGAACTTTACATTTGCCATGTTTTTTATGTATTCATCTGCAAGATTAGAGATGTTATGTTTAAAAATTCAAAATGCGAAGAATAAAAGACAGATAATTTTATGTATTAAGGACCATCAGAAAATAATCAAGTAAGTAATTAAAAATCTAAAATATTTCTTTAAGTAATTGTAAAAAAATCTAAAAAATCTAATAAAATTTGTAGATTTTTTTATATATCTTTGACCATTGTAAATTTAATAATATACTTAATTTATTAAAATATTTTAATATATTTTAGCATAATAAATAGTATGTAATAAAATAATAATTTATTTTTCGTAATTAGATTCGTGAATAAAACAAACTATACTGTGCAATATAGTCTTTACAAAACCAACATTGTGATGGCATCAATTATTATTTTTGGTGCTTTTCCAATTATTTGTGTATGTTATATTCTCTTTTTGACTTTTAATTATTTTTTATTCATCATTTACGTCGATATTTTCATATTCTAATCTAATTTTATTATTTAATAATAGAAACAACCATTATGGGTATCATCTCAATTCATTTTTATGGTGATCTGCGGATATCAAAGATTATATGTTACTGCCTGGACAGCAGATGATTTAAAGGAAAACGTAATTAACAAAAATTAAACATCTTTCTTTCTTTCTTTCTTTCTTTCTTTAGTAAATTAATTATAAATTATAAATAACATAACTGGAGCGTATATGTAACATGAATATAAAAGTTATTATAATTATTTTGGCAAAAAAACAAAATTAATAATTATTTATTAAAATAATGAAAAATTAATAAAATTATTATATACTTATTAATGATACTATTATATTCCAGAGTAAGCAAGTTGCAATAGAAATATATAATATACCATGGGTTGGAAACTCACAATATAATACTAAGGATATACATTTTATGATTCAAAGAAGTCAAATATCACTCAAAATCAGCATAAGAGGTTTTCTCCCAACATTATCCCTTGAATATTTCGCTAAGGTATGTATCATATTTTAAGTTCTTTTTTTACCTAATACTAATTGTTCCATATGAAATGTCCAATTTTGCAATATAAGCTATGTATGTAAAGTTTTTTTTTTCAATAAAAATATTTATTATATACCTCAAAATTTAAAAACTTTAGAGGCGTATGCAGATAGTGATGTGTCGATTTCAACAAAAATTGATTTTTCGTTGGAATTAAATAATTGTGCACGGAACACGAATTTTGGTTGGTACTCTGCCAAAAGACTTATTTAAAAAATCATTCCAATTCGAGATTTGTAATTCCGATGACAATCCCCTCTGACCCCCCTAAAAAAATGTAGACCAGAAAAATATTGGTTTGAAATCACTGAATCGGAAATGCGCATTTTTTAAAATTTAATATGTCCGTCACGATCATTTGTGAGGCTTTTATTTTCAGATTTTAAGTTTTTATACTAGTGTGTTTGTTGATAGAGTTTTCACCGAATACGGCATTAATGTTTCGAGCAGCTGCTGCAACATTATGGCCACTTCTCAACTCATACAAAAAAGTACGCGAAAATCACACATTTGTTTATATTCATCATCATAAAAATACATTTGAAATCAATTAAAAAAGAATAAAATGAAATATAAAAAGACAAATTTTAAGCTTTAAAATAATATATAAAACATGTACAAATATAAAAACTTTTTTATTAAAAAAAAAACTTTAAAAAGTTTACATTGCAAATTTGGACATTTCATATAAAACGATGTAATAATATATATACTATACATATATATATATATATATAATTACTTTGAATAATAATCGCGGAGATAAAAAAAATAAAAAATTATAATTTGCTTTTTATAGTATCTCGTGACGATGTTATCTTATTTCACAACAATGAGAGCAATAATTGGTGATTAACATCAAAGAATGCGATTTAACTATGTGATATCTTCCTTATAATATCTGTTTAATAATTCATGCGCAATATAAATAGCAACTTTGTTTAAAATAGTTTTGTTTAATGCTAGATTGTAAAATAATATAATCAAATCATTATTGATAAAATAGCACAAGCAATTATTAAAATAATATTAATTTAATTATTGTAAAAAGAAAAGTTCTACCTATGTGATTGTGTGGATGTATAAAGATTTGTTTTATAAAAAATGTGTTTTATGCCACGATGCTGATTGATTGTCTTGATTAACATTATGTGTTATATTAATAGCATCAAGCAACTGTCATTGTGAAAGTTAACAGTTTAACAATTATAAAATAAAAAATAAGAATAATAATAAAGCTGGTGACAGAATTTTATTATCAAGACAATGAATTTTATTATCAAGAAACTGTAAGTTAATTCCGAATTGATTTAATATTGTGTTTTTTGATAATCTTAAATAAAGTTATAATATATATACACGTATCTTTTTAAAAATATTTACAGTATCTCTTAGCAAAAATTGAAATCTATCTAAAAACTGCCAATAAGAATGACTTAAATATTCGACAGAAACATGTGAATAGTTATACGTTATTAGAAGTATTGCAACATAATTTGGAAAAAACAAAAAGCAAAAATTTTATACGTGCATGTATTAAAGAGCATCAAGATATTATCAAGTAAATAGCGTTTTTACTTTAATGTTAATAATTTATGAAATAATATTTCTATTTTATTGTATTTAACGTAAATTTTAACATTATATGTTTAAATACGTTATATAATGTTAACACACTTTAGTACTATACACTTGTGTGTGTATACACTGACAGAAATATTTATAGAAAAGCACTCTTAATTTAAAAATAGTTATTACATATCTATTAATTCCTAATAAAAATAATAACTTTATTGCATATATACGTATACGTGAGACTATCGAAAATGTTTTACACTTACCTTATAGAGCATACTTTGTTTATAATTTGCCACTATCCATTTATCTACAAATTTGCCTTCACCCATTCGAAAGTTCCGTATTGTTATTTTACACGCAGCAATCCCAGCATTTCTATCATACATTTATTTAACGCTCTCTAAAAATATTTTTGCTGTAACATGTAAAATATCCTTTATAAATCGGTCTCACGATTTCTTGTCCCATTTCGAAAACCATTATCCCTTAAACCCTTTTTGTTTGACGAATATAGTATGTAGTATAGTGGATACGACAACGAGCATGTTGATTGCCGCACGTTGATCATTTTTGTCAAAATCAGAAAAATTGTGCGAAATCGAAAACATGTCCGCACGATCAGACAGTCAATGCAGATTTCTATTGCGTCTTAAGGTGGTTTATCGCGAAAGACCGAGACTGTAGCACAATCATATATGACTGCTTTTCCATGACAATGCACACACTCGGTGCGCGATATCATCGTTATAAAACGCTCTTGCACGTGCAAGCTCGTTCCTGTACGCATCTTTGTTTCTGAATAACAGCCATTGACCTACTTGCCCCATAGCTCAACTAGTCCCAGTCTACCCTAATATATATTTCTAATATAAATATTTCTGTAAATTTTGTTAAAGAAAAAGAAATCTTTTTAATGGAGATGTGATAATGTCCGTCTGTACTTTATCTATAAACGAAATTTTGTATACCCTATATTATAACTTCAGCATATTAAACTTAATCAATAATCAATATAACAGTTCACACAGCGCTTAAAGAAAATAGAGAAAAAATAAAGACAATTTTAAAAAAATTAGTTTCTATCGATTTCGTGCTTTAAAATTCATAAATCTGATTGTTTCTTGGAGCTGCAATTTAATCTTACAATTATCTTATAGGTAGCTTTGTATCTTCTAGAAAAAAAAAACAAAATGTGCTAAACTACTGAACTCCTATCTATACATTAATTATTTATAACATATAATAATCTTGAATCCTTTATACTTTCAATTGCGTTCCAATAAACTTATTATTTTTAAATTTGCATGTATATTGAATGTTTAACGATAATAGCAGGTCGAACACATAGCTTGGATTGTATTCAAGAATTAACTGCACGCGAAAATGGTACGTTTTCGCTTGAAACCTCAACAACTGCTTGGGCTTCTTGACCTATTAGGAGTTTTATCCACTACATCACCAAAACCGATATCGCAATACGGAAGATTTTACAATATTTTTCGAAATATTTTTTGGTGTCTCACCTTTAGCAATCTGATATTTCAATTAATCGGCGAAATACTTTTCGTTTATGAAAATCCAAATGACGTCATTACGGCACTGAAAACTATTTTAATAGCTGCTTGCGTTACTGATGGAGCATTAAATCTTATAATATGCTACATTCAAAGAGATGAACTTCAGGTATGATAGCTACTGTTATTATAAATCAAATCTGAAAAAATAAAAATGTGTTATAAAATGCAATAATTAAAAATATATGCTACAATTTTTGAAAATAATAAATAAGTTTTTACATTAACAAAATTTTTATATAATTTATCTTCTAAAGAACTAATGTTTTAATATGTGTAAAATTTATTGTATTTCTCTCTAAAAAAAGACATGCAAAGTCGATTATCGCAAATATTGTTGCTTCTTTTCCGCGATGCTAATTGATTGTCTTGATTAACATTGTGTGTTATATTAATAACATCAAGCAACTGTCATCATGAAGGTTAACAGTTTAACAATTATAAAATAAAAAATAAGAATAATAACATCAACGTTTGCGAAACGCGCGATTGTGTTGTCTGGAACATAACAAAAATTCAGAAATTAAAATTATGCATAATTATACATAAATTTAAATTCAACGAATTAAAATTATAGTCATATTCATAGCATCAAGAAACTGTCATTGCAAGGATTAACAATTTGACAGTTATAAAATAAATAATATAGAAGAAACACCAAAGGCGCGCGCGAAATGCGCTTGTGTAGTCTAATTTATTATAATACATGTGTATTCCAGTTTAATATATTTAATTATCACTTTTTCTTATATATATATATAAATAATTATTTTATCAATTATTTTAATGAATTTATTAGTTATTATTTTAAAGTACTTTTTTAAAACAGTCATTAATAATTGTTATTTTATATTATACTGTTTGCCTCAGTGAAATCTATTTACAAAAACGCTTTAGAAATACAGGATATTCTATTATATTAGAAATATTTTGATAAATCTGTCATTTTTTGAGGTATGAAAAAATATTTCTGGAAAAAAGAAAGAAATTGCATTATACTTAAGTAAGCAATTTAATAATATGAAAAAATGTCTCAAAGTTTTCTCTCAAGATTATTCCGAAATCATTATTACTCTAAAAATTAAATTACAAGTTTTTGATTCCATCGAATCATAGCAGGCCTTATCATAATTTTAGTACAAAAAAATAAGAAAAATTAAAATAAACTCAAAAAGCAGTAATTAAGAAATTCTAATAATTTATTTTATAATATATATATATATATATATATATATAAAATAATACTTGAATATCTGAGTGCACTTTTATAATGACACATAAATAATCACAAAGTGATTTTTATTATTTCCTAATTCAAATTAAAATATATGTATTTTAAATACGTTCGTTTATTTTATTATATATATACATATATATATATATAGATATATATATATATATATATATATATATATATTATATATATCTTTTTCCTACGACATATTTTTATATTTCTAACACAAGAAAAATATTTAAAATATTTTTGATAAATGGAATAAATTATATCTTTAATTTTATTTATTAATTTGTGCAAAAGAATATATACACGTGTTTGTTTTAAATCATTTACAGTATCTATTAGAGAAAATTGAAAACTTTATACAGACAACCGATAAGAATGACTTAAATATTCTACAGAAACATATGAATCGTTATACGTTCACATTGGTAGCGAATGCTTTTTTCTTCTTGACTTCTGGATTGATCATCTTTGTTCGTCCCTTTATCACAAAAGAGCGTTTTCCTGTTGACGTGTGGTATCCCTTTTTGGATACACCATTTAGAACATTTTAATCTATGTTTCGCAAATTGTTGCCGGATCGGAATGTGCCATTTACGGCTTGAGTACTGATATCTCTATCGCCATGTTTTTCTGGTATTCCACCGCTAGACTAGAAATATTACAACATAATTTGGAAAGTACAAAAAGCAAAAATTTTATACGCGCATGTATTAAAGAGCATCAAGATATCATCAAGTGAGTAGCGTATTTACTTTAATATTAATAATTTATGAAATAATATTTATATTTTACTGTATTTAACGTAAATTTAACATTATATGTTTCAACGTTATATAATGTTAACATACTTCAGTACTATTCATTTGTATGTGCGTTTACATTGATAAAAATATTTATAGAGAAGCAGTCCTAACTTAAAAATAGATATTACATATCTATTAATTCCTAATAAAAAGAATAAACTATTTTATACGTATACATGAGGCTATCGAAAATCTTTCAGACTTACCCTATAAAACATGCAGAGCATACTTTATTTACAATTTGCCACCATTCATTTATCTACAATTTGCCTTTACTCATTCGAAAATTCCTTATTATCACTTTACACAGCAATTCCAGCGTTTCTGCTATATCTTTAACGCTCTCTAGAAATATTTTTGCTGTAGCATGTAAAATATCTTTTATAAATCGATTTCGCGATTTCTCGTACCATTTCGAAAAACATTATTCTTTAAACCTTTCTTTTAATAAATAAAAAGAAGTTACAAGGGGCCAAATATCTAACAAATATATGGAGGATGCGACAACGAGTATGTTGTTGATTGCCGCACATTGATCGTTTTTGTCAAAATTAGAGAAATTGTGCGAAATCGAGAACTTGTCCGCACGATCTGATAATCAATGCAAATTTCTACAGCATTTTGAGATGGTTGAGTTCGTCGCGAAAGATGGAAAATGTGACACAACCCGACCGTAATGACTGCTTCTCCATGACAATGTACACACCATCGTTAAAACGTAATAATTATAGAGTAAATCCGAAAAGTCGATAGCCTTACATATTTAATACAATATAATAATTTTTATGTAATTACGTAAATTATATTTGTATATTTTCATTTATTGTTGAAATATTAGATTTGTCGAACTGACTCAAACTACAGTACAATATTTAATTCTGAAACTCAATGTTACCATGGGCACAGCTGTAGTTTGTAGCCTGTTTCCACTAATTATTGTAAGTTTATTAATTTAAAATATTTTTATTTAAAGCGCGTTTATCTATATTTATTAATGTCTTTGTTATTTGAATTACATTTTTAAAATAAACACTTAAAAATAAAAAATTAATATTACATACTTTAAAACATTAAAAATTATTTGATTTTAAAGAATCAACCTTTGGCTGTAAAAGGTCAATTTATATTTACATTTCTTTGTGCGTGCGAAAGATTTTACATCAGCGCCTGGTCAGCTAATGATTTAAGCGACATGGTAAATGTTTTATTAAATATATCTGATTATTCTGATAAAAAATAAAAAATTATAAAAAAATAAAAAGATGTTAAAAAAATAATATATGTAGTTATCAAATTAAATTATTTTGCAAAAATTTTAGAGCGGAAAATTAGCAAACAGAGTTTCGATGAAAGACTATATAACACCAGAAACTGTGAATGATATTTTGTTCATAATACTGAGAAGTCAAAAACCTCTTACAATATCAATGGCAAGTTTTCTTCCCGTTCTCTCTGTAGAATATTTTGGAAACGTAAGAGAAATTTATCATTTGCACGTAAAAATCATTACATACATGTAAACAAATAAATAATTAACTTCTATAATTTCTTGCAGTTTATAACAAAGGCGTTTTCTTATTTTACGGCAATGAAAAGTATGATGGATATCTAACTCTACATATATATAGCTCACTACTCTTTAATGCATATATGTGTGGGTATATGTTTATTGTATATATGTCGGAATTTTAATATATGTGACCGATATTAGGAAGGTATATAAATTTGTTTGAATCTTTGTATGAAAAAATGCAAAAAGAAATATAATTCAGATAATTAATACAATGCTCGTTTTCTAACTCGCGCGCCCGGAATATCTCTTCCGACGTCTGCTTTGCGTCTTGTCTCGGTGACTCGTTTTAAGCTCTGTTTCGCCTTTTTCGCACGCTTTGGCCTTTTCTCCTTTCGTTCTCGGTTGAGTCGTAAATCTTTTTCCATTCTGCTATCACGTGCGAGAGGCATGTCAATACAATGCTCCGATCTTTCGCACCGCGCTAACACAAATATCGAGCTCTCGAATAACAACAACGAAGACACGCAACATCTGAGTCGGTTACCGGTTAAAATTTAATTACAACGGTTAGGATTTAATTCGTCCCTATATATATATATATATATATATATATATATATATGTAATATGTAAAATAAGTATAAATCTTTCCTCAATGGTAAAAGTCGACCAAACTGACAATCATTTATTATAAATAATTAGTTAAAATACAACGTTTCGGCTGTCATTGCAACCCTTTTCAAGTAAATCTATAAAAAGTTACATAAAAATAATTATAATTTTAATACATTTCATCGCAACAAATAATTATAAATTCATATACAAAAATATGTTACATACCAAACGTAAATGCATAATAAATTAATACAGTAAATCAAATTCACAGCATACCACCGACAATATTCACATTGTTTTAATGAACAATGTAGAATTGACAGAAGTAAGCAAGAAATAAATAGATGTTAACAGTTAGCAAGAATCTTAGTCATTACGCGTTAAGAAAATCGAGACAAAACTAATGTGTCTTTTGCAATCTAAAATCTCATAACAAAGTCAAATAAATAAATAAATAGGTAAAAATAAAAATAATTTAAATAGCGTCAAGAACACGATCATAAATCCCACTAAAATTCTCCGTATCTTTCTGTAAATTAATGCTTTTACTTTGTTTTTTTATATAAAACATTTCTGCAATTTCTCTTTTTCTTGTTTGTTTTTCTTGATGCAAGATCACCGGAGAAAATTATAATTATTTTTATGTAACTTTTTATATATTTACTTGAAAAGGGCTGCAATGACAGCCGAAACGTTGTATTTTAACTAATTATTTATAATAAATGATTGCCAGTTTGGTCGACTTTTACTATTGAGAAAAGATTTTTATTAATTATTACTGGCGAACCTTAAGGATTATTATCTAAAATAAGTATATTTATTCGTGATTCAGTATTGTCAGGCTGTATTATCGTGTACGTCGAACGAATATAAACACGAGTGAGAGTGAGAGAGAGAGAGAGAGAGAGAGAGTATGAGTGAGAGAAATAAAGGCCCGAATGTTTCTATATATTTCCGTTTATGTCTCACGACTTTACTCGATGAAAACGACAAAAATAATCGATTATTCCCGAATAACCAGATCCAGAACACGTATCCTCGTATTCTTCCGCCAAAAAGTGAGCTGACTGGTCTCACTCGTGCATGAACCGTCGTATCCCACGCACGCGTTTTGTCTCTTGTATTAAATAAAGTTTAATCTGCTATTCAAATCTTTCTTGTTTTATTAATCCCATCAATATATGTATATACAGAGTTGGGAACATTACTCTGTAAAAGTAACGCGTTACCGTTAGTGTTACTTTTTGTAAAAAATAATATATATTCCTTATATGTATATTTTCGAAAATTTTGCTGTAGATAAATAATTTTTTTTACAGAAAGTATGATCATATTTGTCTATACTTACATAGATAAACATACGTTTATCTATAAACGAAATTTTGCATATCCTGTATTATGTCAGCTTTATTATAATGGAACTTAATCAAATAATCAATAGCAATTCACGCAGCACTTAAAAAAATAGAGAGCAAATATAGAAAATTTTTAAAAATTATACAAATTTATTAATATTTCGATTTAACTGGCTAGTACAAATTATACAACACTACGTTTCGACCCTCAGGTACGGGTCTTTATCAAGTGTAATTTTCAAAATGTTGATTCGAAAGCAGTAATATTACTAATATCATTAATTTTATCGGTATTTTAAAAAATTAGTTTCTATATATTTTATGTTTTAAAATTCATAAATTTGATTATTTCTTGGAGCTACAATTTATTAATTTCTCAAAGATCTACGGAACTACGGAAGTTATGACAGAATCTACGTTTGTTAATATTTTTTTATTCAGAATTACCAAATGGGAAAAAAATCTATTTTTTTATATAACAATCTACACCTTAGTTGATTTTTTTCATTATTTTGTGCAAAAAAGTATTAAGGCACAATTATCAAAAATGAATACTTCACAATTTATGCAATATTACGTTAAATTAAAGCAAAATATATCTCGTAAACTATTCACTTTTTCGTCCTACCCTAACTTTTGTATAAAATATTGCGAGGAATCGATATATAAAAAATGGATAAGGTGTTCCCTTTTAAAAGAATAAAAATAAGTAAAAAGTAAAAAAATAAATATGATCTTCAAATCTTCTAAACATCTCTACCTAAGAAAAAATGTTCACTCTCACAAGATATCCCCTTCGATATCATGCAACTTTACCTTTGAGCATTTTTTCCTATCTCAAAAACTACGAGAGTTATTCCGGTGACCTGTCTTAGATGACTCACCCTGTATATCGTGCACATTTTACATTTTCACTGATATGTTTCATTAATACGTCGGATATGCCTCTCAAAACAACTTAAGCAAATTATAAGTTTTGTTAAATAGCAGAGTATCTGCGAAACAATATAGTGCGTGACCGTTAGAACTATCAAATATAGATTTGACGAAAGCTAAATTACCTACGTTTAGAAGCTATCAGCTACGTTTAGAAGCTTTGTAATTTCCTCACTTCCATTTGTATCATATTTCACTTCCTCTATCATTTGTAAAACTTTAAGTAATTTCTTCTTAATCACCTTGCGTGCAATAAATAATGGAGCACATTGTATGGAATGAATAATGGAGCATCGATTTATGTTAGTATCGCTTACTACAGCAATAATGTATAGTATTTCATTCAGAATAGAGAAGATACGTGTATATCCGAATAATTAGAATATATACTATAGATCGGTGTAAATATATATCCGCATATACAAGGAATCATTCTCAGTAATCTGAGATGGTGGTGCTAATCCGTATGCATCAGGTACTTCGCGTACTTGAAATTTGCGGAACGTTCACAAGCACCTGGCCGCCTGAATCCACAGCCGGAAAGCGAGAAATCTTCATTCGAGATCTCGGTTGGACTTTGGCAATTTTGAATGTATTGAGCTCGTTTCCACCGTTGATTCTTGGTGCATGGTATTCTAGAAACAATATTATTCCAATGATGAAGTCACTGTCTGAATTAACAGCACTGATGGAAGTACTGTTCAATTTGATCCTGTGTAGAATAGGAAGATCGCAATTACAGGTTTGATTCTCTGTTACCCTATAATATTAATAAGACTCTGTACACAATATTAAAATCACATAAGTATGTTATGAAAACAGATTTGCTATGTTAAGTAAGACAAATTACTGATCTTGTAAAGAATATAATATAATATAATATAGATATATGACACAGCACATTTAAAAAGTTAACAATAATAATAAAATTATAGCATTAAGAAAATGTGTATATGTATATTTTTATATGTACATTTTATACGAATAAAATCCGAGATTTTACTAATAAATTATTGTTTCGAAAAATAATGTGACATATGGCAAAATTAAAATAAAAATAATTTTTTTTTAATTGTTATAATTAAAATGTTTCTCGATATTCCATATGCATATAGGAGCTTTTAGCAAAGCTAAAAAACTTCTTCAAACATTCCGAGTTGCATGAGAGGCATATTATACAGAAATATATAAACCGTTACTCGGGATTTTACGCCTTTGTTGGAATATCTTATATCATGGCAGCAATCACTTTTTCCTGTGGTCCTTTGTTCTTGTCGATAAATCTTCCAATGGAATCCGCATGGTATCCGTTTTCTACCGAAACTCCTTACACTAGATGTATTCTTTACGTTATGCAAGTATTCGCCATTTTACAAACGGGATTTTGTATCACGGTGGATTTCATGATTGCAATGTTCTTCTGGTATTCTTCTGCAAGGCTGGAAATGCTGGCACAGGAACTGCAACAAATAACACATGAAAATGATTTAAAAACGTGTATCCAAAAACATCAAGAAATAATAAAGTAAGAAATTAATTTTTTCGAATATATAAATACATATATTTATATCGTTAAACTTTATCATGTCATACTGCACTTTATCATGTCATTATGAATTATCTATTAAGCATGAATTACACACACATAACAAATTTTCTTTAAATTATCTAATTATTATCTTATAATAAAACATATTATTTTTATATTGGTCAACTGACAAGAAGTTTTATTCGCATAATATGTTCACAGTTTTAAGTACACTTGATAAGGGAAAACCCATGGTCAAAGCGTTGTGGTGATTATTAAATATTTATTAGCCAGTATAAAAATAATATGTTTTATATATTAACTGACAAGAAGTTTCATTTGCATAATATATTTACGGTTTTTAATTTTAAATACACTTGATAAGAACCAAAATAGTCAAAACGTTGTGATGATTATTAAATATTTATTAGCCAATATTGGTCGTAAAAATTATTTATTCATATATATATATATATATATAGTCGAAATTAATGTCAATGTTAGTTTTGTAGGTGAAGTTCAATATACAGTTCGATATTTAATTTGCAAATCAAATATTACAATGGCCTGCGCTGTAATTTGTGGAGCTTTTCCTTTACTTTATGTAAGTAATTATACTATTGCTTATTTAAATATTTTGCTTCTGTTCTCAAAAAATTCAATTATTACAGAAATAAAATTTAATTAGAAAAAACTTACAATATTTTTATTATTGTTCTTTTCTTCTTTTCTTTTTCACTTTATCATACACTAGCTTTTCACCAAAAACACTTTTCAAATAATTTAAAAATGTATAATATATTATCATATTATTCATCCTGGATATTTTATTTCACGCCGCGTTTCGCATAAACTTAAATATTTATTAAAACATTTTTTATCTTATTAATATTTTTTGTTATATTAGTTTCTACACAATTTTATGTGTTTAACTTTTAAATCTTTATTTGATTAATATATACAAAACAATTTATTTTTTTTTAGTATTTAATTATTATTAAAATTAATTATATCCTTTTTTAAATGTTACTTATATATTATATAACCAGATATTTTTATTTACGTTTAATGTGCCCACCGCTAACCCGCTATTATTATATCTTATATTTTACTATATTTTATAAAATACAACACACAATTTTCAGAAATCATCTTTTTGTTCTAACGTAAGTGTGGGTGAGTGCGTTGATGGGGGTATAAAAGTTAAATTAAAACCATATAATAGCCATCCCCGAAAAATTAGCAAAATTTTGTATAGATTTCGTAAAAATTGATCAATAAATGTGTAAATGCATGGGTGGATACGTAGATGCGTGGATGAGAATGCAAAACTAAAAAAACCACACATAGTAGCCATCCCGAAAAATTTGCAAAGTTTTGGTATTAATTTCGTAAAAATTGATCAATAAATGTGTAAGCAGTGCCGGTCCTGGGTGCTTGGCCGCCCCTGTGCAGACCCATTTTTCGCCGCCCCTTTATTCCGTAAAAATTTGGGACAATTCAAAAATATTCGTACTATATAGAATAAATGAATAATTTCATTTGTAAAATATGTATTGTGTATTTTATTTTAATTATTATTTATAAAGGAAATGACAAACAAATTGTTAATGATACATATCTTTTAAAACATTCTAAAAGTAAATAACAAAATTACTGTAACGTTTTTAAATTAACTCTTCTGGCTTTTAGAGACGCAAATTCGTCTATTATTTTTGACAAGTCTATACTTTCTGATATTTCATGTTCTATAGAAATAAGTGCAAGACTGCTTAGTTTTTCCTGGGACATCGTAGATCGGAGATAATTTTTAATTATTTTAAGTTTCGAGAAACTTCTTTCGCCAGACGCAACGGAAACTGGCAGTGTTAAAAAATTCTCAATGCAATAGTAAGATTTGGGAAACAAGATAACAAATCAGCATCTACGATTCTTTGTAAAACTTGAAAGGGATTGTTCGATAACGATGCGTCAGGAAAAATTTCCCGGTACGACATTATTTCATGATATAACTGAATACCATCAAAATCCCTTTTTAACACATTATTTTCATTTGATTGGAATTTTACATCCAAATCCATACATGATTTCATTAAGGCGTCATTATCCATTTTTTTGAAATCATATAAAAAGCTAAACAGAGATTCACATTCATTTATTAATTCAAACCTTTGATCAAGAGAATTGCTTATGTGATCTAAAATGAGAAAATAAAAATGTATTTTAAAGCGTTGTTTAGGATCTACAACCGAATCAGCTTTGCTTTCGTTGAAAAATTGACGTGGCTTTTTTATATGGCGAATTATAGGAAATTCTGGTTGTACGTTAATTTTTTCAGCTTCTGTAACGGCATTACTAATGAACGTATTAAAATATTCATCGTTTCTTTTTTAATAATGTAATTTTTGAGATTTTGTAAAGCATGAACACATTCGGCTAAGCTTATTTTTGGGTTTTGAAGCATTTTACTAACAATATCTATTTTTGAAAGCAAATCGTGCCAAATAATTATAGAACATATAAATTTGAAAGAAGATATCTTTTGTGCCAATGAATGAGCCATATTTTTTGTTTTTACGTCTCGAGTTGGATCATTCGTTAATTCAGTTAAACTGTCAATGATGTTCTTTAGATTAAGGCGTAATGGTCTTATAGCTTTAATTCTGCTTTCCCATCTTGTCTCACTAAGACTTTTAAGTGTTAAATTTGTAATGTGTTTCTTTAAAAGATCCCATCGATATGTGGAAGCAGAAAAAAAGTTATATACTTCCTGAATAATTTCAAAAAAATCAAATATTTCCCCGCTACTATTTGCTGCATCACTTACGACCAAATTCAAAGTATGAGCATTACAAGGAACAAAGAGTGCTCTTGGATTGATGTCTAAGATGCGCTTTTGAAGGCCAATATTTTTACCTCTCATATTGGATCCGTTGTCGTAACCTTGTCCTCTAATATTTTGAACATCTAACTCATAATTTGATAATTTTTCTAATAGGAAGTTATACAATCCTTCACCAGTAGTATCTGTGACAGGATAAAAATCCAAAAAAAACTCGTGTATGTCAACTTCTTTATTTGACATATTTATATTTACACACCTTACAATAAATGTAATTTGTTCGGTATGGCTAACATCTGGTGTACAGTCAAGTATAATAGAAAAATATTTAGAAGATTGCACAATCCGCATTATTTCTTTTTTAATACCTCCAGCTAATAAGTGTATTATTTCGTTTTGGAAATGATTTCCTAAGTAATGTGGCATATGAGTTTTAAGTTCTTTTGACTTTTTAACATTATTTAAGTGATCTAACATAACAGAATCGAATTTAGCAATCATCTCAACAGCCTTTAAAAAATTACCATTATTTCGTTCGTATACTTGCGAATTTGTTCCTCTAAAAGCCAGACATTGACCAGCTAAAAATTGTACAATTGCAATCATTCTTTTAATTATAGCTCTCCAGCGCTCCTTTTCAATGTCAAATAAATTTTTTTCTACCTTGTCAATTGTGCATTTTTTATCTAGTCGTAATTTTAATTCACACCACTTCTTTACACATTGAATATGTTGAATACTAGTTTCATGTTTATTGAAATATTCAGAACAATGCCGCCAATCAGAATATCCATCATTAATTATTTTTATGTTTTCTCTGCTAAATAACTTACAAGGAAAACAGAAAACACGGTTTAATTTTATAGAATAAACAAGCCAATTTCTTTTAACTTTTTCTCCGTTTTCCATAATTTTGTTAAAATATAAAATATTAAACTTTCTACCAGTTTTTTCATCTACAGGAAATTTATAATTATTATCTATATGAACAGGCCCTATTTCTACTAATGTTTCGATACATTTGTTTGGTATGATATTAGGCCAAGTACCTGGGTCATTTAAATCTAACATAGATATGGAATCATCTTCATTTCCAAGAACTTCGTATTTTACTTGATCTTGAATTTCATCCTTTTCTGAAGATGCTTCTACGTCAGTATCCATTTTTCCATCGACATCCGTATCTGGTACTGTGTTTTCAGTTTGAGGAACAGGAAAATCAACATCAGCTGTTATTGGAACATTTTCGGGATTTTCAAATAATAAAACTGATGAAGAATTTTCTTGATCAGATTCAAGAAATTTTTCTAGAGCTCCTTTTAATTGCTGCTGTTCGTTTGCTTTTTTTGCTCGCTTCTTTTTGTAAAACGCTCCAGATTGTCTCTTGGTTTTCTATCTGCCATTCTAATAATAACAAAATTATAAATATTTATAAAAATTATAAATATTGCGTTGATTTGGAAAACAAAATTTTTAATTTATCATTACTTACTTTTGCTTTATGTTGTATCGATATTCACTATTCACTACTTTTTGCTTCCACTGTATAAATATAATATCTCGCCCGATAGAAATGTCAAATTGCAGACGCAAACAGCAGAAGCTCGCGCTTTTATGTATGTCGTGGAGCAGATTAGCACATACGCCAAGCGTGCTGTTCTGCTGTTTGCTGTTACAATTTGGCATCTCCGCTGTCGGGGAATTCTCGGCATCACTGCATTAAACAAAACATAATCGCTTGCCCAGTAATCAGTAATATAGACTCTGCTGGAGACTTTATATATATTATTGATTAGAGAGAGAGAGAGGCAAATTGATGAGAGAGAATGCTCTTATTATAATTAATGTATATATTTTTATTGGAATTTATACTATATTCTATTGATTATTTTTACACATTATTATTGTTTTACAAATTGTGATTTTGTTTTCAATTTTTGTAAAACATTAAGACTCCGAGGGCGGCCTTTCGGCCGCCCTCTAAATCGGCCGCCCACGTGCGGGGCACGCGTTTGCCCTCCGCTAGAACCGGCCCTGTGTGTAAGTGCGTGAGTGGGTGCGTGAGTCAATAAAAAAAACCACATAGTACGATGTTTTGGAACATTTTGAACCCATTAACATAAAAATCTAAATAAAAATTATGTTCTGCATGCATTTGTTGTTTTATAACTTTTGCAACTTTTGATTTAGTGATTGATGAACACACATTTAAAACATAAAATTTTATTTTAAAATAATAAAAAAAATACATTTAAATAATCATATATTGTATCTAATTTAGAAACAACCTCTGGTTGGAACGGCACAATTTATCTGCATGGTGGTGGGCGGATGTGAGAGACTTTATATTACAGCTTGGCCAGCAGATGATTTAGCTGAAGTTGTAAGTTATTATTGTTATTAAGAAATAAAAGGTTTAGGCTAGATCTGCAACAGGCGTAGTAAGTTCTAAGCTTTAAAAATTTACCAATCACAGTCAAGAATGAGGGAAATAATCGACTGTAATTAATCAATTTCTTAAGACTTAGAGTTTACTATATCTATTGCAGACCCGGCTTTATTTGTAATACATTTTTTAAGCTTTCTCTTTACTATAATAAAAAATAACACAAATTGACTATCGTTGTTTGTACGTTGCAATAGTTAAACACTTTTCTTTATTAACATACATTCCATTTTTCATTACTTTTAAAGTATGCTACAAAAAAATATAATAGAGTGCATTAATATTAAATATTTTATATAAGAATTAAAATTAACAGTTTTTAAGATATATGTATATCTAATATAATAATGTGTACAAATTGTATAGACTATAGACTTTACATCTCTATATTGCATTATTTACTTATCTCCACAATATATCTTAGAGTCAACAAATTGCTTGGTCTGCATATAGTATACCCTGGTTCGAAAAATCGCATAAAACAATCACTAATATATCTATCCTTATACAAAGAAGCAAAAAACCACTTTTGATATCTATGGGCGGTATGTTTCCAGTGCTGTCAATACAATATTATGCTAATGTAAGATCATTTATTATATTATATAATTAAATATTTTTTACATGTCACAAATTTTATTACTAACACATATATTTCTTAATAATATATTTGTTTAGATGAAATATGTTAAAATATTTATTCATCACACAATTAAATGTTCGTATTTTTACAGAAAAAAATACGAGAGAAAGAAAGAAAAATGTAAAATATAATTTTCAATTATTTTTCTGTATAATAAAAATAATGCACAATTATTATTTAAAAAATTAAATTTAATTTTTGCTTATTATATGTATTTTATAAAATAAAATATAAGTGTTTTATTTTTACAGTTTATAAAAACGATTTCATCTTATTTCATGACAATAAGAGCTGCAATTCCTGAATAAACAGTGATCTAAGCACTATTTTGTGAAAAATATAAAAACATTAAATTTAACAAAAAAAAAATATATATATATATATTATGATTAAATCTTAAATTTATATTATTCTAAACATATTATATATTCTAAACATATTATATTTTATTTTATATAATAAAAATTAATTGAAATAAAATTATAATTATTATTAACATACTAATACTTGTGTAACACATTAACCTCACAATCAAATTGTTTAAATGTAATATAGTCAGAAAATATATTTTGTTCTACACTTTTAGTATGGTAGTTGAAATTTTTTATTAGAATTTTATTACAATTTTTTTCGTATTTGCTCTGAAACTCTTGATCTTCATGCATCAATCGAATTACAGTCATTATAACTTTTCCAACCAGTCTCCAATAACTCGTCTAAGAGTCTTGACGTGTTGTCAAACCGACACTATGTTCGTTCTTGACATCTTAAAATTATAATTTTATTTTTATTTTTACAAATCACTTGATAAGGACTCAAAGAAGGGTCGAAACGTTGTGATTGAATAAATAATATTTGTCAGTACGTCGAGAGAAGATTTTACCTTTTTTTTTAAATTCTGTCTGGCGATTCTCAAATATCTACGTTTTTATATATTATAACTTTTGTTCTACTATAGAATATATCTAATGACACCCATACCATTGAAGAACGCAGATCATTTCACTCCTACGGTTTTAGATATTTCCTTTATTTCGATTTTCTGAAATTATTTTAATTTATATCATTATAAAACCATTTTATCTATTTTCAATCTTTCAATACTACATCTTTCAGAGTTGATGCTACGTGACAATAAATTATGAATGAAACAATTTACTATTTTTCACAGTTCTACACTCAAATAGTGCTTCAAGTATGTAATCAAACGAAACAATAAATAAAATAGGATTTAGGTATATTATTTTAAAATTATAAAAATTACAGAGTAGTACGAGCAAAAAGCGAACCAACAACAATTTGTAGATATTTATTGAAATTATCGAGAGATTGATACGTGCTATATATTGCACGTATTCACCTTTATTTTCCACGATCACGAGAGTAAAAACCTAGTAATTACCATGAGGGATCAAGTTCTAGCCGAATAAATAAATAATGCGCTATTGATTGCGCAGCGTTTAGCTTCCAACTCCCATTTCTTTTTCCTCGATATTTCTTTAATATTTTTATACGGTTTATGCCTTGTAATTACCCAGAATTCTATACAACAAAAACTGATGCCACGATATAGTATTCTATCACCTGAATTCGAACAAGTATTATTTATATACTCGCTCGGAACATTTGCCATACAATTTGCTGCCAAATCCGGTTAGTGAAAAAAAAAATCCTTGTTCGCACATTTATTACTATATTTGCTACTTTTACGTACATGCGACATGTAATAAAAATGTTAATGTATAAATTTTTATTGTCGCAATTTTTGATATCATTATTTTTTTTAGAAATATTTAACCATTTGTACAAAAAAAATATTGTATAAAAAATTGCACCATTTTGCACCAGGTTTTTTATATTTTTAAAACACTGTTTTTGTATAACACTTTTTTATAGCGCGTAAACTTGTCGCCTTTTTTTTACAACAAAAAGGTAAATTTTTTTATGGGTATTATTCATTTTGAAGTATAATTTATCATTTACACATTTTAAGTATGCGGGACCATTATAACACGTTTCCGCCGCATCCGAATATAAAAAAAATAAGCTTCTTCTTCGTAATATTTATTGCTATGTGTGTATGTTTGTCCTAATATTGACGTGGACAGGAGTATTTATATTAATATAATCTTACATAAACTATAAAATATCTCGTAAAATATACATTTCTCGATTATCTTACCTCAGTACTTTTGTGCACAAAATCAAATTTAAAATTTGCAATCAGCAGATACATGTATAAAATTTATGAAACAAAAAAAGATAACATTTATATAGAAATTGTTTTACCAGTGCCACAACATTTGTCAGCCTCACGCAAGTTTGCCATGCCCAAACTTTTTAAAACTTCTAAAACGTCTAAAAACTTGAAAAATCTACATCAAAATCACTCTTGCGTCTATATAAAAGGCGTTCGGCGTTTACTATAAAATTGACCAAACACAGGTCTAAATTTGACTAGACTTTTGATTGGTCTCACACTTCACCATGCGGTACTGTTGAAATTATTCTCATTTGCAAACTGAGAATAAAACGTGACAATTTTGCAGGTGATGTCTATTAGAATGTCGTGGTAGCTACTGAAGTGAAGTGAGAAAGACAATCATGCAAATGTTTTAGTTGAAATTTCTACCAAGACTAATTATGCACTTCATAATTTATTATTTATTAAAGTTTGTGTGCAGCTGTTGTGTTTGCGTGCATGTATGCGTGTGTGTTTTATTTTGCTTATAATTTCTCGTAGTATTTCACTTATCAAAATCATTAAAATTTTATATAACACTTACAGCGTTGCTGCTGTATCAATAAATTATTATATGGAACAATTTTCTAATTTTGTAGTTTTTCATTTTAAAAGTGCTTCAATAATAAACATTAATAATCTAGGGAGCAATAAATGAAAGAGCAATTTATGCTTATTATAAAATTATAAAATTATAAAGATATTAAGGTAGTAGAAACAAATAGCTGATCAACAATAGTATAGATAATTATTATAATTATCGAGAGATTTATGCGTGCCATATATCGCACGTGTTTCAACTTTATTTTTCGCGATCATAGGAATAGATACTAGTAATTATCACGAGAGATCAAACGCTAGCCGACAAATAATTAATGCGCTATTAATTGCACCATTTCGCTCCCAACTACTCTATCTTTCCCTTCCTATATCCTTCTACCAAGGCTAATTACACACTTCAATAATTTAATATTTAGTAAAGATTTGTGTGTGGCTATGTTTGTATTCGCCTTTATTTTCCACGTACATAGGAGTAAAACACCTAGCAATTAATATGAGGGATTAAATGCTAGGCGAATAAATAAATAATGCGCTAATAATTGCGCAGCGTTCCAACTCCCATTTCCTTTTCTTCGATACTTCTTTAATGTTTCTATGCGGTTTATGCCTTGTAATTACTCAGAATTCTATACAACAGAAATTGATGCCACGATATAGTATTCTATCACCTGAAGTTCGAACAGTTGCTTTATATACTCCGAGTCGGAACCTTTACCAACACGTGGCTGCCAAATCCGGTTAGTGAAAGAAAAAACTCCTTTCTTCGCACATTATATTACTATATTTGCTACTTTTACGTACAGTGCGACAGTGCGAATATCAATGTTAATGTATACATACAAAAATCGAAACATGATATCAGTATAATTATAATGAAAGATCAAACGCTAGCTGACCAATAATTAATACGCTATTGATAATTGCACTATTTTGCACCCAGTTGCCCTTTCTATTTTTTTGTAATACGCTATTTAATGTTTGATAGTTACTGAGAATATTCTATACAACAAATATCGATGGCACGATGGCATTTATTCATGTGAAGTTTCAACAGATGTTTTACTTCATCCGAGTATGCGGGACCATTACAAACACGTGGCCGTCGAATCCGAATATAAAAAAAAATAAGCTTCTTCTTCGTAATATTTATTGCTATGTGTGTATGTTTGTCCTAATATTGACGTGGACAGTATTTATACAGACTTAGAAGAATAAAAACAGTGATGTCAACATATTAATGGCGAATATAGCTAATGCATCAGCTGGATTGGAAAGTGTTATCAATCCAATTCTATGCACAATGAAGAGAAGACAATTACAGGTAATGATATTTATCAATTCTTAATATTCTTCCTATATATGCAAATAATTTTTAATAACTATTTTTCGATCATTTATTTTGCTATAATTAATATCGTTAATAATTGAAAACATAGGCGATATAAATTAAATATTTAAAATATTTAAAATATTATTCTCTTCTTATATTTCTGTGATGCGCTGCTTAATGCTTTGTAGTTACTATATATATATATATATATATATATATATATATATATATCCACCTTACTTCCCATAATTATGGAAGATTAAATACTAGTAATTACCATAAAGGCTAGCAAATAAATAATTAACGCACTATTGATTGCACTTTGTCTTCAACTGCCATTTTTCCTACAATATAATATTTCTTTGATGCTCTGCTTAATTTCTCATATAATTACCCATAATATATTCTATACAACAAAAATTGATATCATAATATTATATTTATATTTATCTGAAGCTCTTCAACAGATTTTACCTTCTCCAAATCTGGACTATTACCAACACGTGGTCACCGAATATAAAAACAAGCAACAAGTTTTTTATTAATGTACTATTGTCTTCATATTCGCGACGGTATATGGATAGTGATGCTAATAAGTGCACACAAAAATCAAAACAATAATGTTGGCGAGTTAATAAAGAACGTATCTCATATGACATCTATAATGAAAGTTATTATCAATTCTATGCTGTAAATTAATTAATAACAATTAACATACGACAGTCACAGGTAACGATATTTAAATTATTATCCAAAGATAGTGTTTTGATGTAATAATTTTTAATAACTATATTTTTGAGATAATTTTTTCTACTTTTTTAATCAAAGTTGTTAATAATTAATATTTGAACAAAAAATGAAAAAAGTTAATATGAAGTAAAAATTTACAAGTAAAATGTGATCTTCTTTCGATACATGTCTATGTTTGTTATCGATAAGTAAAGTTTAGCGTTTGCCGATATATTCTAATCTACAATGAGTCAGTTATCTTCAAAGTTCAAAATGTTTAATGTAAAATTAATTGTATAATATTTTTTACACATACATAGATTAATATTTATTAAGCAGCTTCGCTTTTTATATTACATAAAATTAAAATAAATTATGGATTAAAAATTTACAATATAATTTATATTATATGTATATGTATATAAATTATATATATAAATTTATATATATACAGGGTGTCCGGTAACTAATGGACCAGTGATTAAGGGCGGATTCTCTGGCCAATTTGAAGACGATTTTTCCTTAGCAAAAATGTTGAGAAGTCAATAATTTTCGAGTTATAAGCGATTGAAAAAAATGGGTTTTTTGAAAACTAAACGTTTTGGAGTTAAAAGTCTAACATAATTACATTCTTCAGTTAATTTCAGGTAGAGTTTACTATAATAAAATTTTAATTTGAGGCTTAGTTATAAAGATACATAATGACAAATATTGGAAAGTTGTAAAAAATGATGACCTTTTTCGACATTTTCGCTGAGAAAAAATCGTTCCCAAATTGACCAAAGAATCCATTTGTAATCGTTGGTCCGTTAGTTACCGGACACCCTGTATATATTATAAATTTTATTTACACTTATATATACATATATATGTGTGTGTATATTGTGTGTATATATACACATACATATAAGTATAAATAAAACGTGTATAATAACTTATAAATAGTATTAAAAATAAAAATCAAACATCACAGTCTTGTTAACAGTTTTTAAAAATAATTTCTTGGTTTGTATTAAATTTTTTTTAAATATAAAATTATTTTTTTAAATAGACGTCAGATATAAATAGAATTTAATGGCTTTGAAATGCTTGAAATGGCTATTATTAATTCTTTGTCATTATTATTATTGTTACGGAAAAATTATTTTTAATATCTATATATATAATAATTGTTTATAATATTTAAAAAATTTTTAGCTTCTTAGAATAATTATTTTTTAATTTTTTATGATTTTGGATTTATCGTTACTCATTTAACATATTATTCTTCAATATTTTATTATTTACAAAAACATACATATTTAGTTGTTTTTGTAAAAATAAAAATAAGAATCTTCTTCAGTAACTTAATAAAATTAAGAAATTTATAACAATTCAAAATTATGTCAAACCGATATAAATAAATAATGATTAATATTTTATTTTAAAAAATGTTTAATATTTTAACAATTAATACAAACCAGAATATTCCATTATTATGTTGAAAGATATAATTTAATTGCTAATTCACTGCAATATGTACTAATACTAAATAGATGTCCGCTTGTTTATCACAGATCAAATATCATGGCAAAGTGAGAGAAAATATATATGCTTCAATAAAAAGACACACAGTACTTCCTAACAATCGAATAACTACTAACGCCTTGCATAATATTTAATGAATTAAGTGCGGAAGTTGCACGATAGTTATCAAATATCACAACTGTATATACTAGTGTCTTATCTGCTTCGTTGTAACTCGTTATTATCTTTACATATAGATGCAATGCTAACCAAGGATATAATTATGCAAGTACCTAAGGGGATACTTTATTCATTAACAGCTTTCCATAACGAGCCTTACATGAAGTTACAGCATGTTTCAAAATCAACGTATAACATTTAATTTAATTTTCTTATAATAAACAAAAATTTAGAAGTCATTTCTATATTAAATTTTGACTTATTTCGATAAGTTGATAATTAACGTATGACTCAAATATATAATAATGACCATAAGATATTATAAAATTTTAGAACAGTTATTGTTTATGTGAATCTACCTGTAACTTACCTTGTGAATAATCCTCGTTGCACTCTATCTATTATTTGCTTTCACAATGCGCAAATGCAAAATGTTACAGTGAAGGAAATCCATTGGCATAAGAGAGTGAAGGGTGCAAGGAGAATTTATAACGTATAGCCAATGGAGTCTCTGTGCTGATAACGTATTTACAACGTATGTACGCCGACCATACCATGATATCGAAGATTACGCCCGTTAAAGCTATACGCTTTATAAGAATCAGCGTGGCATTGGTGTGCGCCTGGCCACCGTCACCAAAATTAACAAAATCTTTTACCTTTTTCAAAGCTAGCTGGTGTATGTGTTACTTCAGCAGTATCTTACTATTACTTCCGCTGCTGAGGTCAATTTATGAGTATCGTGACGATCCTGTGATTTTAGCAAAGTCAGTTTGTCTCTCTTGTGCGGTGCTTCAAGTCACGATCAAAATGATGGTGTGTCTTGTACAGTATACTTCTTTTCAAGTATGTATATAAAATTTGATGAGTCTTATCGAAATAAAATTTAACGTATGTATATGCGCGGAAAGAATAAATATATATAATAATTGTTATGTATGCAATTTTATATACGAATTTATTTATAATAACATTATAAAATATACATAATAATATATTGTATGTATAATGCACAAACAAGTTTACAAATCTGATTGTATTTTAGAAAGATTTCTGTAATTTTTATGAGAAATTTGATGCAAGCATTATAAATAATTACAAACAAATATACATAAATAGTTTCTAAAATTTAGTCGAAATAACATTAAAATAAAATGGATAATTATTTAATAACATGAACTTTATAAATAATATTATTCTTGACTTTATTATAAAAGAGTGATCGTAAAAATCGTCCTTTTCGTGGACCTCGAGTTTTGATACGATTTGGTGGTAAATGATTGTATATCATCAAACATTCATCCTCTAAAAAATTCAAATTGAGCATACCTTTTATTGCTAAGATATTTCAATTCAAAATTTTTAAAGGATGAATACCAATATGTTCGGTATAGAATAGTCGGGAATGTCCCGTCGTATATTATCGTGGAAGGATTGCCTCACGAAATACGATTGAGAATGTTTCTCTGCACTTGTTTATTATTTATTACAAAAAACTCGTAAGACAGCTGATACACTCGTTATTATAATGTAGAAAGCTCAACAAAGGGTACAACATATAATGATATGCGGTTATGGCGGTCGCACGTGCATAATATACAATCATTTATCACCAAAATCGTATCAAAACTCGAAGTCTACAAAGTCTACAGGCGCGATTTTAGGCCTGTTTTTGCAATCATTCTTTAGTCTTTGAAATAAGTATGTCATTTTAATTTTTGTATGTAATGTAATCTAAGCACGCGTTATGAAATATTAGGGTTATATTTGATTAAATTAGAGTTAGTTTCAATTAGATTTAAAAAACTAATAGAAAAGAGATAATATTTGTAAATAATTCCGTATGTTTATAATAAATATTTCCCTATGTTTTAAATATCAATAATAAAAAATTAATTGTTTAGTTTATATTATAATTATACGTATATGTATATATACTTATGTATATATATTATATTACTAGGCTACACGCAAGCGCGCTACACGTGTGTTTCTGATATTATTTCTATTATTTATTTTACAATTGTCAAATAGTTAATCTTTGCTTGATGCTATAAATATGACCATAATTTTAATTCCCAAATTTTTATTATGTACATAATTTTAAATCGCCGAATTTCTATTATGTACATAATTTTAATTCCCGAATTTCCATTATGTATATAATTATAATTTATTGAATTTCTATTATGTACATAATTTTTATTTGCCGAATTTCTATTGTATTGTTTGAGAACTATTTTGTACATGTATATGTATCTCTTTATATATTTCTTTCTCCTTTTGTTTAGTTTAACCGAATATAAAATTACGTGCGCGAAGCGAAGTTATGTTGTTCTTTGATAATAAAACCTAAACATTGTAACGCATGTATAAAATTATTATTGCAATGCATGCATAGAAATATAGCGCGCGGCTCGCGCGAGACTAATCTCGTGCGGGCGATTTTCGAGCGCGGAACAATGGTCACATGACCAGTAGTCACGTGACCAGTGCATCCACTGGTCACGTGATCTCGGCTTCGCGCTCGCGATACCTCGCACGAGAATCGAGAATCAGTTTCGCGCGAACCGCGCAACGTGACAGACGTATGGGGTATAGAGTCTTGCGCGAGTCTAATGAAAGCGTAAATATTTGATTACAAAAGATTCTTGTAGCAAATTTTATTTCTTTTTTATATTTTCTGTTAAAGATTTAAATATTGAATTTTTATGCGTTGCACAATATTAAACAAAATTATATATATATGTATATATATATATTTTTTTTTTTAAGTTTTATTAAATCTGTTTTTAGCATACTTATTCTATGTAAGTCTAGTGTATTCTTCATTGAATAGAAATAAATTAATTGTTGTAAATATAAAAACTGATATTTATTGTACCAATTTGTATTTAAATATTTAATATTTATGTTTATATTTAATATTTATGTTAATACTATTTATAATGCTTATAATTTCAGGTGCTGTATCATGACATGGAAATGTTTTGCAAGCAAGCGGATGATAAGACAAGTATTACTTTGCAACGTTATGTTGACGATTACAAGTATACATATGGTACCTATACGTTATGGTGTTATCTGGCCGCTATTGGCGTCATTTGTGGACCGTTAATTCTTCCGCAACAATTTCCGACTGATGCAAAGTATCCATTTTCTGTGGAACAGCAACCAGTAAAAAGTATTATCTATTTACATCAGTCATTAGTCGGCTTACAAGTCTCGGCTGGAATGTGCATAGAATGCAGTATTGCGATGCTTTTATTCTATTCCGCAGCAAGATTAGAATTATTGATTCAAAAGATGCGCAATGTCGAAACTGAGTGCGAACTCGATGCATGCATCAAGTTGCACAATGAAATATTAAGGTGAGAATTGATTATTCATCAAATCTTGATTATTTATCAAGTCCTTATAAATAAATATGCATATGCATTTTACAATACATAATATACAATATATTATGTATATGATATGCCATGTTTTATAAACAAATGTTTTTAAAAAAGACGTTTTATACAAATGATTAAGTCATATGTATAAGGATATAACAATGATTATATAGGTCACGATAAAAGTAGAAAATTAATGAGAGGCAAAAATCCAACTAAAACTTTTTAATTAATATAAAGGCATTTCTGAACAAATCTTTGAGTTTCAACACACAAATGTGAATGACTAATTTAAGATTCTTTCTAAATATCTACAAGTGTTTACAATTATTTTACGCGGAAAGCTGATAAATATATTTTACTGCATCTTTCGATTCTTATTACTTTTTATGAACGTAAATAATTATATCGATCTAAAAACATTTTCTCTCTATACAAATTACTAAAATATAAAATATAATCTGAGGTGTGAGAAAAAAAATAAAAACAAATAACTAGATTTTGTTCCAAATAAAGCTTTTAAATTATTATTAAAATGCGTTTATTTTTAGCATATGACTTCTATATAATTATAATACTAATAGCAAACTTCCTTATTTTAGAATCGTTAGAACCCCCAACCCCCCAATTCATTTTACTTTGAATTTTCGTTCACTTTCATTTTCCGACTGTTTTATATATACATGCGTATGAAATGTTATATTTGAATACTTTCTTTCTTACTTTCAACATAATCAAATGGTCACATGGTCATAAATGTATAATAAAGGAACTGTAAAATCAACGCAAAAATACTGAGTTAGAAAACGATGACTAATTTAAAATAATGAGAAAAATTAACAAAAAACAGAATAGAAAAATTTTAAAGATTTTACTCCGTGCTAAATATTATTTTTTAATTAAATATAGACATTTTTCAGATACATCGACAAGATAATTCACGCTGTGTGGCCTTTGGTTTTGACTACAATAACAACAACAACTATGGGTGTTGTCTTTGGAAGTTTAAATATGGTTACTGTAAGCATCACGTCAATTATTTTATTTAACTTAAAATTTCTTGATTTCGGATAATCATTTATGACAAAAAGCTAAAAGGTCTTTTGATCAGTCATAAAACCATATTTAATTATTATTATATCATGTTATATTAAATTCCAACAAAGAAGAGATGTGTGTGTGTGTGTGTGGCTTATTTTTAATAAATAGGACCAACCAATAATAGTCAAGATTCAATATGCCATCGTAGTGTTTAGCGCTAGCGTGGAACTTTTTATGTGCGCTTTTCCAGCTGATAATTTAATGCATATGGTAATATTTTTTATTAAAATTTGAATCGATTAAAATTTATATTAGACAGGAACAATAATAATTTATTTCTTTTCATAGAGTAACAAAATTTGTTTTGGAGCATATGAGTCGAAGTGGTTTCAAGGAAGTGTAAGCATGCAAAAAAAAGTCCTTCAAATCATTTTTAGATCACAGAAACCTGAAGTTATTCGAATTAATGGTATTCTTCCAGCTTTATCATTACGTTATTATGCAGGGGTAAATATCACGCATTACATGTTTTTATATATCTTATGATTTTAATGAAGTTTTAATGTCTTCTTAAATCATTATTTTCTAACACGTTTTATTAATTTGATACCAACTATTTTAAGCATTTTCTATATATGTATACATTGACAATTTTCTTATAGTTTTATTTTGTAAAAAAACATGTAATTATAATTATAGCTATAGAAAATAATAAAAAATTTTATGTTGCAGTTTTTGTATACATCCTGTTCATATTTTAATGCGGTACGTATAATGGTCAACGAAGATATTATAGATTAATCCGACGAAAAATGTTTCGAAACACGTGGTAAAGTATCTATATTTATTAAACTAGTATTTTAGTATTTTTTAAAAATTAAACATACACACATTATTTCTGTTAAATATATATATATATATATATATATATATATATATATATAGAGTTATTAATAAAATGATACACACATATTATAAAATATATAAAAGATATATATATATATATATATATATAATATATATATATATATATATATATCTATATTATATATTTTATTATATAAATTATAAATAATCCAATATTATAATATTGTATTATTGAATCAATATAATTTATTGTATTATATACAAGAATTAGTCTAAATAATAATTAAAGCAATTGTCTCAATATTACAATGCATCTCATAAAAATAAAAAAATGTAGTAATCACAAAAAATATCTTAATGCATATTTTAAAGCATGTATAATATTTATAACATTTTCTTATTGACAGCTTTAGGCGAAATAAAATAGATTTTATTTTGCTTAGGAAATATGTAAAGCCTCTTATTCCTTATCTATTTATTCACCAAATCATGATTTGTATAATTTCTTTTTATTCTCCTAATAAAATCATAGTTAAAAAAAATGTATTAACATCTTTAAATTAGATTAAAATCGCAAATATTTCTTTCGATCATTTTCTACCGATCATTAAATGAACAAAAATGTACAAATACCATACACAGATACGTTACGTCAGTGCATTTTTCTCATAAATAGATGATTATGATGATGTAATCTGGATCCATCATTATTCACTATATACATTATTATTTATCACTTGGAAGGAAGTAAAACGTTACTCATTTATCTAAAAAATTGCATATTTTTGTTCAGGAAATTGCGAAAAATTGTATTTTTTAGAGCGATCTTGTAGAGTGTGATCGCTTTCCTAACATTCATAGTCCAGCTTTTGTCTATAGCATCCAACTGGCGAAAGAGAAATCATCGTCTCTCTAAAGGAACACTGTAGCTATCCGTAGCGATTTATAATCTGTAACAATCAACATTGCATCGATTAAGCAAAATTTCAACATCGCCATCGAATTTTATATTCTACTATTGTGTTAAAAATGACATAAAGTGTGAGATCTGAAGAAAAAAATAGTTGCCCGAAAAGCGGAAGACTCATATTCGCTTCCTTATTTTACTCGTATCATACATATTTTCTAATAGACAAATATCGTTTTCTAAAAGATTATTTGTTAGACTGAAAACCATGCAAATGTCATAAATATTGGTTACATAAATTCTTGTTTATTACTCGTTTCTCTTATTTAGAATTCAAATTTCGACATTTTTGAGCAATATACATATAGTTTATTTTATGTAAATAAAACACGAAATACTGTTCTTTGAAATACCATCATTCAGTCAGTATAACGAACCTTATACTTTCTACAGCTGTCCATTTCACATTTCATGAAGGGTGTGTGTATTAAAGTATAAAATATGAAAATGGATAATAGAGGTGTTGTGCTGTACACGCTTAGTTATAAATATAAACGCCTTCGCCTTGTGGCGTTTCTAAGCGAGAACGCCTTAATACAGTACCTACGATAAGAGCCAAGAAAACGTAAAGAATGTGTTAAATAATTTACAATCATTATGGTTTTTTCCGAGAATACATCGTACTCTTGAGATATTATACCAGAATCTCTATTTATTAATTCTATACTGACTATTACTGCAGAAAAAGTCTCTATTTGTTGAACCTGCACACGCAACACCACTTCTTACCGCATAAAAACTTTATCAATATATATCCCAAAGTATAGGAAACGGAAATATGAAAGAATACATAATATACATACATCAACCTTCGCTTTGATTAAATACTTGTTTATCGTAATATCTTGAAAAATCCTTCGATCCATTACACATAACGATTTTGTGCTAAAACATCTATTCCAAATAATTATTAATTTTTACGATCTTATATATATCTAAGTATATATGATACGAAGTACATTAGTAATCATGCGAGGAAAATCGATGCTAAAAAAGATTATTTTTATTGTAAAATTAAGTTTGTTTCCAGTATTGTGTTGGCCGTTGCCAAAAGACGCGACGAAATTCAAAATGATTTGCAATTATATCATTATTTAGGAATTATTTTGGCAATAATTGCACAAGTATCATCGATATATACTATTTTAAATAATATTGACAATTTTGTACTTCTAGTAGACTTAATGTTTTTCTAGTCATATTTGCGATAATCGACATTGCATTTCTTTTAAAAAAGGAATAGCAAACAAATAAATGTCACAGAACATTTTGTACTAGCTAGCTTATAAAATCAAAAACAATTAAACACAGTATAATGATGGACTTTATCTCGTCCTGAAAACATCACGCAATGAGGAGTCAACCTCACTTTCCCTGAATAGTTGCACACGCTTGTGAAACCGTATAATTAAAGATTTCGTATTGAAAACATTAAAAAAATAAAATACAATAGATTTTGTTTCGCACAAAAAGTCGCAAAATGTAACGTTTTTTCCATATTTCTGTTCTTTAGATCATGTGCTCCGTGCAATTTCTTTCTATTTTCCTAATTAAAATTCTAGTTTAATATAAAGAACATAACGTGATCTTCGAAATTAAATCGAAATCGCAACTATATCTATCGTTTTCTAATGATTATCTATTTAATTAAAAATGTACAAAAACTGTACACAGATACATTAGTGTTTTTCTCGCGAATAGAAGATTGCTAGGAATATGTTTGAACCGCCCTTTAATACATAATTTTTATCTATTACTTGGAAATAAACAAAGTTCTTCATTTACTCCTAAGGATTACCGACTTTTTGTTCAGCAAATAACGAGGAATATTTTTTTAAAACGATCTTGTAAAGTGTGGTTACTTGTTTAGCATTTATAATCAAGATTTCAACAGACAAGAGATAAATCATTGTCTCTCTAATTACATTGTAACTATCTGTAGCGATTTTGTATTATCTGTAGTATTAAAAATGGCATAAGATGAAATGTCTGCCTGAAGATAAATAACTTGTGTCTTTGTGTGTTGTATTCTTCATTTTCAAATAATACTTGCCCAAATGCAAAAGATTCACATTCGATTTTGCTTTCAGTTACTAACATCCCAAATATTTTTCTAATTCACAAATATCTTTCCCTAAATATTATTTGTTAGACCGAAAAACATGCAAATGAGTTAAATATTGGTTACCTAAATTCTTGTTTATTCCTCGTTTTCTCATCTACAAATTTCGTCATTTTTGAGCAATACACATAGTTTATTTTGTGTAAACAAAACACGAAATACTGTTCTTCGAAATACCGTCATTTAGTCAGTATAACGAACCTTACTTCCTACAGCTGTCCGTTTCACATGAAGAGTGTGTGTATCAAAGTATAAAATATGTAAATGATAATAGAGGTGCTGTTATAAGTACACGCTCAGTTATAAGTAGAAACACCTTTGACCTGTAGCGTTTCTAAGAGAGAACGCCTTAATACAATACCTACAATAAGAGCCAAGAAAAACGTAAGAAATGTGTTAAATAATTTACAATCAATTATGGTTTTTTTCTCCGAGAATAAATAGTACTCTTCAGATATCATACCAGAATCGCTATTTACTTATTCTATACTGACTATTACTGCGAAAAAGTCTCTATTTGTTGAACCTGCGCACGCAAAACCACATCTCTTATCGCATGAGAATTTTATCAATAAGCATCTCAAAGTATGTGAAACGGAAATGTGCAAGAATACATAATATACGTACATCAATCCTTCCTTTGACTATATATTTGTTTATCGCAATATCTTGAGCACTCCTTCGACTCTTAACGATCTTGTGCTAAAACGTCTATTATAAATAATAATTAATATTTACGATCTTATATATAAATATATAAGATACGAAATACATTGTAGTCATGCGAGGAAAGTAATGCTAAAAAAGATTATTTTTATTTTAAAGTTAAGTTTGCTTCCAGTTTTGTGTTGGCCGCTGTCAAAAGACACGACAAGATTAAAAATAATTTGCGTACAATTATATCATTATTTAGGAATTATTTTGGCAATAGGTGCAGAAGTATCAGTGATATATACTATCGTAACTCGTTTTGACGATTTTGTACTTTTAGTAGTGTTAACACTCTTTCTAAGCAGCATTATTCACAGCATTGGAAATTCTATCTTTCATATAATTTATAGACAACGTATACAAGTAATTACTGTATCTATGTGTACTTAATAAAAAAAGCTCAAATGTAAATTAATTAAAGGATCATATTTTGCTAATATGCACTATTTTATCAATAATATGTATCACACTATTTGCAGTATGTCACGTTTGAAATGATACATTTTTCTGAATCGATGCAACCACACGAAGATGTGATTATTCAACGATACATTGACAAATGTGTCATGATTTACGGTGTGTCTCTATTTACATTATATATAAGTACCTTAATATGCGTCATTGCAGTACCGTTAGTAATGGATCAACCGTTTCCAATGCCACTTGAATATCCATTCAATGTGTACGATCAGCCGCTAAGAACTATTATCTACTTACATCACGTTGTAGTCGGAATGCATGTAACAGGGCAATTATGTACCAATTTTTTAATGGGTCTTTTACTTTGGGTCATATCTGCAAGATTGGAAATATTGGCCAATGAACTGCGGAAAACTACAGATATTTACGATTTGGTCAAATGTATTAGAAAGCATCAGTACTTACTCAAGTAATACTTTTTTACTTTATGCAGTTGTGAACACTAATAATTGCCGACATTTTTACACTTAGCGATCATATTTCTCTGTAACATTTAAAAAACATATGTTGTTACTTGAACAACCAATTATATAGTTAAAACATTACACTATTTTATGAAAATGTGGGAAAATTATATTATCGTATAAATTGTGTAATTTGAAAAATATTTAACACTATGTAAATTATATATAATGCTTAATAAACCTTTGTTTAGGTGTGCAACTGAAGTTACTTTTGCTGCTCGGCCTTTCGCATTTACAACTATATGTTGTAGTACAATTTGCACAATAATAATCCTTCTTTTATTTCTTACCGTAAGTACACGTTATATAAACAAAATTATTCTTTTATTTGGCAAATTATTGTCTCATTGACTTTTGTATACAATTATTTGCATACAATTATACATCATATAATTTTACATAAGAATTGAAAATATTGTATATGGCGACATGTGCTATAATATAAAAATAATTTGACTTTAACATTTATTTATATTTTTGTATAAACGAGCAGAACGTAACAATTTTTCGTTTTCTAATTATGTGTGTATGTTTGTGTGTAATCACCATTAAATATATAGAAAATAGAATATTTTTATTGATATGTAAAACATTTGAATCACTTAATATAAATTATAAAATTAAATTATGTACCATATAAAAGCAATGTAAACACGCGCGCGCGCGCGTGAGTGTGTGTGTGTGTGTGTGTGTATGTATTTATATATATATGTATATGTGTGTATATATATACATATATATATTAATCAATAATTTGAAAGCATTTAGAGCAATTCTACATTCTTAAATTCTTATTGCTTCTATTTAAGCTTTATTGACATTTAATGTCGTTAACATTTAAAAAAACTGTACAACTGTTTGACTATAAATAGATATAATCTTTATCTATTAATGCGTATAACAAACATAACTCAATTAATAATAAGTAATAAGACAAATAATATAAAAACCATAAATAAAGATATATCAATTTTTACTACTCTCTCTCTCTCTCTCTTTATCAAATTATTTAAACAGACTGAATCTATGACAATGATATACCAATATATTGGTTTAATTATATCCTCCTTGTCAGAAGTATTCATGTATACATGGCCAGCAGAAAATTTAATTCACAGAGTAAGTTATATTTATCGCTAAAAATTATTATAAATTATCATAAATTATTATGAATTATTATATATGTTTGTTATTTTTTTTCAGAGCCAAGATATCGGACAAACAGCATTTGATATGCCTTGGTACGATCAATCAATTAAATTACGTAAATGTCTACAAATTATTATACGAAGAAGTCAAAAGCCAATAACAGTTTCAATTCCTTGTGTTATGCCTGCATTATCTCTTAGCTACTTCACATCGGTGAGAAATATTTTGAATTGATTGAATTGATTAACTATATAGCTATCGTATATATCGATCGCGCGCCTGTTTTCTAGCTATCATCTTATACGATTCAATATTTATTGATATTTTATTTTATTAATAAATTTAATGATATGTGACTAACATAAACTATAACTATAAATATAAATATAAAAGCAAATGCAAATATTATTAACAATCTTTTTTTGGCATAATATTTTAGCCATTTATGTCGTTATATATGTTCCAGTACTTTTCGACTATAATCTCTTATTTCACAACGTTTCGAGTATTTTTAAACGATGAAAACTAAAAATGAACATTATAGAATACCAAAATAATGATTGTAATAGTTAATGTTTACACAAAAAAATCTATATTATGTCACATTAATTATGTAAATATAATTCCTCTGTACCAGCAAATTATATATTGTTTGATTTCAAAATTATTATAAATAAAATATTATTATTTTTAATATTTTATATAAGAATATTATATATAAGATTATGTATATATATATATATATATATATATATATAGATTAAATTTTGTATGTATATATATATATATACATATACAAAATATATATACATATACATATAATATATGTAAAACAGTCATTTTATCTATTTTGCATAATATTAATAATGCGTATTTTTGGATTTTATTATATTGAGAAAAAACAACTTTTATATAAAAATTGATATATACATTGGTCAAAAAATTATCGCAACACGCAATTAATATCAAAATTTCGTATAAATTCAAATAAGCGTATCTCCGCGAAAAATTATTGTATTTGAACATTTTTTTTGTTTTAAAGGGTGAAGTGTCTACTTTAAGAAACTTTCATTCGATTTTGATTTCATTCTCTTTCCCTCTCTTCACCTCTTTAAAAAGTAAAGTGTATTTTTTTCAAAAAATTGCAAAATTTGACGAACTCTACGGAGCGAAATAAACTTTTTTCACAAATCTTATCCAAATTTTCGTAAAATATGGATTTTTTCCTACAAATTAAAAAAAGCAAAGTTCGTACCATTTTTTGGCAGAGTTACAGCGATCACTTGTCTAGCATCTATAATAAGAAATCAACGGACGAGAGATAAATCATCGTCTCTCTAATTACATTGTAACTATCTGTAGCGATTTTGCAATAATCGACACTGCATCTATTCAGCGAAATTCGAACATGGATCTGAAATTATATATTTAACATGTCTCAGCCAGAAATAATAGTTAAATCAACGTCGAATTGATGTCGAATTAATGACGAATTGGTCGAATCGATATCGATGCGACGTCTTTTTGACCGATCATTTCTGACTGAGGTATATTTACAGTATTAAAAATGGCATAAGATAAAGTGTCTGTTTGAAGATAAATAATAACTTGTGAGGTCTTTGAAAATAAAGAATGATTGCCCAAATGCAAAAAATTCACATTCGATTTTGATTTCCGTTACTCACATCCCAATTATATTTCTAATCCACAAATATCGTTTTCTAAAGATTATTTGTTAGGCCGAAAAACATACAAATGTCTTAAATATCGGTTACATATATATATATACTTGCTTATTACTCGTTTCTCTTATGTAGAATTCAAATTTCGGCATTTGTGTACAATATATACAGACAGTTTATTTTGTGTAAATAAAACACGAAATACTGTTCTTTGAAATACTTACTTCCTACAGCTGTTCATTTCACATGAAGAGTGCGTGTATCAAAGTATAAAATATGTAAATGATAATAGAGGCGTTGTGCTGTACACGCTCGGTTATAAGCGGAAACGCCTTCGCCTTGTAAAGTTTCTAAACGAAAACGCATTATAATAAAGTACCTATATATTAAAAGCCAAGAAAAACGTAAAAAATGTGTTAAATGATTTACAATCATTTATGGTTTTTTTTTCTTCGATAATACATAATACTCTTGAGATATACTAGAATCTCTATTTATTTTTTTTTATATTGACTATTCCTGCAAAAATGTCTCTATTTATTGAACCCAAACACGCAATACCATCTCTTATTGCATAAAAATTTTATCAATATGCATCCCAAAGTATGTGAAACGGAAATGTGCAAGAATACATAATATACGTACATCAATCCTTCCTTTGGCTATATATTTGTTTATCGCAATATCTTGAAAAATCCTTCTACCCATTACACATAACAATCTTGTGCTAAAACGTCTATTCAAAATAATTATTAACTTTTACGATCTTATATATAAGTATATAAGACACGAAGTACATTGTAGTCATGCGTGGACAATTGATGTTAAAAAAGATTATTTTTGTTTTAAAGTTAAGTTTGTTTCCAGTATTGTGTTGGCCGCTGCCAAAAGACGCAACGAGATTCAAAATAACTTGCGTGCAATTATATCATTTATTATTAATTATTTCGGCAATAATTGCAGAAATATCAATGATATATACTATTTATAATAATTATAACGATATTGTACTTCTAGTAGAGATAATACTTTATCTAAGCTGCACTGTTCACAGCACTGAAAATTATATCTTTCACACCATTTTTAGAAAACGTATACAAGTAATTATTCTATATCTATTTACATTTAATGACAAAATCTCAGATATAAATTAATCAAAGGATCAGATTTTGCTAATATGCACTATTTTATCAATAATGTGCATCACTGTTTGCAGTTCGTCACGTTTGAAATGATAGAATTTTCTGAATCGATCCAACCACACGAAGATGTGATTATTGAACGATACATTGACAAATGTGTCATGCTTTACGGTGTGTCTCTATTTCTGCTATATGTGAGTGGGTTTTGGCCCAGTTTAGTACCGTTTCTAACGGATCAACCGTTTCCAACGCCAATTCAATATCCTGAATCATTGAATGTGTACGATCAGCCGCTAAGAGTTATTATATATATACATCAAACTGCGATCGCAATACAAATAGCAGCGCAAATAAGTACCAATAGTTTAATGGGACTTTTACTTTGGATCACATCTGCAAGATTGGAAATGTTGGAAAATGAGCTGCAGAAAACTACAGATATTTACGATTTGGCCAAATGTATTAGAAAGCATCAGTACTTACTCAAGTAATACTTTTTTACTTTATGCAGTTGCAAACACTAATAATTGCCAATATTTTTACACTTAGCGATCATATTTCTCTGTAATATTTAAGAAACATATGTTATTACTTCTATATATAATATTGCACTATTTTATGAAAGTGTGGGAGAATATCGCAAATCATAAAATCTCTGTGCATACGAGAATATATTATCGTTATATTATTGTATAAATTGCATAATTTGAAAAATATTTAACACTAGGTAAATTATATATAATGCTTAATAAACCTTTGTTTAGGTGTGCAACTGAAGTTACTTTTGCTGCTCGGCCTTTCGTATTCTCAAGTATATGTTGTAGTACAATTTGCACAATTATTATCCTTCTTTTATTTCTTACCGTAAGTACATGTCACATACACAAAATTATTCTTTCATTTTGCAAATTATTTTCTCATTGACTTTTGTATACAATTATTTGCATATAATTATACATAATAGAATTTTACTTAAAAATTGAAAATATTGTATATGACGTTATGTGCTATATATAATATAAAAACAATTTGACTTAAATTATTTAACATTTATTTTTATTTTTGTATAAACAAGCAGAACGTAACAGTTTTTAATATTCTAATTATGTGTGTATGTTTATGTGTTATCATCATTAAATATATACAAGATAGAATATTTGTATTTATATATAAAAACATTTCAATCATATATATACTAGTATTTCGGACCGCGCTTTGCGCGATCCTCGTCTATATGAGCTCTAGCCTGTATAAAACTTGATTTAACACAGAAAATTATTTGTTCTGTCTATATAACCGCAAACTACTTCCACATTTCTGGACCGATTTTTGCTAAATTTTTATCAAAATGTTACAAATTTTTCGAGGATAACTACTATATTATTTTTTTCACTCCCTGATATTTTATTTCGCGCTGCGTTTTGCATAAATAAATATTGATTTACGTGATTTTCTCTAAACATTTGATGATATTTAAATGTTCCCTGCATTTCTAGAAAAAACCACTATGGTTTTTACATTATTCTAGATGTATGAGACCTAGAACAACTCGAATTTTACTTTCCGCTCGAGATAAAAAAATCGCACTTTTTGGGCATCCTCCTTTAAGATCATGTTGGATGATTATAAATCAGTTCCAAATGTAGAAAAAATAATTCTCAAATTTTTTCAGATTTTTATTTTCAGCCCTGAGTCTCCCTGTTTGCACATATGTTATTTAAATATTTATATAATATTTTTAATAATTTGAAAAAAAATATTAATTTATTATACTTCAGTTCTAGATGGAGTCAGCTGCAAAAGTAGTGAACAAGATTATTCAATTTTTCGTAAAAGATAGTCACACAAAAATCGTATATAGGCTATTCCACACGAGTCATGGGTGTTTTTAATTCAGTTAATTATTTTTCATCTATTTTTCAAGCAATATAACAACGTATTTTATATTTCTTTTTATCTTTCTTGAACTTTTAATCGTCGTTATTTTTGATTATATAAGAAAAAGATGTGTAGGAAATTTCATTCCAGTGCTCAATGATTAAGCGCAAATTTTAGATAATTTTTTGTTTGTTTTAGAAAAACAATTCGAGGAAATTAATAATCAATGGTTAAGAAATTTTTAAAAAATCTAAAAAACTAAAAGTCGTAAAGTTTCAAGGAATATTATTGTATTGTATAATTGTATTTATTCAAAGTATAAAAAGAAAATCGATCATACAGAATAAAAATTGTTTCATAATCGTCTCTTTTTAATATAAAATAATAATTTAAATTTTTTCACTCGATTTGTGTGTATAGTGTATAGTATAACACACACAACTCGAGTGAAATACCTCATATACGATGTTTTACTATTTTCACGGCAATAAAACGTATTTCATAAAATGTCGCCATTTTGGACTAGAACTAACTTAAATAAATATTTTTTAAATAAAAAAAAAATTTACATGCCAACAGGGAGACTCAAGGTTCAAAATAAAAATCTGAAAAAAGAGATTTTTTTCACATTTAAAGCCAATTTACTACTATCCAACATTAAAATTCTGAAAAAACCCATTTAACGACTACCCTAATATATATATATATATATATATATATATATATATATATATATATAGTCAATAATTTGAAACCATTAGAGCAATTTTTCATTCTTAAATTCTTATTGCTTCTATATAAGTTTTATTGACATTTAATGTCGTTAACATTTAAAAAACTGTACAACTGTTTGACTATAAATAGATATAATCTTTATCTATTAATGCGTATAAGAAACATAACTCAATTAATAATAAGTCAAATAATATAAAAAACGTAAATAGAAATATATCAATTTTTACTATTCTCTCTCTTTACTAAATTATATAAACAGTCTCAATCTATGACACTGATATACCAATATACCGGTTTTGTCGGATACTGCTTGGCAGAAATATTCATGTATGCATGGCCAGCAGAAAATTTAATTCACAGAGTAAGTTATATTTATCGCTAAAAATTATTATAAATTATTATAAATTATTATGAATTATTATACATGTTTGTTATTTTTTTCAGAGCGAAGTTTTCGCACAAACAGCATATGATATACCTTGGTACGATCAATCAACTAAAATACGTAAATGTCTAGAAATTATTATATTAAGGAGTCAAAAACCAATAACAGTTTCAATACCTTGTGTTATGGCATCATTATCTCTTAGCTACTTTACATCGGTAAGAAATATTTTGAATTGATTGAATTGATTAACTATATAGCTATCGTATATATCGATCGCGCGCCTGTTTTCTAGCTATCATCTTATACGATTCAATATTTATTGATATTTTATTTTATTAATAGATTTTGATAATATGTGACTAACATAAACCATATGCAAATATTATTAACAATCTTTTTTAGCATAAAATCTTAGCTATTTATGTTGTTATATGTTCCAGTACTTTTCGACCATAGTCTCTTATTTTACGACGCTTCGAATATTTTTAAACAATTAAAACTAAAAGTAAACATAGCAAAAAATCAAAATAATTATTGTAGTAATTAATATTTACACAAAGAAAAATCTATTTTATGTCGCATTAATTATATAAATATAGTTTATCCACCAGCAAATTGTATTTGATTTCGAAATTATTTTTAGATAGATTTCTTATATATTAATTATATAAATATAGTTTCTCTATACCAGCAAATTAGGTATATTGTTTGATTTCAAAATTATTATAAATTAAATATTATTATTTTAAATATATTGGTATATTGTTTATAAAATATAGTTGAATACACTAATATATATATATATATATATATATATATATATATATATATATCATATGTGTGTGTGTGTGTAAAATATAGTAATTTTCTCTATTATATAGAAAAAAAACAATTTATATATATACAATATACAATATATATAAAATTGATATATATTACTATAAAATGCAATTTTGCACAACTTACTCATGCAGCGATGAATTTGTGTATAGCTCACACCTTCCGCGGTTAAAAGACGCTTTACTGCTCGCCGTTCAGCTTGTTAATTGTTCACTTCATTTTGACTGTTTGGACGGTATACTGATACGTCTTGAGGGCACACTGCTACTCTCATCATATAGTCGCAATTCTACCGGATATGACACTATAGTGAAGTCACGTCTATTTCACATTAAAGATATTATTCCGTAATAAACTTATTCAGCTTTTGTTACATCCTTTGACTCATTTTCATTTAAATGACCTAATAATAAATATGTAACATACGATAAGTAAATACTGCATTGCATTAATCAAGCTGTACTAGATTATTCATCGATTATATTAACAAGTACATTGGAAATACATTCTGTAGCACATTACTTGTCTACTTTATTACATTAGTAGCCCAATTGTGACATCAATCATAGCAAACCGTTTCTTAGTTAAAAAATATCCAATTATATCAAAACTAAAAATTATTCTACATTCATAAACGTGCATACAAAATTATTCTACATTCATATTCAACGCAATTTAACAGAATAAAATATACAGACTCTATTTTGTACTGACAGCATATGACTTTGCCTGAATAGTTGCACACGTAAGTGGAAATCCTATAATTAAAGATATTTTATATTGAAAGAATTGAGCGTAGTAAAGTACAATAGATATTGCTTCACGCATAAAATCGCAAAACGCTACATCATTTCCATCTTTCTATTCACCAGATTATGTGTTTCGTGTAATTTCTTTTTATTCTTCTAACTAAAATTATAGTTTAATAAAAAAGAAAATATTTGACAAAATTCTTTATCTCCAAAATTTAATCAACATCGCAAATATTTCTATCGTTTTCTACTGATTATTTATTTGACTGTAGCATAAAAAATATACAAAAACTTTATACAGATATCTTAGTGCCTTTCTCGCGAAGAAATGATTATTATGAATATGTTTGGATCACCATTCCATTTTTATTTGTTACTTGGAGACAAGCTAAACGTAATTCATTTACTTCAAAAATAAACCATTGTCTCTCTTACATTGTAACTGTCTGTAGCGATTTTGTAGCAATCGCAACTACACATACTGATTGTGAGCGAAATTCTAACATAAGTTTGAAATTATAGATATATGTATTTACAGTGTTAAAAATGGTCTGTGCATAAAATAAAGCATATGATGATAAATAATAACTTGTGAGATCTTTGAAAATAAAGAAAAGTTGTCAATAATGCGAAATATTCAGATTTTCATTTCAGTTACTCACATCTCAAATTTTTTCTAATCCACAAATAGCGATTTTCTGAAGATTATTTGTTAGACTAAATAATATTCAATTGCCTTAAATATTGATTACACAAATTCTTGTTCATTATTTGTTTCTCTTCTCTAAAAATCTAATTTCTACATTGTTAAGCAATATACAGTTATTGTGTAAGAATAGAACACGAAATACTGTTCTTTGAAATACCGTCATTCATTATCACAAACCTTACTTCCTACATCTATCCGTTTCACATGAAAGGTGTGCATATCAAAGTATAAAATATGTAAGTGATAATATTATGTTGTACATGCCCAGTTATAAGGGGAAGCGTCTTCACCTTGTGGCGGGAACGCCTTAATACAGTACCTACGATAAGAGTTAAGAAAAGCGTGTAAGAAACGTGTTAAATAATTTACAATAATTTATAGCTTCGCGTTTCCGAGAATATGCGAATACAAAGTGCTTTCGAGATATCATACCAGAATCTCACTGCATTTTTTATCGACCATTACTACAAAAAATTTCTATTTGTTGAACCTGCACGCGCAACACCATCTCTTATCGCATAAGAATTTTATCAGTATATTATCGATATATCCCAAAGTATGTGAAACGGAAATGTGCAAGAATACATAATATACGTACGTCAATCTTCCCTTGGCTATATATTTGTTTGTCATAATATCTTTGCAAATTCTTCGACCTATTACACATAACAGTCTTTGTGCAGAAATTTCTATTTCAAAAAAATAATTATTAATTTTTACAATTTTATATATAAGTATATAAGATACGAAATACATTAGTCATGCGAGGAAAATTGATGTTAAGAAAGTTTATTTTTATTATAAAATTAAGTCTATTTCCAGCTTTAGCTTGGCCTCTGTCAAAAGACGTGACAAGATTGAAAAAGATTTGCGTGCAATTATATCATTATTTAGGAATTATTTTGGCAATAAGTGTCCAAGTATCATTGGTACATAATATTGTAAATCATTTTGACGATGTTGTACTTTTAGTAGTGTTAATACTTTTTCTAAGCGGCGTTACTCACAGCCTTGCAAATTTTATCTTTCATAGAATTTATAGTCAACGTATACAAGTAATTACTATATATTTATGTACATTTAATAAAAAAAATCTCACAAGTAAACCTACGAAAGTGTCACTCACCGATTTTAATAAAACTTGGCACATTTGTAGAACTATGAAAAATATTCAATACGTATTTTTTTTTATCGGTAAAGGTTCGCTCTGAAGGATTGAAACTCTTAAAGGAAGGTTTTATGCATGAATGTAACTGCTGATATTCATAGCGCAGCTTACGTTGTTAACATTGTTCCTGCATAAAATTTCGAAAATTTCATCTCAGAATTGTGATTAGCGATATCAAAAATCTTGAGAAACGCCGAAATTCAAATTTAACATTTTTTACAATATTTCCATACTCTACAAGACTTGTAAGGATATTCATAGTGCAGCTTACGTTGGTAACATTGTTCGTGCAATGTTCAAATTTTCGAAATTTTACGCAGGAACAATGTTACCAACGTAAGCTGCACTATGAATATCAGCAGTTACATTCATGCATAAAACCTTCCTTTAAGAGTTTCAATCCTTCAGAGCAAACCTTGGCCAATAAAAAAATACTTTATTAAGAATATTTTTCATAGTTCTACAAATGTGCCAAGTTTCATTAAAATCGGTGAGTGACACTTCCGTAGGTTTACTTGTCAGATGTAAATTAGCTAAAAAATCACGTGTTACTAATATAGGCACACTATTATGTCAATAATGTGTATCACTATTTGCAGTATGTCACGTTTGAAATGATACATTTTTCTGAATCGATCCAACCACACGAAGATGTGATTATTAAACAATATATTGATAGATTCATCGTTGTTTATGGTATGGATGTGTTATCGTTATATGTTAGTACGTTACTGGCCGTCATTGCAGTACCGTTTTTAATGGATCAACCGTTTCCAATGCCAATTGAATATCCATTTAATGTGTACAATCAGCCGCTAAGAACTATTATCTATTTATATCACTCTGTGGTCGGAATACATGTAGCAGCGCAAACAAGTACCAATATTTTAATGGGTCTTTTACTTTGGGTCATATCTGCAAGATTGGAAATATTGGCCAATGAACTGCGGAAAACTACAGATATTTACCATTTGGTCAAATGTATTAAAAAGCATCAATACTTACTCAAGTAATACTTATTGTTTACTTTATGCAATTGCAAACACTAATGATTGCCGATACTTTTACACTTAGCGATCATATTTCTCTGTAATATTTAAGAAACATATGTTGTTACTTGAACAACCAATTATATAGTTAAACATTACACTATTTTATGAAAATGTGAGAAAATATCACAAGTCATAAAATTCTTATGAATATGAGAATACCAAAGTTATATTATCGCATAAATTGCGTAATTTGAAAAATATTGAACACTATGTAAATTATACATATATAATGCCTAATAAACCATTGTTTAGGTGTGCAACTGAAATTAGTTTTGCTGTTCGGCCTTTCGCATTTACAACTATATGTTGTAGTACAATTGTCACAATAATAGTCCTTTTATTTCTTAGCGTAAGTACATGTCATATAAATAAAATGACTCTTTTATTTGGTAAATTATTGTCTCATTGACTTTTGTATACAATTATTTGCATATACGATTATACATAATAGAATTATACTTAAGAATTGAAAATATTATATATTACAACATGTGTTATATGCAATATAAAAATGATTTGATTTTAACTATTTAACATTTATTGCATTTTCATTTTTGTACAAGAGAGCAAAACGTAATAATTTTTAGTTTTCTAATTATGTGTGTATGTAATCAGCATAAAATTATAATATATTATAATATAAAATGTTTTTATTTTTATAGAAACATTTTAATTATTTAAGATATATTACAAAATTAAACGATATAACTGTTATATCATATAACTGTTGTGTGTATATATATATATATATATATATATATATATATTTATATCTTACAATTAGTAACAACAATTTGAAAGAGGCATTAGAGCAACTTTTCATTCTTAAATTCTCATTGCTTCTATATAAGCTTTATTGACAGTTAATATTTTTAATGCACACACACATCTAAAAAAAATGTAGCACTGTTTGACTACAAATCTAATAATTAATATAGATATAATCTTTATTTATTAATGAGTAAAAGAAATACAACACAATTAATATTAAATCAAATAATGTAAATTATAAATAGAGATATGTATATCTTTCTACCTATTTTACCAAATTTTTTAAACAGACTGACAATTTGACAATGATATATCAATATACTGGTTTAATTATAAGGACTTTGACAGAAATATTCATGTATACATGGCCAGCAGAAAGTTTAATTGAGACAGTAAGTTATATTTATCGCTAAAAATTATTATAAATTATTATTTATGTTTGTTATTTTTTTCAGAGTCAAGATGTGGCAGAAACAGTTTTTCAAATGCCTTGGTACAATCAATCAATCAAAATACGTAAAATTCTACAAATTATTATACAAAGAAGTCGAAAACCAATAACAATTTCAATACCTTGTGTTATGTCCGCATTATCTCTTAACTACTTCACATCGGTGAGAAAAATTTTGAATTAATGAAATTGATTAACTATAATTATCGTATATATAGATCGCGCGCATGTTTTCTAGCTATCGTCTTATACAATTCAATATTTATTAATATTTTATTTTATTAATAGATTTTGATGATATGTGACTAACATAAACCATGAATATAGATATAAAAATATATATATATATATTATTAACAATTTTTTTGTCATGAAATTTTAGCTTTTTATGTCGTTATATGTTCCAGTACTTTTCGACTATAGTCTCTTATTTCAAGATGCTTCGAATGTTTTTAAACGATTAAAACTAAAAGTAAACATAGCAAGAAATCAAAATAATTATTATAGTAATTATTGTAATATTTAATATTTACACAAAGAAAATCTATATTATGTCACATTAATTATATAAATATAGTTTTTCCACCAGCAAATTGTATTTGATTTCGAAATTATTTTTAGATAGATTTTTTATTATTATATATTAAATATTATCTGTTAAATATACAGTTATACATCCTATTTATCTTAGTATTAATAATGCGTATTTTTAGATTTTATTATATTGCAAAAATCTTTTTTACATATATGAAGTATATAATATATCTTTAACATTCAATAAATAAATACTGCATTGATTAAATGACAATAGGTGTGATTATTCAATTATTAAATGACAAGTATATTACAAATATATTCTATAGCATATATTTACTGTCTACTTGTTTGCGCTAGCAGCCTAATTTTAACACTAATTATAATGAATCCATTGTTTCTTACCTCAGTCAAATATCCGTTTATTGTACTATCAAAAAACTATATTCTACATGCTTCTAGTAAATAATGTAACTGCATTCCTAAAAACAAGTCAATGCTTACAAGGTAATAAAAACCGTATACTTGTCTTAAATTATTACAAATTATTTAATTTTTAAATAAAAGCGTACTTGATTATGAAAGCAATGGTAAATAATAAAAATATGTTAATATAAGAGTCTTTTAGTTATTTGTGGGTCACAATAAAAATTGTAACATATATTAATTTTAATTGAAAATATAACTGGCACATACACACACAAAGTCGAAGGATTAAATTAAAAAATGATAAATCCTATCTTCTCAAATTTAATTACGATACTAAATATATAAATCTTTTATCACATAGAATCGACACAAAATTTTTTTGTGAAAAATAAAAGTATAAATGTGTGTAAAAAAAATCAGCGACGTATATTTACGATAAAAATTATCGAATAATTTCAATTCTGTCAAAATCTGTCACTAAAAAATATGTTTTTCTGTTATAAAATTTTATGATAACAAAAGAAAACTTCGTAAAGATTCATCTCAAATTTTACATTTTTATAAATTTTTATACATTTTATAATTTTGTAATACATAACTTGATAATTGTGTAAATTATAGTTTAGTTTATATCCTGTAAACAGTTTATATCTTGTATTTCAATTATTTTTACATTGATAATTTTAAGAAATAAGAGATTACTTGTACTCACACACTTATCTTCCGTATTATTCAATTTTGCTTGACAATATTTATCACAATATTTTATATTTCTATATATTATACATTATTTTTGTATAATAAAAATGCTATTTTCACGATGTTATTGCACAAAATATACACAATTTTATATTTATAAAATTTCTGTTACTGAGGAGATATGCACTAGAAAGAATGTGAACGTCTTCACGTGTCTTCATGAAGTTGAAGATGTATCTACAATATGAAAAATATTCTCGTATTATGAATAAATTTCGTTCTTTAGCTTCTTAAATAAAATTGAAATTATAGATATTTGCAAATAGTTCATAATTATTGTGTAAAGAGACTCATTTCAATCGTGTCTAGGAATTTCTTCTTCTTTTTATATTATTATATAGCATTACTTTTGCATTTTATTCTTCCTTGAAATCTCCGTTATAAATTTAATACTCGCAGCATTTCTAAAACACAATCAAGAAAGTATATGTTACATGCAAATATCTTTTTTTCTTATAGTATTGCGCATATAAATTTTATAGAACTTTTATATAGAACTATACTATTATACATTAAATATGCATGCGTAGTATAAACCGACAGAAGCTTGTAGCTTTGTTAGAGAGGGCATAACGAAAGTAACGATTGAGACGAAAACGATCGAGACAAAAGAATGATAGATCCCTCTCTATCGATTATTACACAAGCTTTGACGTAATTATGACTAAATTAACACCGCAAAAGGCAATCAGATACATGAAATTATTAACCGCTATAAACTGTACAGTTCCACTGCAAAATTCTACGAGATTTCAACTGATGCGTTTTAAAGTTCAACGTTGTATTGTGTGGATACATGCAGTGGTCACACTTGTGGCTATGATGTTTGCTTTTTTTTATAATATTCATAACTTTAGTTTACCAAGGCTAATACAGATATGTTCCGTAGCGACAGCTATTCTGCAAATTCCTTGGCAAATATTGTGTTTTACGCAACAATATAATCGATTGCAAGTAAAAAAATAATAACAAAATATAACTAATTAATTTTAAATAAATTTTTCCATCTATTTTTATTTAACTTTGTAACGTATTAACAAATAAATTAAATGTTGTATTTAACACATTTAAAAACATATTAACCACACAGCTTTAAATGCTATTTTATAAATAACTTTTTTATCATATAATAGTTCTCCATTTTGATAATATTCGAATAATAATATATATTTTTATAGACATTATTATATGTATATTAATTACCTGTTTGAAGTGCAGCATATATGTATAATTTAAACTTCGAATTTAATTATTACGTTAGTTATATCGTACAATTACTATATATTCTATATATTTTAATCAAAACGTCGAATTTAATTTCAGTATTTGATATTGGAAATGGAAGATCATTTCATTCGCGCAGAAGGACAAGAAAGAGAAATTTACCAACATTACATTGACAAAAATAAAGTATTATATGCTATTTCTACTGGATCAGTTCACGTTTCTGCAGTATTATTCTGGGTTCAACCGTTCGTAAATTCCGAGGAACAACCCTTTCCTTTGGACGCATTATATCCTTTCAACGTATACTATCAACCAATGCATACTATTATCTTTCTAAGTCAATGCATTGCTATTTATCAAGTCGCGGCGACTGTTTGTCACAATTGTCTTTTCGGTCTTCTTGTATGGTTTACCATTGCGCGTTTTGAAATATTGTCAAATAACTTTCGAAACGCCACCAACATTCGTGATATCATCACCTGTATATTGGAACACTTAAAACTGATAAGGTAATATAACAATGTTTTCCTTCTGTTCTACTTAATTTTCTTGATCTTTTGTTTTTTATATTTCTATTCTTATAAAGTAATATCCTGACATCAAATACAAAGAGCTTCAATAATACCTTCTCTTTCTAATTCAACATTCTTATGTCAGACTCATATAAATATTCAGACGTCAAGAATCATGTTGATCTTGAGAAAAAATGACAATTTCGCAAGCAATAACGATAAAATTCCCGTCAAGTCAGTGATTGTGTATAAAAAAAGTGAAAAAAATGTTTGTGATAACATTAATAAATATATTTAACAAATCAGTCAATTAATATACATATACACACTCTCATATATAATTATACAGAACATTTTTTTAAAAATGTGAATTTTTGACGTTTTGTAATATTCTGAATACATTGGCACTGAAAAAATTTTCTTACGGAACAAAGCTTCCTTTATGAGGAAAAAAATATTCAGCCTAATTTATTTTATTTCTTAAGGCAATCAGATGTATAATATATTTTTATATTAGGTGAATTAACTGAAAAATATTTATTAGCTAGTAATTAGCTAGTAACTTAAAATTTTTTAGCTAGTAATTTATTGAATACAAAAGATACACGCTTACATTATTTTTCTACATTATTTATTTATTTAACAAGAGTCTCAGAAAGTCAATTCTAAAAACGTGAAAATTATAAAAAGGAGCGAATTTATTAGGTTTGAATGAATAAAATTATAAATTTTCTATTAAATTCGTTCATTTTTGTAATTTTTATCCAGTTGTGATACAGAATCTATTTCCAGGTCTCACAAAGATGAAGAGGCTATTTCTAGAAATATCCAAGCATTTCCGAAATGTTGAAACATTTGCATTGCACGCCATGGAGACTACGTAGAAAAATAATATAAATGTGTAGCTCTGTGTTCAATAAATTACAAGATAAAAAATATTTTAGGTTTCCAGTTGTGACTCATCTAATAGATATCAACATAAAATATAAGTTAATCATTCACCGATCGATGTGCAACATCGATCTGTATGCATAAAAAAATATATTTATTAATTATTTAATTCATACAAATTTAATATATAAATTTTTAACAAAAAACAAAAAAAAATAAAATTTTCTACAACAATCTTGATCAAAATATCTGCGCTTCCATTATATTCGCGCGTCTGTACGCGTCAACTATGCTGCGCGATTCGCACGAAACTGATCAAGTGATCCTTAGTCTTGCGCTCGCGATATCTCGCATGAGAACCATCTGACAGCGACATTCAACTTCACAATCAATTATGAATCAGACTCGACGAAAGCAACTCTCTCTTTCTATCCTTTCCATCAAATTAATACACCCCATACATCTGTTGCGCTGCGCGGAACGCGCGAGACTGATTTTCGTGCGGGGTATCGCGAGCGCGGAACCGATGATCACATGACCAGTGGTCACGTGTTCAGTGAATCCACTAGCCACGTGACCTCGGCTTCGCGCTTGCGATATCTCGCACGAGAATCAGTTTCGCGCGAACCGCGCAACGTGACGGATGTGTGGGGTATAGTCTCGCGTGAGTCTAATAAAAACGTAGATATTTGATCACAAAAGATTCTTGTAGAAAATTTTCTTTCTTAATTCGTATTTTCCGTTAGATTTAAGTATTGAATTTTTATGCGTTGCATAATTAATTAATATATTTTTATGCATTGATCGCAATAATTTTTGCATGCATGCGTCACAATTTTGAGATTTTATTATCAAAGAATAATATTCTTCGCTCTGCGTACGTATTTATAGATATTTGGTTAGATTAAACGAAATTTTATATATATATATATATATATATATATATATGTGTGTGTGTGTGTGTGTGTGGTGTGTGTGTGTGTGTGTGTGTGTGTGTTGTGTGTGTGTGTGTGTGTGCTACATAAATTTAGTATTTATAAGCAAATTTGTCAACACAGTAGGAGAAGTTACAAGTAAAAGTAATTATGTCAACTCATAAATCAAACTTATTGTCAGTTTTGTATCAAGTTTAATTATGGTAGCAGATTATTGTTAGTATAGTAAATTGATATAATAGATTCCAATTTGAGAAATACAATTCAATAACTTTCATTAAAAAATAATGCAGGTATAAATGATGCTATAGTATATTATATTAAACAGTTATATTTTAATTTTATATTTTATTATATATTTTATATTTTAATTTTAATTCGCAAATGTCTATTGCGTACATAATTTTAATTTGCTTTTAATTATTTATAATTATGTATAATTTTAATTTCTAATTTTTGTTATGTACCAGGCAACACAAACGCGCGCTTCATGAACGTTATATATTGATATTATTTTTATTTTTTATTTTATATCTGTCAAACTGTTAACCTTTAGAATGAGTTGCTTGATGCTATTAATATAACACACAATGTTAATCGAGACAACCAATCAGCATCGCGAAAAAGCAGTCATAATATTTACAATAATTGACATTGCATGCATTTTTTAGAAAGAAAATTTTATTTTCACAAGGTTAGTTTGCGAAAAACCCTTTATTTTCAATCGCTTATAACTCAAAAATTATTGATACCTTAACATTTTCACTAAGGAAAAATTGTCTCCAAATGATCGCAAGAATCTGCCACTAACGGATGATTTGATAGGGGTTTGGGATACCCTGTATAAAATATATAAATCACTTATTTTAAGGTTGCTCCGCCGTCACCGAATGCTTTTTCTCAAATTGTTAGGATTCATTACACACATATTCACTTATTCATTACACAATATTCACACATTGCAGTTACGAAAAATATCTAATCTAATCTAGTCTATATGATTAATATTATTAATGACTATTAGTTTAAATGATTAATAATTATTGGAAATAACGAGATAGACGTGAATGTATCAAAGCGTTAACTATATATCAAAATAATTTTGCGTAATTATATTTTAAATAGAAATAACAGATAATAAAAAATATAATAGAAAATATAAATTATTCTTATTATATAAATTTTTATTATTGCAATATATTTTTATAATATTTCTTCTTTGATTATTATTTTAATATTGTTTATATATATATATATATTAGTATACTATAATTTAAACTTTTATTTTTTTTAATTTAAATGTAATTTGTAAAAGTAATTTTTAATTATTATTTTTGAATGGAAAACGTAGCTTTTCACGAAGTATCACAGTATCAAATAATTCACGTAACGAAGACAAATAATACAATGTTAATTAACAATTCAAATTAAAAATTTGAAGTTTAGTGATAGAATTTTTTAATGCATTTATTTCGTATTGCGTTAAACATTTTGTGGAGGTCATTATTTTTATATAATGACCTCCACAAAATGTTTACCTATTCTATTAAATCGGGCGCGCGGGCACGCTTTATGTATATTAAAACTCTATAAGTCTCTTTTCGCAAAACACAATTTGCCAACCCACACAATGCGTTCGCAGAATACGCAGTTTGTTTAAATTATTTTCGTGTATTTGCAAATTATAAATGAATATCTATATAGTCGGTCATTTACATTTCAAAACATGATTGACAAGTATTATGATATCAAATGCGATTAGTCGTAATTTATTTAACTAATTATTTTCCTATTTTTATTACCCATTTTTATTTCCCATTTTATTACTTATTTTTATTATAATATTATATTATGTCTTTAAATGAGATTGTAATATATGGAAGAAAAAAGTACATCAAAGTATTATATAAGCAATTAATAATGCTTTTAAGAATAGTAATAATAAGCAAGAAATCATTTTAGATATACTCAAGATGTCATAGCATCCATGAGTACAGCAATATTAATAGTAATGATCATTTGTTCGTTGTCGATTATAGTTGGTGGTTTAGTAATTATTGGAGTAAGTAATTGTTTGCATTGTTTATTAATTAATATCTACATATTTTGCACTGTAATAATAAGACGATACTCTCTACACACACATAATTGTTCATCTTTTTTTAAACTTATTTGAAAAGAAATGAAGATATAATGTTCCATAAAATTTACCAAGTTGGAACAACCGGCCCTAAATATAATTCGTATTATTCATATACATATGGGGCATTCCATACTAAATCAACGACTTTTTTCCCCGACAATTTTTTTATTTTTTTGTATCTATTGAAAGTAGTTTCCATGAATTTTTTTAGATTTTTATATTTATTAATTATCGAGTTATATATTTTTAAATACATTGATTTTTTTGAATTTTAAAAATTTCAAATATTTATAACCTGAATAAAAATAAATACATTGTCATTAATAAGGTGGTCAATTTTTTGTCTTTACGTATTTTATTGGAAATTAGTACATAAAAACACTCGTATAATAATAATCCGCCATTCATTGACATGCCACACGTATATTAATAAAATCGTATATTAATAATTAAATTATTAATTATTTAAACTATGTAAATTAACAACAAAAAGTGTTTTCATGCACTAATTTCCAATAAAAACATTTGATTGCATTAATATATTTTATTTTAAGAGTGTTCTTCTTAATCAGAGTTGCCTAAACAACTGACAAACACTATTTTCGAAAAAATAGAAAAAATCTATAAAAATTACAAATATTGGAATTTTTCCTGACTTTTCAAAATGAATGCTTATTAATTTTGTAAATATTAATTTTTTTTTAATTGAAATAATGTGTAAACAACCAAAAAAATTCGGTTTTTTTGAAAAAAAAAATTCGAAAAATGGCCTTAAAAATCGAAAATATTTGAATCCCCTTTTCGCCAAAAGCTCAACAATTTTCTTTTGAAATCTAAAATGTTATATATTTTTATGAAAAAAATCGAAGGGATCTCATTGAGAAAAACTAAATAATTTCGGTTAAAATTGACCAAAACAACATTAAATTTTCTTTTTTTAATTATTTCAATACTTTATTTAAAAAATACATACAAGAATTGTAGTATAATACATGTCATTTATATTATTTATTTATACATATACATATAACTTACATATATATTTAGGTGTACATATTACTCCTTACTATTTATATATAACTAATTAATAATTTATATATTACGCATTATTATATAGGACGCCGAAATAGCAGACAAAATCAATTTCGCAGTCATGTTTATTGCTGGACTTTTTCAAGTTTATATGTATGTTTTGCCATCCGATCACTTGATAAGCGCAGTAAGTCGCATCAAACAACATATCCTATATGTATATATACATATAGTAAGTTCAAGTAAAAGCATTAAATTTAAATTTGGATACATTTATGTGTATAAGTGTATATGGTAATACTTAAATAAAACAAAATGTATATTAATTAAATGAAAAAATATTTTAAAGTATTCTTTATGATTAATTATACTATAAAAAGATATAATTTTTTAAAATATTACATTATATGTATATTATATTTTTCGCATGACATTTCTCTCTATCATAATTTGATATATAGTTTTAAGTTTATTGATTAATATTAGCTCTCATTCTAAAATTTGCATATTAATTACTAGACTACAAATATTGCAAATGCAGTATATAACTCGGATTGGTTTAATCAAGAACTAGCTTTTCAAAGTAATGTGTTGTATGTCTTGTTCAGAAGCCAAACACCGTTAACCATCCAAGTTTCTTCTATGATACCAGCTTTATCATTAAATTACTTTTCATCGGTAAAATCTCATCAACCAAAATACTATTTATACACAATTATTATGAAAATATTTTGAGAACTTTTGATAATTCATATGTTTGATATTCATATTTTATTAAAACAATTATTTAAACAATAGACTTTATAAGAAATTAAAAACAAAAGTAAAAATATACTTATATTCTCAGATACTCTCAAATATTTTACACGTTTTTCTAGAACTATTTTGGAAATATTATTTTTTTTATAAGAAAACAAATATAATAAATATAATAAATTAAATATAAAATACATAGTGTATAATAAATAAAATTTTAAAAATATTTGTCAAAAATTTTATTATTATTCATGTATCTTTTATATAAAATTAAAAAAACACTAATATTCTTATTTTGTATATTTCAGTATGTATCATCAGCTTTCTCTTATTTAATGTCACTGCGAGTATTATTCCTAGAATGATGAAACTAAAATTTAAAAATATTAAATTTACATGGATTGCTCTAAATATTACAGAGAAATCACTATATTTTTCGGTAGAAATTATTTTAGCGTGTTATTAGCAAAAAAGCAAAAATTTACATCTATGTTAGTAAATGCTAATTTTTAAAATATGTGTCTCAGAAATAAAAAAAACTTCATACATATTAGTCGCATTATTTTTTATCCTTCTCAAATTTAAAGGCATTAGGCACATTTAATATTACTATTTACGTAAGTATAATACATATAGAAAGAACATAAGATAATTTATAATTAATTTAAGTAAAACATATCATATATAAACATAAATTCAATTTTTAATAACTATCAAAATATACTTCAACACATTTGGTGAAGCAAATAATTACTAATAACAAATTTTACATAACTTTTTATTAATTATTTAATTAAATGTATATAAAATACAATAAAATTATTTAATTCTTTAATGTTTATAATATATTGCAAAATGTTAATCTACTCAAACATCAAAAACAAATATCATGTATACATATATTCTTATACCAAAAAATCTCGTACCAATAGTGCATACATCTGTCGACAAAATATTATATAAATAAATGTTATTTCAAAATTAATTTCAGAATCCAATTATATTATTTGCATTTTTTTTTAAGTATTTTGTATTTACATGTGTATATAATAAATATATATGTTTTTATTCTAATACATATGTATAAATACATATAAATACATAAAATAATCTAACTGAAAATGTCATGTTATATACGAGCTGTTAAAAATATATTTACTTATGTGCTGTATATATCACAAATACATCTTCACAATATTATTCAATTGACAGTTGCCGACGTTCGATCATGTCATCGATTTTGGAGCAATGGATCGGCGAAATGAAGAGTCACTGAATCAATCATTTTTGTGGTCTCTGTTGCAACGATGAGTTATCGCTTATCGTGGATGATTTGCGTATTTTATCAACCACACACGTTTCTAATATGGGTGGGTTTGGATAGAATTTCAGAGAGATTTTATCGTAATTTCTAGCACCAGGAAATGCGCCGTTTGACGGAAACATCCGTCAGAAACGGAGACGGAAAATTCTCCACTCCGTCTGAGACAATACTCATCGAGAGCATCTTGTTTGCACAACAAATCAGCTGTTTGTGCAAACAAGATATTTGGTGCATTAAAAGGAATTTTAGTAGATTCAACTAGTAATTTTGTTTCGTTCATTTTCAAACAAAATGTTTGTTAACGCAACAAAATGTTTTTTCCAGTGGGTTATCATGGTCGAACTGGCATCGGCAATGATAGAATGGTCAGCTTAGTCATCTTTTGTCGATTAATATAGTGGAACCTTTGGATAATAGTGCTGATTTCTGACTGGCGTGACCGGACGTCCTGGTTGATCTCATGTTTTGCAGTCTGGTTGGTGACTAATGCCTTGTTGTTGAACAGTCAGACAATATCCTTGGTTAATTGATGCGCAGCCCTAAATTCGGATCGGCTAGAAATTCCTATCAAGATACCTATCGTCAGGTTACAACATTACGCTCGAATGAACGTTATTTTCTGTGTAGTTTGTTTTCATCGCCGCCGATGATAGGGTCCTTTTCCTCATCTTCGATGTTCATCAATGAGATGTTGTACGTGTCGGTACTATTTTCTGCGCTTACTACAGATCTACAATGATGTAAACTTATCCAACTCTTTCCAGTGATCCGAAGTATTTTGAAGCGAATTGGGCGTTAAAATTATTGGTCTTATTTAATATAGTGGTAGTCTCACTTCTACTCATGGCCTTCAGTTTTGCTATCGTAAGTTATAATATTTAATATAATATTTTTTGTCAATGAAAGACCTATGCTAAATTTATCTGCACTAGTTCATATGTTCATAATTCGTTTATTCGTTGCCTCATGGTGTCTGATCCAGTCTTCCCTCTTGATGTGTGCAAAAACATAGTGAACTCTCGTCCGTGGTTTAAGCAGCGTTGATCTTTCTCAATAATGGCTTATCATTGTCTTGATGGACGACACAATTCATATGTTCGATGAAATTACAGCGTGGCACGTAAGCGGACGCGGTCTTGTGCTGGACGTCAAACTCGTCCAGTCTTACGGTAAACTGCGCGAACTTGAACTGTAATTGTTCAATAAGACGAAATCTAATCGGCCGTGTTGCAGCATTACGCTCGCTTCGTGATTGCCTTGGTGATGATTTTGATAATAGCTTGACGCAGCAGTTACAAGCTCGACTTCAAAAAATGGTCTTACATGATGAATAACGTATGTCCTTATCGTAACGATCCTACCTGTCATAAAATTGTTGATGTAATAAAAGGAAACTCGATGAAAATTCATATCAAGTTTCAAATTTTTATACATTTTATAATTTTAAAATAAGTATCTTAATAATATTGTGCTGTAAATTAATTTTAATTAAATTCAAATTAAATATTATATAAATAAGATTTATTTATATACTCACATTTATTCTTCGTATTAATCAATTGCTGTTCAATACCTGTCAACAATATTTGTTTGTTTCTTTATATTACTTTTACACGAAAAAAAATGCAATTTTCACGATGTAACTGCACAAAGTAAACACACAAAAATTTTGCAATTATAAAATTTTAACTATTAAAGTACATAATAAAAAAATTTTGCAAACATCTTCGAGTGTCTTCACAAAGTGATGATATATCCACAATATAAAAAAAAATTGTGTATTATGAAAAATTTTCGTTCCTAAAAGCCCCTCAAATAAAATTGAATAGTATAGAATTTTACAAATGGTTCATGATTATTGGGTAAAGAAAATGATTACGGCTGTAGAAACTTTTCTATATTTTTCTTCCATAGTATGCATTAATTTTGCATTATTCTTTCGTGAATCACCGTTCTAAATTGAATGTTTCCAGCACCTACGAAACACAGTCAAACAAGTTAATATGCATGTTGCTGGCAAAATCTTCTTTTTCTTTAAATTTCTTTCTCTTGAAATATCTTTTTCTCTTATTAGATATATAAATTACATGTGTATCGATACTATACATATTTAATATATAATAGTAGATGTACGCGATTCTTATATGCAATATTGTACGAGAGAGATATTTTGCATAACATGTATATTGGTTTGATTCATAGTGTTTTATAGGCGCCGCGAGTACTAAATTTATAATGTGTAGTGTAAGCCGACGAAAACCTGCAGCTTTGTCTGCAACTGCATAACGAAAACGATATACGATCGAGTACGAATATATGTCCCTCGATTATTATATTGTTAAACTTTGACGTAATTGTGATGGCAAAAATAACACCGGAAAAAGCATTGAAATATGCAAAAATATTAACATACGTAAACTTTACAGTTCCACTGAAAAATCCTACTAGATTTAAAATGATACGTTTATACTTTCTACGGATCTTAGTCAGTGCGCACGTATTTATAGCAGAGGCTCCTTTAGTGTATACCATTCTTACCGATGATTTCAGTGATCCAATAAAGACAACCAAGGTATTTTCCGTAGCGATAGCTTGTATACAAGCTCCTTGGCAATTAGGATTTCTCTCGCTGCACTATGATCGATTGCAAGTAAAAACTATCAAAGTATAATTAATTTTACATAAGCATTTTTCCATCTATTTTATGCAATTTTGTATTAAAATATTATATAAATTAAACATAGTATTTAACACATTTAAAAAGCACATTAATCACAAGCTTTGAATACTGTTATTTAAATAATCTTTTTATCATATAATACCCAGGTAGAAATCTGCCTCGATTTGTCGAGATTAAATACAGGGCTTAGGTAAAAAAATCCAATTCAAAATATATGTCTAAGAATCCAGAATACACCCTAGAAATTTACCTTTATTTTACCAAGGAAAAAAATAATCGGAAAAATCTGCATGGGTTCTAGATTGCCACTGACATATTTTTCCCAAATTAGAATAAATATGAAACTATATATGAGACCAGGATTGAATAATCTAGCTTATAGAAATAATTATAAAACAAATGAAGCAAATATTTTAAAAAATTATAGGTCCTAGTTAGACTCCAAATAATTTTTCTACAAATTCTGGGCGTAATCTTGAGCCCACCCGGATTCTGCAATAAGGCCTGTACGATTTAAGCGTCTCAAACTTTACACAGGTTTTAGTTAGATTTTTCACCTGGATTCCAGAAATATTTTTGAAAAAATATATGGAACCCTGATTATTTCCAGACAAAATTTCTACCTGGGTAGCGCTCCATTTTGATATAATTTTAGAAAAGTATATAGTTTTATTTTTCTTTAATAATAGTATATATTTTCATGGAAAATATTGTTTTTACCTGTTTGAGATGAGTATATTTAATTTTAATTGTTGTTCATATCGTACAATAACTGTATATTTTATATATTTTAACCGAAATATCGAATTAAATTTCAGAGATTTTGTGATATCGGAAATGGAGCATTATTTCAAATGCGCAGAAAAATATGAAAGAGAAGTTTATCAATTCTACGTCGACAAATGTAGAATCTTTTATATTTGCTCTGTCGTTTCGGTTTTCTGCACTATAGTAGGATTGGGATTTGGGCCGATCGTAACACGCGATCCCATACCTGTGGACGCAAAATATCCTTTCAACGTGACGCAAGAACCAATGAGGACTGTTATCCACGTGCATCAAAGCGTGTGTCTTTATCAGTGCTTTTCATCTGTTTGTCACTCTTTTCTCTTCGGTATTCTCATATGGTTTACTACGGCACGTTTCGAAATTGTATCAAATCAACTTCGAAACGCCAACAGTCTTTATGATATCATCGCAGGTATACGGGAACATATAAAACTGCTAAGGTAATATAAAACAATATTTTTTATCTGTTCTATTTTAACTTTCTCGTGCGTGTGTGAGTGTACAAGCAATCCTTTATTTTAAATTATTTTTCTTATGAAGAAACGCACTAATGTCCCAACATCAATTACAGAAGGCCTCAATAATGCCTTATTCTCTTCTGGATTCAATATTCTTATGTCAGACGCATTTAAATATTCGCACATCATGTACTATATACTGAGAAAAATATAAAATTATTAATTTCTATAAAGAATCAAATAATCATGAGATCATGGGTGAACAATGAAATAATTGTTAATGAAATTAAGTTGAAAATGATAAAATATTTAATAAATAAATTATATAATATAATTAAATGAATATTTAAGAAAAATGAATAAATAAATCATTAAATAAATATATAATTTAATTAATAAATTTGTCAATTGTCTGACACATTAAATTAAATATAAAATTAAATATAAAAACATAATATAATTTTGTTTATCTTTCCTATTTAATAACATTTTGTTCATTTCTTCAAAACAAATTAATCTTACAAGCATCTATATGACACATACAATAACGATAAATAATAACGATAAATAATAACAATAAATAATAACAACATATAAATAATAACGTGTGCTATACGCTGTCGAAAAGAAAAGTCGAATACTGTATGATAGTTTTTATTGTCATTACAAAATATTTAACATATTGTAAAATAAATTTACGTGCAAATGTATGTAGATAAATTTTACAAAAAAATACTAAGCATAATTATTCTCTACAATTAATATTATTATTGTATACCAATTATTAGTTTACATGATTTATTAATTATTGCATGATTGAAGTGATATGTATCAAAGCAGCAGCTATTTAATAAAATACTCTTCCACAGAATTATATTTTAAATAGAAATAGAAATGACAGATAACAGAAAATATAAATTATTAATAATATATTAATTATTATTTTATAGCAATATGTTTTTATAATTGCTTTCTCGCGGATTATTTTAATATTTTTAAAAAATATTCTATACTATTGTAGTTTTTAAGAAAAACTTTCTTTACATGTTTATATAGCGATGAAATCGATGAGATAAAACTTTTTATGAAGTTTTACCATTACTAATTTAAATTAAAAATTTGAAGTTTAGTAACAGAATTTTTAATACATTTATTTTGTAATGCGTTAAATATTTTATGGAGACTATTATTTAATTTTACACGAGATTTAATATTTGCTTTCCACAATTTATAACGCATTTTTGCAATATTTACAGGCTATCTCCTTGTGTCATTCATAAAGCAAAAATTATAAGTAACAACTTACGTATATATATATTATATATAAGGCTCTACATAGGTCGCTTTTTGCACAACACAATTTGCAAACGCAAAGAATCCATACGATGAGTTCGCAAATCGCACAAGGTTGCAGTTTGTTTAACTTATTTTCATATTTTTTTTGTCTACATGCATCTTGCTTGTTAGAATATGTCATCCTGTATTTGCGTTTACAAATTATAAATAGTCCTATGTAGAATGTATTTTACACTTCAAAATGCGATTAGTAATATAAATATTATATGTAATATCAAATGCTATTATTCTTAACTTACTTAATTAAATATTGTCATTTTTTTAGCAATTATTATAATCGTATTGCATTTTTAAATAAAAGTATTAATTAAAGCAATCTCATTGAGAGAAAAAGAATTGATCAAAGTATAAGTATAAGTAATTAATAATAATAATAATAAACAATAAATTATTTTAGGTATGCTGAAGAGATTATAACTGCTATTCGTACCTCAATATTAATAGTAATAATTATTGTTACATTCTCGATTGTAACTGGTGGTTTAGTAATTGTAAGCGTAAGTAATTTTTTTATTATTAATTATTCTATCAATTTTTACAAGCACTTTACGTGATTACATATATATATATATATATATATATATAATATTATATAATGTATGTATATATACATATGTATGTAGGCGTCTTAAATGCTTAAAGAAAACTTAAAGGTGAGGGATCTCGATGCAAAATAAAACTCGCGTGTGCGCTCTATCACGGTCGTCTTTATTCTGCCTTCTTCTTTTCTCCTCACCACGCTACATCTCTTTTATATATTTTATATGTATATATTATACATATGTGTAGAATGCCGCATTAGTGGACAAAGCACAATTCGTAATCCTGTGTATTGCTGGACTTTTTGAAGTTTATGCGTATGCTTGGCCAGCCGATTACTTGATGGATGCGGTAAGTCGCATCAAAAAATATGTATATCTCGGTATACTCAAGTTACAAAACTAAATATAAATTCGAATACGTTTATGTGTATGTGTGTATAATAATTAAATAAAATAAAATGTTTTTGTAAAGTATTCTTTATGATTAATAATATCATAAAAAATATTTTTTTTATTTAAGTATTATATATTTTTCGTATAAGTGATACATCTTTCTATTCAGAATTCAATTTATAGTTTTAATTGTAATGATTAATTAAAAGTAAGTAATTTGGGAGGGGGGCGGAGATATTATATATCATGATAAAAACAAACAGGTTAATTAAGAGCCGTATAATTAGCGTTGATTAATTTTTGTATACATTATTTATTTATTTCGAAATAAATAGAAAATATATACAAAAACTAAGCGCATTAATTACCAGTTCCTAATTAGCCCGTTTGTTTTTATCAAAATATTTAATGATTATTTTTGCTTTATATTATTATCCTAAAATTCATATTTTATTTACTAGAGCACAAGTGTTGCGGATGCAATATACGAGTCAGAATGGTTTAATCAAGAACATGCTTTTAAAACCAATGTATTGTACATCTTGTTCAGAAGCCAAACACCGTTAACCATCCAAGTTTCTTCTATGATACCAGTTTTATCATTAAATTACTTTTCGTCGGTAAAATCTCAACAACCAAAATACTTTTCTTATACAATTAGATGAAAAGATTTTGATAATTTTGATTCGATACCTTATTCTTATATCTTATTAAACAATAGACTTTACACAATAAAATTAAAGACATGTAAAAAATACAATATATACAAATCACGTTTTCATAGAATTATTTTGGAAATATATAAATATTTCGCGAAACAAATTTTTAAAAATTTTATTATTATTAATACATCTTTTATATTAAAATGAGAAAACACTAATATTCTTGTTTTGTATATTTCAGTATACATCAACGGCTTTCTCTTATTTAATGACATTGCGAGTGATATTTATAGAGGACTAATAAAACTAAAACTTGAAGTTTTTATCTTTACATAGATTGCTCCAAATGTTACAGAGAAATCATTATATTTTTTGGTAGAAAATATTTTAGCGTGTTGTTAGCAAAAAATAAAAATATACTTATATCTCTGTTAGTAAATATTAATTTTAGAGATATGTGTCTTAGAAATAAAAAAGCTTATTATATCAGTTGCGTTTCTTTTTACCTTTTTCAAATTTAAAGGCATGAGGCCGATTTTTTATTACCATTTATGTAACTATATAATATAAATATGGGAACAATATAAGATAATCGATATATGTATAATTTTAATTATATAAAAAAATACATATATTATATAAACGTAAGAGTCTGACTTTTAATAGCTATCAAGATATACTTCAACGCATTTGATATAGCAAGTAATTACTAATAACAAATTATATATAACTATTAATTATTACATATGATATTTTTTTATACTTTTACTAATATTGACTCTCATATTGCGGCAAAACACATTTTCATACCCAGCGAGAAATGATAGATAAATCGACATCGATTTGACGTCGAATTGGTCCAATCGATCTCGATTCGACCATTTCTCATTGGATATATTATCTGTATTTTATAAATTAATAATGCATTCCATTTTTTCTTATAATGTACAAAATCTGCTGTGGAAATAGTCTATAGAAATGATGATATATGCAATTTCATAACATACAGCACAAACGCAATCGTCTTACAGTAGTTTATGAAAGTACAGGCAAATAATCAATATAATTAAGTACGGTTTGCGTGCATTATTTGCAACACGAATTATGTAATAACTCATTTTCTTACAAGAATTTCTTCCAAATAAACAAGTATTATATCAGAAAAAGAGAAACAAATCGTGCAGAAAGTTTTCCGTGCGCGGCAAATAATCATAGTTATAATGTGTGTAACTGTTATTGATGTTTCTTCGAGGTATATAGAAATATATTTTTTCCCCGTACATTTTCTTTATAGTACATCTCACATATTGACAGCGTTTCAGTTGGTAGTAAGATGTTGGGGAAGCTAACACCGAAAAATATTATCGCTTTCACAAAATTGTGTTTAGTTATATCCCTTTTATGGCCACTTCCGGCCATCGCTACGAACCAGCAAGTAGTTCGTTTTAGGGTGTTACGCTTATTAACTTTAGTGAACATATGTGCTCTTTTTATACCGTTGATCCTGACTCTTCAGGATTGGAATGATCATTTTGAGATTTGCATCAAAACGATTCCACTAATCATTGCCACTGGTCAATCTTTTATAGAAATGGGGATATGTCACGGACAGCATAAGCATCTTCAAGTAAGAATCTAAATAGTAAATGTGTTTTCATATAACGTTTTCCTTCTTTTTAATCAATTAGTGTAGATATTTAATCTTTAATGTGTGTGTGTGTGTGTGAGACAAAAAAAAATTTGACATGATTGATGATGAAGATTATTCTTTTTAACTCTTTTTCATATAAGTTTTTTTTAACTTTAAATTCTTTAATCGCAAAGTTAAAAAATATCAAGAAGAAGAATAATCTTATATATAATAGATTCGTTAGATTCCATAATCATATCAAAATACATACTATAAAGAGTTATACAGGGTGGCCCATAATTCGCGAATCACCTTTTATGGGCAGATAGAGCGTGTTAAACTGAATAGAAAAGTCCTGTATCATTTTGCGATATTTGCAATAATTATTGAGTTATTAACTAAAATATCTAAACGAATGAGCAGGTAGAAAGCGATAGGCCGGACTCGGTGTGTGCATGTCGGATGACTTATTTGTTATATGCCGCTTAGTATCAAAAGTATCATCTTACTTTTCGGCGCCACTACATTGGTCGCCGCTCGCTGCATGACGCCGCTTTTCAATCAAATAATGCTTTCTACCTGCTTATTCATTTAGATATTTTAATAAATAACTCCATAATTATTGCGAAATCGCAAAATGATACATGAATTTTCTATTCAGTTTAACACGCTCTATCTGCCCATGAAAGGTGATTCGTATATAATATATATACATATATTTATGTACGTTTAATTTAAAATTATAAATCTAAACGTCATAATTTATTTATATATATAACTAAATAATTTTTTGCAAATTATTCTAACAATTAAAATTAAAATATATTTAATGTCTTAATATTATTATAATATATTGTAGTTTCAGTTAAAATGTAATAATTTTATACCAAAGCACAAATATATTACAGTTAGTAATCGCCGAGATGGAAAGCTATTGTAAGCATGCTATATGTCATATAGGTATTACGATAAGAATATCTTACAACAGCATGTCGACAGATACGCAATATTTTTCATTGCAGTCGCGATATGGTTATATCTGGAGATAAAGTCTAAATGTTTTAGCAATATTATATATATATGTATAATGACAATATATAATATAGAGTACAAGAGATTTATTACTAATAAATATTTTTTATAGCAGAGTTCAAACGTCGCTTTAGCGGCTTATGAATCGTTATGGTATTCTTGCAATGTAGATATGCAGAAGAATTTACTTCTTATTTTGTTATGATGCCAAAAATCAGTTTCCGTTCCGTCGCCTGCATTATACCAATTTTATCCTTAAAATATTTTGGTTCGGTAAGATGAGTCTTTTGGTGAAATTTTTATTATTATCAAAGTGCGTCATAAAAAAAATTAATGTTTTGATGATATATTATTATATAATTATTGCATTATTTATATAATATATTTTATGTGTGTAATAATTACATAATACTGATCACTGCAATTGTGTGCACGTACACACACAAAGCATATATAAAATATTTATGTATCTGCAAGAATTTATTTTTTATTTTATATTATTTTATTTTAATAAAAATTATGTCAATAAAAAATAAATTTTAATATACACATATATTGTTGTACATTTTAGTTTATTTCAACGGCTTTTTCTTATTTCACGACTTTACGCATGATACTCGAAGAAGATGGAGCGGACGAAGTTTAATTATAAAATAAAACATTACAAGTCTACCACCAGATTATAGAGTATCGATATTTCATAAGACAAAAGCACTATAATTAATTATGTTTATGATATATTTACAATAATATTGTTTATGTTACATAACAATGTAGACAAAGAATTATTTCGTACAATTATTAAATGTTGCAAATATCATACAATATTAAAGGTATTTTAAAAATGCGTGTGTACATACATGTTCTTTACTTGTATAGTCTTCTATATAATTTAATTTCAAATTAATGTTTTATGCTAAAATGCAAACATTTTTATTTTTTTAATGTATAAATGAAACAACAAAATATTATTTATACTGCTTTTCTGTATGTATGTATGAGATTTTTGCTACTCATAATTTTCGTCAAATTTTATTTGGTTGATACTTATCATATATTCTACATATCCAACTAAAAAAAATAGGAAATATAAGAACAAATTACTAAACTAAAAAATAGGAAATATAAGAAATAATTAGAATTTAGCATTAAAAAAATTAAGAATAAATTATTTGTCTGAGAAAACTCATTTATAATAACATATACATGTAGTAAAAATTATATTATATGCACTTACAGACTGCGCACACATTTGATAAAATTTCTTTCCTATTTTCATATCAACATATTTCAATATCTCAGTTTACGTACAAATTATTCCATCAATTGCTTCAATGATACTAAAAAATGGCTGTATAATACCATAAAATGCTTCAATGATATTAAAAAAAATTGCCACAAATTGCCATTTCAAGTTCTATCGAATTAATTATTAATCCTTCTCTGCCACCTTCTTTTAGTCTACAGACGATATCCAGAGGTGAAAAAAATCATATATCTTAAGACTACCATACATTTTGCTCAATTAATGTTCTATATCTCACTCAGTAGAATAGTAAATACATCAATTTAGTTCGTTACAACGCAATGAATATTTTTCTTACTTATACCAGAAATAATTGCTACAATTATGTATCGACCTTAGTCTTTGTAAGTCTTTCCATTTCTCGTACGTTTTATAAAAATGTTATTAAGATGGTATATCGTACATATGTGAAAAAAATTATAAGCCGATATAGAGTCTTAATAAGAAGACTTTGCTGTGTACAATTTTAACATTTTGTCACAAGTTCTTAAATATCGTTGTTCGACAATACGAGAAATAAATTTACATTAAACATTCGCGATATACTTGTATGTACGCGAATACGATCATGCAGAAAAAAATAACACTAAGAAAAACGATTGCTATTGTGAAGTTGAGTTTATTTGTTATATGGTTTTTGCCGCTACCGCTAGATGCAAGTAAACGTAAAATATTGTGCATGAAGTTGTATCAATATGTCTCTATATTACTGACTATAACCGTAATAGCGTCAATGGTATATGCCGTTATGAAGAATCTACATGATCCCGAGTTAGTCATCAAATCGTCATTGGGTTTGTTTCCTTGCTTTCATGTTATCTGGAATATTCTGTGTCGCGTGGCTATTTATCAACGTTTACAAGTAATTAATACGGATATTATTTATTGAAAGTAAAACGCTTGTTCTTTTCACATATGTCTTCAGATGAAACAATAACACAATTAATTGCAGTACGTCACTTTCAAAATGGAAAATTTTTGCGCGCTGATCAAAACTCGTGAAGAAGAGATTGTTCAGCAAAACTATATTGATAAATGTGCCAACTTTTATGGCTTTTGTATATCATCATTCTATATGAGTGTTTTCGCCCTTTTTGTGGGACCTATCGTGCTAGATCAACCGCTTCCGGCACCTGCTGAGTTTCCATTCGACGCCTCTCGTCAACCGTTAAGGGCTATTACATATTTGCATCAAGTTGTGGTTGGTCTGCAAATAGCTGCACATTTGTCTGTAAATGCTTTCATGGCCTTTTTGCTGTGGTTGGCATCAGCGAGGTTTAAATTGTTAATTGAGGATTTAAGGACAATTGCAAACATCTATGATTTCATGAAGTGCATAGAGAAGCATCAACAATTACTCGAGTACAATATATTGTTATTTCTTTAAAACAATTTGCTGAAAATATTAAACAAAAGTTTATCTATCTTTAAAGGTATTAAGAAATTAACAATAAGTATATCATGTGCAATAATGAAATTATATAACGTGATTTTAGGTACGCAAAAGAAGTAACTCTTACAGTTCGTCCTTTTGCATTGGGAACCATATTTTTCAGTACTATAGCTTTAATAGTATTCGGCCTTATTTTTATTACAGTAAGTACATTTCATAAAGTTATTGACATTTTATGCGTATATCTTTTGACTTATCTTTATATTATTTAAAAATTGTCAAGCGTCATAACATTGTCATGTTAAATTTATTAAATATAAATTTATTAAATATAATAAGATTAAATAGTAGCTTACAAGGAACGTTCGGCAAGTCGAAAATTTAAAAAAGTCTGAAACTTGGTATAATTTTAGGGCAATACGTGCACGTAAATTTTATGTCATTATTACTTAAAATAACATTATCAGAAAAACATCGAACAAAATTTTTCTAAATTTTAAAACCGAATAAAACATCTAAAGGTTGTACAAAACTAATTTTGTTGGTATTGTTAAAATATTTACTTATTTCTCGTTATGAAACAGCAAGCAAATAAGTGTAATAGGCAGGTAACATACGTCTTTATTTCATTTCTCAAGTACTAATTTCCGCAATGACGTAACACATAAGCTTTAATAGTATAATAGCTAACAAGTGTGGGGGATCGTAAATCGGCCGAGAGTGACAATCCGCACCTGCACATGTTGGCTACGATATTTTGTGTGACCGGTGCGTAGAAAGGGAGCCCTTTCTAAAATCCCATCATGTGCGTAAAGGGCGACTTTTCGCGCGCCGGTTGCACAAAATATATATAATTAAAAGTTTTTTTTTCAATTAAAAAAATATTGAATTGTGAAGATATTTTAAAAAATTTTATCATTTTTTTTAAATTTAAGTAAGCCATTGTAAAGTACATTTAAAGCCATAAAATTTTTGTTTGAACATTGAAAGTTTTTATATTTCTATTCGTTTCGATGATATTCGCTTCGGAATGTAAAAACTGATTTTCTAGCGATTTATTGCACTCCGAAACCGTTTTTAACATCAGCAAAAAATGGTTTCGTTATTAGGACTTATTACTATAAAATTATGCCAAGTTTCAGATTTTTTTAAATTTTGACTTGCCGAACGTTCCTTGTTAGCTATGCTCCCTCATAGAAATTTATTACTAGTAACACCAATTTGTCACTTATTTCGAGTACTTAATCACTTATTTTGAGTACTTAAATTACTGTATATCAGTATTTTAAGTACTCGAAATAAGTGATTAATTGGCGTTACTAGTGATAAATTTCTACAAGGGTTCTGTAAATAATATTCGAATTAAAATCTGAAATTTATTTTTTAAACATTTTTTAAATATATATATTTAGCTTGCTTTTCATTAAGCACAGTGAATGTTTTATTGTCTCTTTTGTACTCTTAAAAAATCATGCTATCAAAATTTCTTTCTGTGATAATACTGTATATTATGTTTCTTTGAATAGGGAGCATCATTAACATTGAAAATCCAGTGTGTCTTTTTAGCAGTTAGTGCATTATTGGAAGTGTTTATGTATGCGTGGCCAGCGGAACACTTGATTCACATAGTGAGTTAATTACTGACAAGTAATGACATTACATTATTTGCATAATGTTGTTCTTCTAATAAATGTTTCTTTCAGAGTAATAATATCGCACAAATAGCTTTTGAAACAAATTGGTATGATGAATCCGAAGATTTTCGAAAAAATTTACAAATGATAATATTAAGAAGCCAGAAACCAATACTTGTAATATTGCCTTGTGGCTTACCTTCATTATCTTTACATTATTACGCATCGGTGAGATAGCAATTTTGATTCCTAAAATTCTTTATATAACTAATGCACTTATCATTTAGTCATCATATAATTATGAAAGATTATCACTTGAGATAATTTTTTCACTTAAAATAATTTTTTAAAAGAAATTATGTTATAGAAAAGTAAAGCAATAATTAAATTGAAGTATTTAATGTTTAGATATGATAATAATTATTAATACTAAAAGAACTGAAAATAAGAAATTATTAATATCTATCTATTTAGCACACTTATTATCAGTTCTGTTTTAAGTAAACATTAAATAAGATATAAGTACCCAGATAACAATTTTTGCGTGCAAAATTTGCGCGTTTTGCATATAAACGATGTACGAGATTTGCCTGTTTTGTTTGTGGGATATATTTAATCGTACATATTGCATCCCAGCCAGAAATAAATGATCAAATCGACGTCGAATCAACATCGATTCGACGGCGATTTACCCGATCGACGTCGATTCAACGATAAATTGATATCGATTCGACGACAAATTGACATTGTTCGATATCATTTCTGGCTGGGACGCAAATGGTTAGCTTATGTATTATTTGATACACCAGCAAATCAAACAAATGGACATTAAATTGCCAAAAATATGCCAGTGTGTGATAGTGACAGCAATATACTTATTGAATAGTGTTTATCTTGCATGCTTATATAACGAGATGAAATCTTGTATGCAATGGCTAGATAATTGCACGCAAAATATTTTCTGGGTATGTACAGATTTTTCCAAAATAATTTACAAACACACACACATGCATATATTATAAAATATAATAACATATTACAAAAAAATATATATATTTTATTATATAACTATATATATATATTTTCTTTTTATTATGTAAAAATGTTTTAATATGTTAATATAAAAATGTTCCAGTACCTTTCAACTATATTTTCCTACTTCACTACAATGCGAATGATGTTCGATGAACAAAAAAATGGAGCATAAACAGAACAGCGTATTTTAATAAAGATTTAATGAAAAACAATTTTTTGCACTATACTATTAAATAATTCTTGCTTAATCAAAAAGAAAGAGAGAGTTTGATTCTTATTTAGATTAGATTAAATTTAGTTTATATAAGATACTTTAGGAGATAATCCTCTATATATTGTAAAATATACGTACAAAATATCAAAAAATTTAAATTTGAAATATATTTAAGAACAATTCGAAAATGACTATTTTTTATATAAAAAATGATCAAAATTTTTATTTTTTTAAAAATAGAGTTTAAATTTAAAAACTTAATATTATAAATTATAGTTAAGGTTTAAGATTATCATATTGGACAATTGTAATATAACGATGTTCATTACCATATATTTTGTCTACTAATGTTAAACAAAAAAATATCAGCGCATACGTGTGTAATAATAATTAGTTAAGCCACAGTTAAGAGAAGTAACATGAATAGAATAACGCAATTAATAAATATACATAACATTATTTCTTTTGCACGCGAAGGTTACGAATCAACCGTGAAATGGATCAGAGAGAGGGATATCACGCGTATCAGAACCTACATATCTGATGTACGTAGAAGTACATTATGCCAGTCAACATTCCACGACCGATCGTTGTTCATCAATATTAGTGTTTTTCATTTGTCGGAAAAAGTGTATTTTTCAGGTAGTGCAAAAATTTCTCTCCTTCTTTTTCATTTTTCTGAATGTTTTTCCTCACCATTTTCGATTTTTATTTATATTTAAACATTTCTCTATTAATCGAATATCTTGACAATTTATTTACACATACACGCTTGGCGGCAGTTTATATCAACGCGATCTTTCCTTCATGGAACGAAAACATGGATTTGCGTGAGTTCTTCCACGAAATAATCGTAACAATGCACAAATAGTACATAGCATTTAATGAATAAGATATAAAGGTATTGTATATATAAAGTATTGTATTCAAACATAATATAATACTTTGTTTTGTAATTAATTAATATTAAAAGTTAATAATTCTATCAATTTTATATTATTATTGTTTGTATCATATTATGCATAATTACTATAAAGTTAATAAATTAATTTTTTAGTCATATAATTATTGAGCATAATTGTTACTACAAAATTAAATATATGACCATACTACACTTTACGTACGTTAATTTCAAATTAATACATACACATTGTTTAATAAATTATGCCGAATACATATTGACATTTGACACCATTTTAACATTCAGCTGATATTTATCTCGAGAGAAGATTCTTTTTATCGAAAAAAATCTTTATTTTATTTGTACATTAGTAAAAAATAAATTAAAATTTAATTGGTTGAGACATAATATAGTTTATTGAATGAAACCATTTGTGATGATATCATGGAATAGTTTGATCGTATACAAAATCTTCAATCTCTATCTGTTTAGAATCTGAGATAAGAATATCTTTGTCGTAATGGCTGTAGACAATTCGAAGGTAAATATAAGAAAAACAATTGCATATAATTTTATAATAATTTTTTTAATTATATTTAAATATTAGGTCATTTCATAAGTTTCGTATTTTTGGGTAAAATAAAAATTAACATAATTTTGAAAAAATAAATTTCAAAAGTGTAAATTTCAAAAATACGTAATTTTATAGAGATACTGTCAGGTGTAAAATTTATTACATATCGAAGATAAGCGTACAAAATACAGAACTTATGCAACGATAAAAAGCTACTGTTAATGCAGTATAAAACATAAAATATAAATATACTATACAAGTAAAAGTATCACAATTCTTTAAAGTCGTCAAACTCAATTATTACTTTTAGAATTTTACCATGGAAAATAACGTTTACAAAGGAAAAACATCGACCTATACGAATAACTACAAAAGTGTCGGAGAGATGGTATGGGTTAAGATTAAAAGTCATGGAGATAAAATTGCACATGTAAGTCAAAATTTAACTCATTGTAAATAAGAATACATTTTTTCTATAATTAATACTTATTAAGATGTATGTATACATAATGATGAGAATATTAAAATACTTTACTAGCAAGATAAATTATAGGAATAAAAATAATAGAAGCAGTAAACTTTATTAGAGAGAGAGAGAGAGTAATTTTCTGCTTTTCTATTAATATGTGATTATATGAGCTGAACAAACATCTTTTATTTAACTTTATTCTAAAATTAGTAAAGTATATAAAACGTATTTATATTTCTTTATAAAATATTTGTTATATAAATAAGTATTACAATATTTACAAATAAATATTAGTTTTCGTTTAAAATTGTTTTTAATATTATTGCATATATTTGAGATATTATTTTTACAATAAGCAAACATGTTACAAAAATTCAAGATATATCATCCCACTTTAACTACAGCTTAGTAATTCACAATGAAACGAACATTTAGTGGTTTCAGTATATATAATAACTGTATAATAGCTGTATCATAATGTACAATTATATAATAGCAATAATATATCGTAGTTAGATGCACGCACGGAAGAAGTAGTTACGTATACAAAACTACAAGACAAAGTTGTGCGATGCGCATTATGGCTTCAAAAGCAAGGAATCAAATCCGGCGATGTTGTCAGTGTTTGTACACATAATCATCTTAATTCTATCGTACCTTGCTTGGCGGCAGTTTATATCAACGCGATATTTAATTCATGGGACGAAAACATGGACTTGCGTGAGTTCGTCCACGAAATAATTGTGACAGTGCACAAATAGTACATAGCATTTGATGAATAAACTCTAGAATCAAAAATAAGTATATATCTAATTCGATGACTAAGCAAGTGCAATTTTATTCAATTAAGTAATTAAAAAATTTTAATTTTTTAATGTGTAACTATAATATAATAATATTTAAAATGTAGCATTTATTTAATTTAGATGTATATATAGAAAAACAAATCCAAGAGCCGTGTACGATGATAAGTGCACAAATTTTATAAAACAGCAAGTATTTTATTCGAACATTTCGGTCCTAATATCGGACTATCTTCAGCAATACAAATAATTGTGCTCGTGCATTTAATGGAGTTTTAATCTGCTAACATGCCGCACGCAAGATACAATAAGATTTAGTCTTATTCTATCTTGCGTGAGCTATATTAGCAGATTAAGATTCCATTAAGTGCACAAGCACAATTCTTTGTATTGCTAAAGATGGTCCGATATTAGGACCGAAACGTATATTTACATAATTTAAGAGATCCTATTTCTTATTTCTGTTTTGTAATTATAAATATTTAATTCATTATTATATTTTATTTAGTTTTTATTAATTAATCATATGTTCTTTATTATTATTTATTATTATTATTATTATTGTTATTGTTATTATTGTTATTATTATTATTATTATTATTATTACTAGGAACCGCGCTGCACGTTATGCAACTAACTAGGCCGAAGGTAATCTTTTGCAGCGAAAAACCCACAAACATTATCTTGAGTGCTATAAAGGAAAGTAAACACAATCCCATAATTGCGGTTTTCGGCCAACATCCTGACATAATCTCCTTTTCTGATATTTTAAATACTTGCACCGATGCTGAAATAGCTGATTTTCAATATATCGAACTCGATGACATCAAAAAAACAGTCTGCATTGTGCACTCCTCGGGCACTACGGGAATGCCGAAAGGCGTTGAAATGTCTAATTACACTCTATTATCTATTAGCGAAGACAATAATCTGAATATGACAAACGCGATATCAATTTGGTTCTCATCACTTTACTGGATCAGCGGAGTGATGATGAACTTCAAAGCGATTGCACAGGGTGCTAAAGTAATCATCTATCCAGAATTCAACGAAGAGATGACGTGTATACTTATTGAAAAATATAAGGTAAAAGAAATAAACTAGAGTGAAAGAAATTGCAATAGTATTTTGCAATTTTCTTTTATATATTTTTCTTATTAATTTTATCTTATATTTATAAAGACTTTAATATAACCATTGAAATCATAATGTGTCATATAAATAATCCTAAAATATCTAATTCTTTTCTGCCTAATTAAAAAAGAGTAACCGAGATATATCAGTATGTCTAGACTTTTTTATTAATAAAACATTTTTATAATAATACTGTTTCTGTGCATAAATTATTTGATAAAGTCGGATTAACTATTTTATTTAATGTTCAATAAATATATAAATGTCCACTCTTCTACAAAAATGCAATTTATTGCCATATCGTACGTATTTACATTTGTAAACAAGAAAGTATCTGTCATCACGACACGATTATGTTAAAACCGTGTGATAATAATTTAAATCTAAGTATACATATAACAAAATATACATACAAATATATTATCTTTGTATGCTCTCGAAATACATATGTATAAATTACGTAACTGGTTTTACATTTTTATATGATGTATTAGAATGCAAAACCATAAAGCATCTTTAATCTTACTCTTCAGGTAACATTGATATTTTTAAGCACGAGCATGATAAACCGATTTCTCAAAGCGGATTATGTAAAAAAATATCCATTATTATCTTTGGAAACCATAATCTGTGGTGGTGCAGCTATAAAATCGAAAGCGCAAGAAAAAATGAGACATATTTTACCGCATGTCCAAATGTCACAAGCTTACGGTAAATATTTTTCTAATGCAATATAATATTATAAATATACCAAAATATATGTATAATTAATGAAATAAAAATTCTATATTCTATAGATATAAATATTCGATTTCGTTTATCTTGTGTTTATTTTCAGGAATGACGGAATTAGGTGGTATCGCGACGATGCAACTTTCGAATCACAAGAATGGGTCTTGTGGGACAGTAGTTGAGAATGTGCAATTGAAGATCGTGGATCCAGAAAACGAAAACATCCTTGGCCCCAATCAGGCGGGAGAAGTGTGGGTTAAAACAGCGACCATGATGAACGGTTATTATAAAAACCTTGAAGCGACAAAAAATACAATTGACAAAGAAGGTAACAAGGTTTTCTTTTATACTTGTTTAATATAACGATAATAAAATGTAATTAAGCTAATTAGTTAATTATATTATTTATAATTACTACCCTTATAATAGAAATGTATCAATAATAACGCCAATTAATCATTTATTTCGAGTACATAAAATACTGATATACAGTAATTTAAGTACTCGGAATAGGTGATTAAATATTCGAAATAAGTGATAAATTGGCGTTACTAGTGATAAATTTCGATAAAGGTAAAATAACACAAGTGCGCGCCATTCAACAATTTTATATTTAAAAAATTGATATTAAAAAATGCATTTTTAATTTTTTTTAATAATTTAAAAATAACTTTTAAAAAAATATCTTATAACAGAATATAACTTTTAATATTTGAAATTTTTAATATTTTATAAAATGCGAATAAAATAATAGCAATGACGCAGCTCAGTATATAACTAAAAAACCAACATCTTGAAATAATAAATCAGCATAAAGAATAGACAAATGTCAATAATATTAAGAAAACCCATGTCTCACGTCAAACATTTTACAACTGCGAAATAATGCGATAGTGTTTGAGACAACTTCGTTTTTATATTGCGGAATAACATATGAACTGTAGTACGCATACATCTCTTTTTTAAAAAAGGCATGCAAAGTCGATTATCGCAAATATTGTTGTGGGTTTTCTGTGATGCTGATTGATTGTCTCGATTAACATTGTGTGTTATATTAATAGCATCAAACAACTTAAAAGAGAATTAAAATTAAAATATAAAATATATATAATAAAATATAAAATTAAAATATAACTGTTTAATATAATATACTGTAGCATTATTTAATACCTGCTGCATTACTTTTTAATGAAAATTATTGAATTAATTTCTCAAATTTGTATTAGCGTTTTACTATCAGTTTACTATATTAACAATAATTTGCTATTATAATTAAACTTAATAACAAAATTGAGTTTGATTTTAAGTCGACACAATTACTTTTACTTGTAACTTCCTATGGTATTAACAAATCTGCTTATAAAAACTAAATTTATGTAGCATATATATACATTTCGTTTAATCTAACCAAATATAATTACGCAAAGCAAAGTTATATTATTCTTTAATAATAAAATCTCACAAATTGTGACATATGCATGCAAAAATTATTATTGCAATCAATGCATAAAAAATATATTAATTAATTTTGCAACGCATAAAAATTCAATATTTAAATTTTTAACAGAGGATACAAACAAAAAAATAAAATTACAAGAATCTTTTGTGATCAAACATCTACGGTTTTATTAAACTCGCGCAAAATTCTCTATCCCAAACGTTCGTCGCGCTGCACGATTCGCGCGAAACTGATTCTCGTGCGAGATATCGCAAGCGCGAAGCCGAGAGCACGTGACCACTGGTCATGTGACCACCGGTCATGTGACCACCAGTCATGTGACCATCGATTCCGCGCTCGCGATACCCCATACGAGAATTAGTCTTGCGCGAGCCGCGCAGCATGGTAGATATATGGGGTGTTTTAATCTGATGGAAAGGATAAAAAGAGAGAAATTCGGTGAATTAAAATTATGTACATAATAGAAAGTCAACAAATTAAAATTATGTACATAATAGAAATTCTGCGAATTAAAATTATGGTCATATTTAAATTCTAACATCATGTAACTGTCATAGCAAAGATTAACAATTTGACAATTGTAAAATAAATAATTGAAATAATATCAAAGGCACGCGTGAAGCACGCCTGTGTAGTCTAGTAGTCATGAAAGAGATGGTGTGTTTACCAAAAGCGGTAACAATTCAATACAATCGAGTAATTGATTTAACGTGCTATTTTTAATAATGGATAAAATATACAATAAATAAATTACAAATATATTAAACTTTATTAAATACCTCTCTCTCTCATTCTCTCTCTAACAAAATATCTAGTTGTAAAATAGCGTAAAAACTGATTCTTTTGCAGGATGGTTACATTCAGGAGATATAGGATATATTGACGAAGACGGGGAACTGTTTATTATTGATAGGATAAAAGAGCTTATAAAATATAGAGGATATCAAATCTCACCAGGAGAAATCGAAGATGTCTTATTATTACATAAAGCAGTGATGGAAACTGCAGTAGTAGGAGTACCTCATGCAATAGACGATGAGCATCCTATTGCTTATGTCACTATAAAATCTGGCGTCAAGGTATAATTTGGTTACAAAATATAAGAAGATTGCAATAAGAATTCACAAAACACTAGTTTTATCGATTAAAAATTAAGAAATTTTGAAAATGTCATTCTACTATCTATGTCAGTCTTCTATAACAATCAAATTTTGTATCTGTGTAGATAACGGAACAAGAATTAATAGACTTTGTGTCAAATAATATGATGGATCAATATAGGCTTCGTGCTGGAGTGATATTTTTGGAGACTTTTCCATATACAGGTTCTGGAAAAATTGCAAGAAAAGATTTAAGAGCAATGGCTAAAAAACTAGCGGTGGAAAATTAGTGGTGGATAAAAAATGAATAATTATAAATTTTAATCATGTTTTACTTAAAATTAAAATCGTAGTATATATTATATTTCTTTTACAAATAATAACATAAATAATTTATATACATTAGAACAACACAAGCGCATACGCTACCATACCAGATCATTTTTTCCTGTCCTGTTCTAAAAAAGCGGTAGGAAAAAAAGAAAAAAAATGCATGTTTTTATTTATTTATTTATATTATTTAATGGCGAGGGTTAACAGTTTGACAATTGTTCAAAATAAAATTAAATTAAATTAAATTAAATTATTATCTAAAATCATAAAATGAAGTCAGACGATAACGCGCGCTTGTGTTGTCTACTATTTTAAATATTATATTGTTCTTTAAACACAATTAATATTTTTATATAGATAGACATATCTGTTGATTTGTAATTTTAGTTCAGAAATTATTTAGCGACTATTATATAAAACATTATTTATGTAACTATTCTCAATTATATTATAAATAAAATGAAATAAAAATATTATATGATTAAAAATAATATAAAACTCAATAATATGAAATGATATGAAAATATGTACAAAAATTCTGAAAATGAAATGATGAAAAGTTAAAATCCCGAAATTTAAAACATGAGACAATATCTTAAAAAACACTACATCGAAATTTAAGATATGAGACAATATCTTCAAAAGTCATAATACTGAAGAAGAAGTGAGATAAAATTCCGCTGCAGTACACAATTATAAATTAAATAATAAAATTTATTTATAATTATAAACTTAAATACAAGGAATCAATTTATAAAATAATCTTTTATATATAATATTAATATTTAAAAGATTATTATTACATACAAATTAAATTTATTTGATTACATTAAATATTAATTTTAATCAATATTAATTAGAAACTATAATTTACTTAATATAATTAATTTAAATTATTAATAGAATACAAATTTCTATTTGATGGCGAATGAATTTTATATCCATGTTTTTTTGCTTCCTTGAACATGACTACGAGGGAATCTACAACCTCCTTTCCAGTCGGGATAATCTGATCAGGCGGCATCAAGTATCCATAACGATCGCGATCACGTAATTCATAGATATAAGTGATATTCTTATTATAAACAGCCTTAATATAATCCACACTAGTTCCGGTGATTCTATCTAGAAAGAAATATAATTTTTATTAAACAAGATTTTGAATTATAATTAAAATTGCAAACTGAAAATACGAATATTACAAACTAACTCCATAATTATCATAATTTTAAAGAAAAAACTTCTAAATGTAATAGATTATTTAAGATAATTCTAAAAACTACTTTAATGTGTATATAAGCATAATAGCAAAAAAATAATTGAAAATTCTTCTATTACAGATTGTTTCTGCAATATTTCCAATCTGATATTCTGTTCCATATCTCTTCTTAAGAGCTGCAACCGTTTTCAAACCGATGGCATGCTGAAATTATAAAACTTAAATATAAAATGTTATTACCACAATATACACAATTATGAGTGCCGACAATGATATGATTAAATGATTAATTTTAAACTTTTAATCCAAAAATAAGATTGAATCACGAAATCATTGAAATGATAACAAATGAATTTATATAATGAGTCTATAAAAAGAATAAATATTGTTTCTGATACAAAATTAATTAATTTAGTATTTGGTATAGTAGTTTATTAAAGAAAAATTGTATTAATTTTTAGCAACAAAGACATTGATGACAAAATAATGAAATAATGCATGTATACATATGTATATAATAAATATTTTATAATTTACAGAAGTGTTATTATCTAAAACTTTTTTAAAGACTTTTATTGTGCTATAGTAACAAAATTTCTTACTAATTCGTCGTAATTGTCAAGATGGTTTGTTGTGTGTCCGTAAGGAAATAACAACAATTGCGCATGACAGTGAAATGCGATATATGCATAGAACTTGTTAGAAATAGTCTTGATATATTCGGACATACTTTTTATTTCTATTTCGGAAAATGGTGCACTTCCCGCATAACCAGAGGAGCATGGGTTATTTTTAAGATTAAAAACTATAGTTAAGAAATTGAAAAATTAACTTTAACATTATTAACATATATTATTATAAGACAACATTAATATAAGGCTGAATTTGAATTTCTTTCAACAATTTTTTAAAGTTTATAATGAATAATCTTCGTTATTGATATTTTATTCTAGTAGTTTTCTATTCACAATAAAGTACTCACAATTCCATTTATAACCCCAGTTTCTGTTAAGATCTACACCAATGCAAAAAGAATTATTGCTTGGTTTACGATTTTTTCTCCACATTCGATTCTGGAAACAATTGACAAATTTTTATTTGTAAGTTTTTTAATTTATGAGATCAATATATCATATAAAATATAACGAAATATTATTTACTGTAGTGTGGCTGTAAACGTATCCGTCAGGATTAAATACGGGAAAAATATACCAATCATGACTCTCTGCCATGGCTCGAACGTTCTTATTCTTGCTGGTCAGCACTTGATATAGGATATACATAACAGTCGCCGGCGAGATCCACTCCTTAGCGTGAATTCCACCTTCGATAAAGATTCCAGGATTATTCGCCGTGAATGACACCTTGACACCTTTGATGTTGCGTCTCTCATACGTTTTACCGCCTATAATAATCTGTACATTGTCTGGATACCGCTTAGCCAAATCATTCAAATTCTTATAGATTGTCTCGAGAGTGTGATAACTAGTAAAATCAAAAGACGTCGATCGATTCGCAGGCGTCGTCTGATCAATTAGTTCTTGAACGTTTTCGATATTAATCCGATAAAATACATCAATTTTGGTCATTATTTCGATGAACTGCGGCAATTTGTGCGGGGCTACCATAATATTTACTGGTCTATTTTTCAGGTTTGGTACATTCCACAAGGTAATCTGTAAATGGCATCTAATTTTACAATTTCGCTAAATTAAAATTTAATTTTAATCTGTTGAAAAAATTTTTAGTCGGCTTATTCTTTAATTTTATTCTTACGGACTTTTCATAATTAGAAAATTAGTTTATAGTTGTAAAATTTTTAACTTATAAGTCTCAGTTAGCGGAATAAATTTGTGTGATTTAATTCTCGAAGCAAAGAAAAAAATCATGCAAACTCTGTATAAAGAATCTACTTACTCCATCATGAATGTCAACCATTTGATAAACCTGGTTTATCTGTTTTATTGTAGACGTCACAATGCTGAATACTTTATAATTCTCGTACGTAGCTTCTGAGCGATAGCCAAACTCACAAGCATACTTAATGCTATCATGCTCTGCATTATGATTCTGTATAAACATTTTCCCATAACAATAAAACATAAATTTAAAAATAAATGTGAGACGACCCAACTGGCTTAAATTAATTCTTATTATTATTTGTTTGATGCCATGTACAAGAAAAGACAACGTTTCGACCTTAGGTTTAGGTCCTTATCAAGTCTAAAATTAACATTAAAAATACAATAGATGTACATACAAGAATTTTGATTTTTAAGAAAGTAAAGCGCAAACCAAGATTATAATACCAATTTAAACGTACCTTATAAATTCTTAAGTGCAATATATAATTAATTTTGTTCCATTTTACATATTTCAATATAATATTGTGTCAACGTAAACGTTCGGTATGGATGGTAAAGACGAACTAAGTTAAACAGCTTTGATTATTCTATCATAGATCGGATTCAAATTCTCTGTGTCTTTCTGTAGGTTGATCGTGTTATTAAATTTTTTTATAAAAAACATTTCAGCAATCTCTCTTTTCCTAGTGTTTGTTTCTCGATGTAAAATATTTAAGTTTGTCCATTTAAAGTCATGCGAAAATTCATTTCTATGTTTGCTTATAACATTTTGATTGCTGACATGCATTTTTATATTATTCATATGTTCTTTAATCCGAGTATTAAGGTGTCTTTTAGTTTGTCCGATGTATGTGGCGTCACAGTCATTGCAGTCGACTTTATAAACTATCTCGGTCATATTGGCTTTAGGTAATTTGTCTTTTCGGGGTTTAATAAACGTATCAAGTTTTTTGGAATCGTATAAATACACTTAGCCTGTTTTCTTAATAGATCTCTCAATAGTCTCACTTAGGTTCTTAACATACATAAAATACAAGACGAAATATCAAATACATTATTTTTGTCAACTACGTTATGAGAATTTTCTAAAAACATGTTCGTTTATACATATATCGCTCGATGACCGTCCTAGGGAAACAATTATTCAACAAGATTTTTTTAACCATCTGTAAGTTCTCATTATGAAATCGTGGCGATACAAGATATCTACTATTAATAAAACATAAAATTAATTTTTATTTGTCAAATTACAATTATAAGAAATAACTTTTTGAAGTATATAATATATGTATTTTTTAATAGTACAACTCAATTATCTGATGTTATTGTGTAGTTAAAAACTTGATAATTTTTAATTAAATAATTCACATAATTTAATTCAAAATTAAATTTTAATATATATATATATATATATATATATATATATATATATATATAATATATATGAGAACGATCAAAGATGCAGAATAATAAGTAACATTTTTTAACATATGTTAAAATTATTTCACAGAAGTTAGTAAATTAATACTCGCTTATAATATCAGAATAAAAACAACATATAATTTTCTAAAGAATGCAAGGTAAAAGTATTTATGATTATTACCTTCTCATTATAAAACCAGTTTGTCACGTCAGCAATACGTCATAGAAATAATTGATGTTCAAAGACAAAATTAATTCATGAAGATTATAGAATAGAAACTATGATAATGATTAAATTATACATTTTCAACAAATTTTTCTTAAAACGACATTTCAAATAATCAAATTCAAATCAGCCAACAAATATAAACAGCATAATTAAGAAACACATCTGACACTGAAATACACACAATGTTTATATAACTAAATTTTACTTGCGTTTAAAATCTAAAGTTTATTTGTGTGTATTGTATATGTATGTATGACTAACTTGTTTTGAAATATTTCTAAATTTGCAAAATATGGAATATATTGTCAATGTTTCTCGGTTAATTAAAAAAAATAATATAAATGTTATGTTTGTTTTAATTAAGAACTATTATATTTTGATTATTTTTATGCGATTATATTTCTATTTATATTTTCGCGCAAGTATATAAACAATCTTCATCTATTGATGCACTCATATACACGCGCTTATCGCGAATGACTTGTAAATTATTTATCATGAGATCGACAGTTTTAATCACGTCATTTGTAATCAGAGAAATTGATTTAAATGAATAAATGACTGATGTAAAATGCTAAATAAATTAAATTGTTTAACTTTATAAAATGTATATATAAAGATAGTATTATAAGAGACATTTTTTTAAAGATAGCTAATCAAGTCACATTCAAATATCGATGATTACATATAAACACACATAATAATTTGTGATAAAAATGCAAGAAATTCGAAACATCATGCATAATTAAAATTAAAATACCAAAATTTATTATCGTCAATTGATTACAAAGTAATATAATAAATCAGTAATTTACACAATAAAAATTTACATTATCGACAACACATAAAACATTATATTTACAATCAATTAAGTTAGTTTAAATTCTTTTAGGATGTCCACGTTTTTTGGCTTCTTTAAACATAGCTACGAGAGAATCCAAAGTCTCTTCTCCAGTCGGAATAATTTGTTTCGGAGGTAATAAGAAGCCATAACGACCCTGATCACGCAATTCATAGGTGTAGGAGAGACTTTTTTTATGAACGCCTTTTATGTAATCCACAGTACTTCCGGTGGCTACATCTAGAAATAATTTTATTTTAGCTATTTTAGAAATAGACAATTTATATAATTAATTAATACTTAAATTACAGCGAATGACTTAATTATATAAAAATTAAAATAAGTTGAAACTATTTTACTTACAGATCGTCTCGGCAATATTTCCTGTCACATACTCTGTTCCGTATCTCTGTTTGAGAGCTTCAATTGATTTGGAACCGATAGCATACTAAAATCATAAAATCATAAGAATCGTGTTATGAAACCAACGATTATCTTAAGGATAAGATACGATTATACTTGTCAGTGAATTTCTTTTTAAACAGACATATCGATTTTTTTCGCATTTATAAATTAGTTTGTTTGCACGTAAAAATTATTGTACAATATATATTAATTTATACTATCTCATAATGTAAAAATAATAAAAATAATAATATATATAGTAAAAATAATAAAGATATACATATAGTAAAAATGATGATAAAAATAAAATAAAATAATATATAATTATTTCATTAACTAAGAAATATTATATCCACAGTTTTCTCTAAACTACAATATTTTACGATATTAAAGTTGCTCACCAATTCGTCGTAATTCTCAAGATGATCTGTTGTGTGGCCATAAGGAAACATTAATAGCTGCGAGTAGCTATGCAACGAGATGTACGCGTAAAATTTATCGTCTATAGATTTCAGATATTCAGACATGCTTTTCGTTTCTATATCGGAGAATGGCGCACTTCCGGCATGGGTTTCGGAACATGGATTGCTGCTGGCACCTCCAGCTATTAAATGTCAAATTACAATGTCATTAACGAACATAAAATCAATCTTAATCTCATGAGTTCTTCAAAGATTTGTAAAGTTCTTCCAAATTATTTAACAATCTCTAAACTCTTGAAACAACGATAATATTTGATTCTTAATTCTTCTATGATTTCTTATTTAAAGAATACATTAATACTTACTATTCCATCTGTAGTCCCAATTTCTATTGGGATCGCTGCCATAACAAATACCATAAGGCTTACGCGTTTTCCTCCACAATCGGTTCTGCAAACGATTGATCAAATTTTGTAGGTAATATTTCAATTAAAAAGAAAAAATCTCATAGCAATATCACAAAAATGACTTACCGTGGTGTGTGTGTACACATATCCATCGGGATTGAACGATGGGAAGATGTACCAATCGTGACTCTCGGCCAGAGCTCTGACGTCCGAATCATTGCTGGCCAACAATTGATGCAGTATGTACATGGTAGTTGCCGGAGTAATCCATTCCCTGGCATGAATACCACCTTCGATGAAGATTCCGGGATTATTTTTCTTGAAGGAAACCTTGACGCCTTTGATTTCACGTCCCTCATATGTCTTGCCGCCTACAATGGTCTGCACTTTGTTCGCATACTGCGCAGTCAAGTCGTCCAGATTCTTATAAATTTCATCAAGAGTATGATAGCTGGTGAAATCGAACGATTTCGATCGAGTCAGAGGAGTCGTTTCGTCTATCAGCGTCTGAATGTCCTCGATATGGACCTGATAGGGTATTCCCAGTTGACCCATTATTTCGTAAAATTCGGGCAATTTGTGTGGTGCTACCATGAGATCTACATTTTTGCCCACAAAACTTGGTGCCTCCCAGAAAGAGAACTATAAACAACATTTAATTTCGCATACTTAGTACTAAAATTTAATTTTGCGATGCTATTAAATATTATTTGATTTGTTATGAATCTTATTTTTGAATTTTTATAGTTTATAAATTTGCGAAATTAATTTTGTAAATTTTGGATTAAATTGCATAAAATAATAACTATTTAGAAAGAAGCTCGTACAAATTAAAAAGAAATAACAATAATACTGTTAGGCTTTTTTTATAAACAAGTAAATAAACAATGTTATAAAAATTAATTAAATTAATTTATTTGTAATTATTAACGTGAGACTAATAATTACAAATAAATTAATTTAATTAATTTTTATAACATTGTTTATTTGCTCGTTTATAAAAAAAGCCTAACAGTATTATTGTTATTTATTTTGAATCGCACAAATTTTATGACACTGATTTTGAATCAATGTAAACTGATAAAAATATTTTTGTTCAAGAAGAAATAGAATTCTGTACGCATACATTACTCGATCTGTACATCTGTGAATTTAAATATTTGTGTAATGGAAAAGATATTTACTTACTCCATCAGAAACTTCAAACTCGTGCAGAATTTCGACCTGCGACTTTGTAGTTGGGATAAGCCTGAAGACTTTGTAATTATTAAATCTGGCCTTCTCGGCGATCGCCAGACCCAGAATCGTGCACAACACTATTATCTTCCACATAATGATTCTGTAGAAACACATAGGTTCTTTTATTTTAATTTACAAAAAAAAAGTTCTTATTAATTATTAATTTATAATAGTCACAATTGTCGTAAATTCTTGTATTAATTATAACATAACATGCAGTTTTTAAAAAGAAAGCTTAATTATCAACATCTATTGTCATCAGTCAGTTATTTAATTTTTATGATTCAATTCAGGAATCTATTTTTTTTCTTTCGAAAAGATCTTACCCTTGTCAAGACAGGAGTACTTGTGATCATCGCTACTGTTTTGTTCATTGTATTTAAACACTGAATGCACACGGCACCAAACAATCAAGACACCAAGACATTATTTAAAAAAAAAGTCATGTCGATCAATCAAACAAAAGTCACGCTTACATTGAGTGGGTTTTACCACTCATCTATCGGATTAGCTTCAAAAGAATCGTGCGTTATCGGACTGATTCTGTATGGCGCACTCGACAGGTATCGAGATTTCACAATCATTCATCATCTTAAGCTTTATTGGACGTTTAAACACGTAAGCATAAAATTTATTTTAATTTAGATTTTGATTATTTTTGTATATTTTATAAATTTAAAAAAACGTTAGTTTTTGTCTCGCTTTCAAAATATATTATTTTAATATCGCGAAAAATATTAATTCAAATAGAATTCAAAAAGAACAATTGATCTAAAATAATTCAAATTACTACGTTAGTGAGTATAAAAATAATTACATAAATTTAAAAACTATAGTATATTTAATTTGCTTTAAATTTTTAACGCTGATTTAATCGTACTCGGTATAAAATAGATATTTGCAATATATGTGAATAAGATAAATGCAATAAAATCAATCATTACTAAATCTTCTTTAAACTTTGTACTGCTATGTTTGTGCGAATTATTATGTATAAAATATTAAATAAAATTTTTTTTTATAAATAGTTTTTCCATCTTTTTCGAGAAATAATGTTTGTTCTTTTTTATTTAATAAGTAAAACATCGATGATTGATGCATATCTCTTATTTTCTAGAACATAAAATTTTATCATTTTGTTAAAAGCACAAAAATTATATTTTAGGATTTTGCGCAATTATCATATGTATATTTATATATTTTTATCAAATGCACTGTCAAATCTTATCGTAAATGCTTCATTGATTAATTATATTGCGTGATTGATATAGCGTCCTATTTAATCGCACTCATTCGATGACAGCTAATCTGTGCAAATAATTAAAAATGATAAAATTGTCTCGCGTCATCTAATTATATAGATTAAGATCAAAACGAAATTTCTTATATCTGCAGAGATATATCGCAAGAATACCATATATCTTGTCCGATACAAGCGATGCATCAATTGCAAAATATTCAATATCTTTTTCTGATTTCCTGTGTTTCTCTTTGTAAATAAATACTTGTATATTTCTTATAAACAATTTATGTTACACAATTTTTGATATTTTAATTGATTTGATCTATGATCAATTTTACGCAATTATTTACGGAAAATAAATAACGTGCTAAATTTTTTACACAATTAAGCTCGTAAATTTATATAACAGAAAATATAACTTTGTACTATACTTACTCAAGTGACAATATTTCACCTGTTTTGTCTTCAAAATGTTTGAAAGTGCACTCCGACGATTCGCTTTTCGACTTTTATACATATACGCGCCGTTTTTCCAAGATCGTAAAGTACGTGAGATACATGCAAAGTAACGGAATATGGGCGTTAATTTGCATGTGCAAAATAAATTATTTAGGAACAGCCAGCACACATCGTAGGATGTTCCACATTCATTGTTTAACATGCGGGTCCTTATCAGACGCATTCTGCGGATACTGTGCGTACTTAAAGATTAGCGAAAATTAAACCGCTGGGATAAGATTAAATTGACCTATTTTTGCTGGTTTAAAATAATGTGTATGCATTTACGTTTGTCACGAGATATTTATTAACAATGCTTTACAAGGTCTTATTCGTGCTGCGCGCACGAATTTAATAAGTCCGTATAGTTAACTAAAAATTTACATATTTATTTATTTACGTAACATAACATATATGTGTATATATACATGTATGTATATACATATATATGTATATGTACACACATTTCTTTAGAATTATTCAGAAAAAACGGCTTCTATACAAATTGTCGACATTATATGGTCTCACGAAATGTACACATTATGCGCGTAATAGGTACGGCATACTTGACACACTAGTTTAATTAGGAACGAGTTTAATCTACGTCTTCAAAATTACGTCCGAAAAATTGCAGCATCGTAGAAAACGTACACAGCATTCGCAATTCTGATTCATTTCGCTCTTACAATATTTTTCTCTCAGCATAGCCATAATATAAATGTACAAATTATTCGTTTTAAAGTATCTGTATAATCAAGTGAAAAACTTCTGAAAAAAATGAAATAATTAAGAAATTTTAGAAAACATTTTATATCAAGATATTTTTGAATTATATAGCTTTTATTATATATATTATAAATTATTAATATTTTTGTAAAACAATTAAAAAGTTACCATTCTTCCGAAGAAATAAAATAAAAATATAACAGACATTATGTTATTAGAAATCGAGTATAGTTTTTTTATTACATTAAAATATGTTTCTGTGAAAAAATACAATATTATTAGAAATAATTAAAAACAAATATATAAATATACATATATATACAGATACTTTAAAACGTAAAATTTATACCAAAAGTTATCTTCATAAAGAAACACCTCTAATCCATTTAAAATCAATTTGTTTATATAAAATGTAATTAAAAATTACATATTGTACCCATTGGCTGATTAACCGTGAATTTTTATATAGCATCAAATATTTTTCAGGAGATAGAATATTTTTTTAATTTACTTACAATTCTTATTGTAACCATTCGAAATAATCGTATACAGCAGTAAAAGTATAATTTTCTACATACACGACACGCATCTTGTGCATGCGTACACTAATATGTATATATAATTGTTACCAGCTAAATCAAAACTTCAGATTACATCATCACAGTCTGCAGTTTGTTAATTCTCAAACGATCAAAATCAAGAATAAATATCTACCTTTCCTAGATCACGTTCTAAATATGTTCGATATATATTAATCATTTTATCAAATAAATTAATCATTTTTCTTAGAAAATTATTTAATAACATAAAAATAAAATAAAAACAAAATAGAGATAAAGATAAAAAATAAAATCAGAAAGAAAGATAAAATTTAATTCAGCTTTCTTTTATATATACTGTATTAATATATTAATATATTAGCTTTCTTTTATATATACTATATTAATATATTAATATAGATTTTTAAAGTTTATTTTCAAAAAAACAAAAAAATTTCATTTATGTTTATTATATTATTAATGTATGTCGAATAACTTTTACGAATAGATTCAGAATACGTAATCTAGGATAAATTATCGAAGAATTGCAAGTTATACGCTGTTTATTAATATAACAAAAATAGTTCCTCACAAATTGAAATGCTTTCTGATGTTATCTGTAGTACTAACTAGATAATCAAACACACTTTATTATATGAAACTTAATATTACAACCAATCACGATCCAATCATCTAGACGCAATACTTCATTGTAAAAATCATTCATTCCTTCAAAAATTGTCAAAAGATTTTTTTTCCTTTTATTCGGTTTGAATCAACCCTGTGAAAATCTCGCTAAAAATGCGTAGTAAATAATCTACGCTTATGTGAGAAAGGTGTTGAAAAAAAACCAATTGTCAAATCTGTGTGTAATCAAATTTCTTTGATATGTAATGCAACTGCGGCACAAGGAAGATTATCAATATTAATTTTCTGGCCAATGTAGTATTTCATCTGTCTAATAACTATAGTTGTTTCTCATATTTGAAAAAGAATAGTCTTCACAGATTCGTCCTAACTTCAAATGCAGATCTAGCTTTCCCATTAAAACATTCTTTGCGACTTGCAATCAAAAATCTTTCTGAGCTCCCTAAAGAAAATAAAAACAGTTAAATTAAGCTTATTCAAAAATAAACAGAAAAATTGCGAGCATATATCGCTGCATTGCGAATTATTATATTTACCCAATTGTTTCCTGATCAATAGCATTCTGCTATAAATGACTGATTTCCATCCCATGGGGGAGTCTGTGACCCTGAGTATGACTCATACTAAGTTGCCTCGTCGCCATCCCACCACCGCATTGGCTGCTCCAATCCGCAATAGGTATCGGCATGCGGTAAAACTTGGACGAAGTCTTGTTAAATATTGGCAACAACTCGTTTGCCTCTGTGGATAATGCCTAAAGACAAAAATTTCCGTGTTTCATGCATTGCTCATAAATAAAATATATATACAGAGTGCCTGACATAGGTGTCACACCGAAAAGACACTTTTTCCTCAGCAAAAATATTGAGGCATCAATAATTTTCGAGTTGTAAGCGATTGAAAATAAAGAGTTTCTCGCATCTAAGCCTTGTAAAAATAAAATTAACAAAACCGCATTCTCCAATTTTTAATAGAGTTATTACTTTAATAAAATTGTAATTTAAGGTTTAATTATAAAGATATATGATGGCAAAAATTGGGAACATGCAAAAATGATGGCTTCCCTCGACATTTTTGCTGAGGAAAAATCCAAATAACGAGATCTACTTGTATATTTTCGATATAACACTTTATGTCAAACACCCTGTATAACATCATAAAGCTGCCGTTGAATGATGTATTTGTCACGAGAATTTTCAAGCATTACCTTCAAATAGATAATAGCGTCTGTTCCGTAACCCTCACAACTAAGCAGCACGATATCACCGTGCAGATACCTGGCGTAGAGCCGAGATAATGGCAAACCGTAACCGTATCCCGCAAGTGGTACCGTGTGAGCATCATCCGATTTACTCGGCTGCGGAGCGGTGCTGTACATATACTTAAATAAATGGTCCGTTTGTGAACGAGGAATGCCGCCACCCCTGTCGGATATCTGAAGCAAACAGATATATGATAGAAATTAATAATGATTTCTTGCAGTCTAATGCATCACATGCATTATCTGGAGTTATTAAAACGAAACCGTATTCATCGTACCTTGATACAATATCCTCTTTACCACGCACCAACAGAACTTCGAGTGGCGGATAATTGTTGGAGTCCGATCCAATATGCTCCATAACGGCTCGCATGCTGTTCTTGAAGAGCTCGAATAACATATGATACATGTGACTCGGCACATAAATGATTCTAATTTCACTATTATGTTCAAGCTCTGGAAAAACAAACGCACAAAACAATTACATAACCAGAACCTTGGTTGCTATTATTTTTTTACAACTTTTAATCGTATAGTAAAATATCAGAATTGTGCGTACTGATCAAATTCATTCGTCCTCTTTTTTATACATGTATAAAGATAATAGAAATAACATTGGATGAATTATATATAAATATATATATATATAATGATCTATAATATATACCTCTATAGAAAAATCTCTGGGACAAATTACGTGTCCCAAATTATTTTATTAACGCTAATACAACCAATGTTCAAACTTGCCATTATGTTGCTTGACTATCAATTCCGGACTAGCCAGATAATATCGATCGCACAAAAAGCGTGCGTTTTCGTAAGCGTCCTTAATGACGCCGATCACGTCACAGGACGGATCTATACATCCTACATGTCTACTGTGCCCGTTCAACTGTCCCACCAAAAGGAGCGCTAAAAAGCAAAGGAAAAAAACATTAACAAAATATTCGACTTATATTTAAATTTTAAAACATTTTCGATACATACTGTGCTGATTGATCAGCATACGAATGGAAATGCGGGACATTAAAAATCTGTCTAGGAAATACTGTATGCTGTTTTCAGTCTGAACGTCCACGTCATAGGACTCCTTCAGTTCCAAAACGCCTTGCGCCATCGTTTGAACAACGTCGGTGTGTCTGTTCCGGATCTTTATCAAAGCCTGGCAGAATCTATAAAAAGATTCGCGTGTCGAGGAATTCGTATAAATCGATCGATCTTCTCAAATACATCGCAATTCGTCCAAGTAGAGTGCTTAATCCACACACTCACTTGTCTAAAGTGGTATCGTTGACATCAGACTTCTCGAAGTGTATTATTTCCTCGAAAGAAGTGACATATAAGTTATTCACAATACCCACACTAGGCATCCTCAGCAGATTGTCCGGCAGCAAGTGTATCTCTTTCATAATATTAGCAAGCCGCACCGGCAATTCTTTTCGCAGGAATATGAAAGACTTCCTTTCGCAGGCACTTAGACCTGAAAAATACACACCATGTAATTATAATCAAGTTTTAATTTTATTTATATAATAAAAAAGTGTAATTAAGTTTTATGAAATCAGTTATTAATGAATATAAAAAACTTTAAGAGGCAATTTCCTCATTTCCAAAATTTAACATAAAATAAATTCTAAGCATCATATAATTCACACAAGACAAGAGCGTGTGAGAAATAAAACTTTAGCTATCACACATTTCATTCCTATAAAAATCTCTTATCTTCTTATCTTTCTTTCGACTGTTCTGTCTTGTTGATTGATAGACTTTTGCATAACTTGTTAACGTTAAACAGTCATCAAACAGATGACAGTTATACATGCGGTACTCATCAAAACAGCTTTTGTTCTATATCATATTTTCTTCGTCTGCCAGACGTAAAATACATATTTATTGCGAGAATTGGAAATGTCTTCCAGAAGGAAAAAATGATAACTCACTGTCGCGTTATCTCTACAACGTAAGATCAGTGGGGAAGTAAACCACAAATTTATGAGAATTTTATATTTTACAAACGGCCAACCGTTAATCGCGTAAACGACTGACATGTATCCTTCAAAAGATATATATTGAATAACTTATTTGCAGAAAGCAAAAAGTCTAAACACAATGTATTTTTGACATAAATGCGCAACGAATTCTCAAAAAATGTATTAATGACAATGTCAACTTTATGGAGCGAATAATATATCAGAGAGAGATATCAGAGATATTTCTAAATTGATAATATCTTTACTTCAAATATAATATTTGTATATGCTAAGTTGTATTGGTTTATATATTGAGAGAGAAAAAGTAAGAGACAAAATTTATGAATATTTGCATTTTTATGATTTGAATTCGAAACAAACGGAAGTGTTCACCTTATTACCAATAATTGATAAGAAATCGTTTATCATGAGATAAGAAATTAACAGTATATACCGTTGTTTATCACTGAATTTATGACAGGTTAACCCATTTTTGCAATGTTGTTAGTGAAAAATAATTACGAAAAATTATAGTTTAACTTTTATAGTTACGATATATGTAGAAATATTCCAACACAAAGAAGCTTAAAAATTTAATATCTTATAATCGATATTAAAAATGTATTATATTTAATACATTATTAAAAATTTTATTTATTTTAATATCTTGCGCGAAAAAAATTACACATTATGTTACAGAAGATTTCATACAAAATTTAAGTTCATTTAAAAATTATTACGTATTATTTCATCATCTGAGATACCAAAAATTCGATACAAACTTCCTTTACTATAAACAACTTTCAACAGCCATGACATACTTATAACAAGCGCTGCTATTGACAAATATAAACCATGCCGCATTCGCATATATGTTTAGTCGCGCTTTACAAATTAGAAAATTAGCAAATCTCTTTGTTAAAAACAAACATTTTTATTTTATATTTAAAATTAAAAATTTATTTCTAACTCTTAAGATTTAATTTTCTTATTAAAAATGGATGTATCTGTAATGCATTTTCAGATTTCGTCAAATACTTATCTTTGAACAAAAACGAGAAATTTGTAAAATACAAACTTGTTGGTTAAAATGACTGTAATATAAATGTTTATCGATCATCTGTAATATTTGGTATCAGCATGCTCGAGTAAATGTCGATAAATCGATCGTAACATCCCTTATCTTTCTCGTGTCAAAGTGAAAATTCAATATTTATATAGGACATGCTTTCTCTCTCTAAGACATGTTCCCGGGTGTATACAGAGCGTGCTCTGGAAAATAAACTCGACCTCGTGAGCACGCAATGCGAGAAGATTGTTACTTGGAATCTGAAAAATTACAACTTGGCACCCCGACGTTTGAACATTGTAACACCGACATTGTAAGCATCAGAAAATACGTGACAAAACATAAGTGGACTTTATACTCATTAATAAAACATCTGTATGATAGGTCGTAATATAGAATTTTAAATTAGTTTATAGCTCAATGCTATTAAGCAATATAATTATAGTTGATAATCAATTCTAAGAAAGCAATATGTAGGAGAAAAAATTGTGATATGTAAAAGATATCACACAGTTTATATTATTTATTTTCTATACATATGAAATCGATCCGCCTTCAGCAACTATTTCATTTTCATTATTCATCAACTGAAAACCTTTAATAAGTATATTAATATATTGAACGACTACTTTATCACGCGGCAATATAANGAGAAAAAGAAAAAGATGCTTTCGGACGCCCAGCTGACAGTTTTTCGTGCAAAATCATCACGAGAGAAATTCCGGAACCATAGAAACCCGAAAGCCGGCCGGAGCGAGAGAGAGAGAGAGAGAGAGAGAGAGAGAAAAAAACTGCCGGCCAAACAAATCCGTCCTGCATTTTTATCCGTGCAACTTGAACGTAAAACTCACGTTGTGTTATAAAAACGTAGAGAGCGCTCGAAAAGAGAGACAGAGAGAGAGAGAGAAATATTCGTGAAATGAAAATTCTGCGAACTCGTTATACATTTTCCAGCTTCGTCGTTACATTGAATTTAAACGGATCCCGCAATTTTCGCCCACGCTCGACACACATTTCATTAAAAAACCAACGTCTCGCGTCCTACTTCGTTTCTTTTTCGTCGAATTGTACTTTGAAACTCGTCGAGATAGAGAGAGACGCGCGAATTTTACGGATGCATAATAACCTCCCTCTTCGGGGCCGCGTTCGAATCGGCCATTTCGCGTTCGATCGGTCCATACCATCTGGAATCTAGAGGGGTAGTAAAGCTTCCGACACTTCGATCTCCGCCATTGTTTCTCCGCCGAGAGGGTACTTTGTACGCGCGCGCGATACGAAATCCTGGGCGAAAATCACGAAAAACGAAAATCCTCGGTCGTCGGCGCCCCTTTTAATCTCCATGGGTCTTCCTCTCTCTCTCTCGTGCGGGTTTTCGCCAGAGAAGAAGAAGAGAAAGAGAAGAAGAAGAAGAAGAGGAGGAAAGACCAGCGGCGGCGAGAGAACTCAAGCATCGGCCGACAAGGGTGCAAAGGGAAGAGAAGGAGGCGAAGTGGAGGACAGGAGGCGATTTAAAGGGTAGCGAGCGTCTCGACAAAAGCAACCCTCTTAAAGTTCGCCCTACGCTCTGCCTACCAATGCGACTTCGAATCCCGCGAGTCCGCGTGCCAGATTCTCCTGAAAGGAGCGAGTCGAGAGATCGAGGGAGAGAGAGAGAGAGAGATGCGCGAATATTTGGACGAACGATAAATCAAATAAGTGCGCGTCTTACGATAATTGTGCACGGAGAAAAATTTCTCTTAGAATTTACCCGGGAAATCATGATATTCGTAATTTATAAGAGTCTTCTGATGGTTAATATTACCATAAAAATAATAATATCTATCACAATAAGATGTAAAATATACTCGATTAATATCTTTTACTACACTGTAAAAGAAAATCTGTTAACTTTACTAAACCTTTCGACTAAATATTATTTGTTAATTGAACATAAAACATATTTAAATTAAATCTAACAAAACGTATATTTGACTTAAATACTATAATATATATGCTCAATTAAATATTCCTAGAAATCTACCCTTAAACGTTGATTTAGTTTTTACCTTAGAACACCCTGTATATACTTTTATCATGTTATCACGAAACGTTTGGACCGATAAAATAATAAAAAGCTGATCATTTCGTAACTAAAATCCATGGAAGTAAATCGTAGATGTTAATAAATAAATTTACACTAGCATATTCTTATGTCACTTTTGTTTCCTGATCATTTGCGTAATAACAAATCAACTCATACCGTTTATAACAAAAATAATAAAGAAATATAATACAAAACAAATAATAATAATAATATATATATATATATATATATATATATATATACACATAAAAGGCAATAAGAGCTAATTAAGTTCTGTTATTAAAATTTATTTGTGGAAAAAAAAATTTTTAACATAAAATATTAGACAAAAAATTTCGAAACGAACTTTTTTGCCTATTTTGTTAAAAAATTTTTTTTTTTTTCCACAAAGAAATATTAATAACAGAACTTAATTAACTCTTATTGCCTTTATATGTATATTAATTTTTAAAGAGCTGTTACAAATTATAAAATAATAATATAATATATTAAAATAAAAAAAATAACGAAAATGCAATAGTTTTTTGCAAATAATAACCCACCGTTCCAATGGTTACGTTACTCGATTAAAAATTTTTTGCCCGAAAGGGGATTTAGAAGGCCCAATTTGGGTGCCGCTCTTTCGAGATAATTATCAGTGAATCGGAAAAAATTCCTCCCAGTTCTCAAACTATTTTGCCGAGCAAATGATCCACGCTCGACAGGAAACAACTCTCGGAGGAGCGCCGGGGATAGTATATGTCGTCGGTCTAATCTGGGACGCGGCGCGAGAGCAAACCCTAATCCGGCTTATCCAGAAAGTAATTTTGAGTCCTTTGAAAGAGCCGGGTCTCCCCGCGCGACCGAATCCCGAAAGAAATCACAAGCACGGAGAGAGAGAGAGATAGAGAGTGGGATGAGAAGGAGCCGGAAGTTGGTGGAGGCCGCGAAACCCCGTGTGACTCCCACAGGGCGCCGATTACTCGAGAGGAAGAAGAAAGGAAGAAGAAGTAGCAGAAGAAGAACCGGCGAGGACACGAAACTTTTCCCTCGTTCGTCGGATTCTGCTTATCAGCGCGCGCATCTCGCTGCACCGCTGGCTCCTCTTGATTCCGCTCGAGAAAATTAGCGAGGGAGAGGAGAGAGAGAGAGAGAGAGAGAGAAATCTCGCGGGAGATTTCCGGACCGCGATAAGATGATAAAGTCTCGGCGAGAGGGAAAAATTAAGCGCCACGAGTGCTTAAACCCTTCTTTGATTTCCGCAAGACAACTAGTATACAGAATGTTCCGGACTTATCGTGAAACCGCGGTTTTTTTTTCCTTAAAGCGTAGAATTCGATAGCGAATATCGTTCAGTGAAATGAATGAATATTATTATTTAGGGAAATAATTGATTTT